GGAGTAGTCTCCTCAATAGTCTTGTCTCCTAAGCTCCTACTGTTTCCTGATAGATCGTCTTTTGTAATATCCTCTAACACTACCTTTTCCTTCTCTGTTGGCTTCTTTTCAACTTCAACTTTTGTCTCAAGTTTATCCTTATACATTGTATTTTCATTAAATGTAACATCTCTTCTTTTAATGATCATTTTGTTCTGATCATCCTAGAAGCGATATCTCATATCATCTACTCCATAGCCAATAAAAATGCACTTTCTTGTTTTCGGATCAAACTTGTCCTTGTTAACATCTTTAACACAAACATAAGAAGCACAACCAAATACTTTCAAATGAAAAAGACTTACATCCTTATCTTGTCATTCTTCCTCAGGAATCTTAAATCTTATGGGAACTGAGGGTCCTCGATTACTAAGGTATGTTGTTGTGCTCAATGTTTCTGTTCAGAATGTCTTTGGTAGTCCTGCATGAACTCTCATACTTTTTGCCCTTTCATTCAGGGTCATGTTCATTCTTTCAATAATACCATTCTGTTGAGGTGTCTTAGGAATAGTTTTAAGCATTCTACTTCTATTCTCAGCACAGTAATTAACAAATTTAGTACTACTATATTCACCACCATTATCAGACTTTAAACATTTAATTTTAAATCTTGTCTCATTCTCAACAACAATGGCTTTCCACTTCTTAAAGGTATTAAATACTTATAATTTTTGCTTCAAAAAATAAATTCATAGCTTTCTAGTGGAATCATCAATGAAGGTGACATAGTATTGTGATCCTCCCAATGATGAGACTGATGTTGGCTCATACACATTTGAATGAACAAGTTCCAACTTCTCTTCCTTGGACATCATCCCTGGCTTTGCAAAAGTAACTCTTTTCTGCTTCCTAAACACACATGGTTCATAGAAACCAACTTCTACCTTTTCCAATTCTGGAATCTTCCTCTTTGAGACTAGTATCTTCATACCCTTCTCGCTCATATGACCAAGTCTTTGGTGTCACAAAGTTGTAGGATGACCAAAATCATTACCAATATCATCATTAATGGAATTTACTTCTTCTGTAGGTAATTGTGTCATGTACAGGGTTCCTTTCTTCTAACCACGAGCAACAATTATATTACCATTCACCACCTTCCATTTGCCTTCTCCGAATATGAATCGATATCCTTGAAGATCTAACATACCCACAAAGATTAACATTCTCTTGAATCCTAGAATATATCTGACATCCTTCAGAGTCCATACTATACCCGTAGATGTTTTAAGATTTATATCTCTCATACCTGCGATGTTTAAAGCTTCATCATCTGCTAGACGCACTTTGTCAAAACTTCCACTTCTGAAATTTTTCATCAAGTCCTTGCAAGGAGAAATATGGAAAGATGCACCAGAATCCATGATCCAGGATTCAAATTTGCTCTCAACACAATAGATCAACGCATCATCACTGTCTTATTCTTTTGTTGCATTCATTGTATTGTCATGTCTCTTTTCTTAAGGAGCAATACATTGATTCTTAAAGTGTCTGTTCTGCTGAAAACTCCAACAAGTAGTATCCTTGCAAGATTTAGATTGTCTTTACTCCTTGGACTTTGATCTACTATGTCCAGAGCCTTGTCCTTTTTTAGACTTTCTACCTCTTCCTTTGGTGCTTAATAAGGAATTTGTTGATTCTTCAACATTTCTTCATTAAGGATTAAATCCCTAATTCCCTCAAAGGTTAATTTCATAGTTCCAGATGTACTGGCGGTTGTCGTGATAGTTCCTGACCAACTATCAGGCAACAAAGATAATAATAATAGAGCTTGTACTTTATCATCAAATTTAATATCCACTGATACTAATCTTGATAATAAGGAATTAAATTCATTCATATGATCTGTAACACTAGCACATTCTCGCATCTTCGTATTAACTAACTAACTAATCAAAAATACCTTGTTTGATACCAATGACTTCTCGTACATGTTTGATAATGCTTTTATTAAACCATATGTCGTCTTCTCATTGATAATGTTGTAGGCAACATTCTTCGCCAATGTTAATCTGACAACGCCCAAAGCATATCGATCTAACAACTCCCAATCTGCCTAAGACATCAGTTTCTGATTTATTCTCAGACAAAGGCTAGTATAACTTTTTCTGATAAAGATAATCTTCAATTTACATCTTCCAAAATCCGAAATCGCTTCCATCGAATTTTTCAATCTTCACTTTCCCGTCTTACTCCCTCTCGCATGAAAAAAAACCTAAGCTATAATACCAATTATTGGGAACACAATTACAATACAAGACGAAAGTAAATAATAATAACACAAAAAATTTATAATAAAAGAATAAGTAATTGGGTCGGACCCAATAACCTTCCAACTCCATGTAATTAACAATAATCTCATGTATAATCTTATTTTATTATCAATTCAATGTTGTAATTGCTTTTCAAAGTTAAAATAAAAAATATATAATTTTAAAATTTGGACATAAGGTATACAATCACTACAAGAAATTTTAATATTACTGACGGTAAAAATCCGTCGGTAATAACAAAAATCCGTCGGTAATATCCATTTACCGACGGATTTTTGACTGACCAAAAATCCGTCGAAATTTGGTTATCGGTAAATATTACCGACGGATTTAATAGTCCGTCGGTAATTATCGACTGATATATCCATCGCTAAATGTTTTACGAAATTACCGACTGGACGAGGAATCTGTCGGTAATATTTTTATTATTTATTAAATATTTTACTTATATAACTTTTTTATTATTTTTATTATTTTTCCCTATTACAAATAAATTATATTTATATTTTTATATTTTTATATATTTATATATTTATATATTTTTATATATTTATATATTTATATATTTATATATTTATATGTTTATATATTTATATGTTTATATGTTTATATGTTTATATATTTATATATTTATATATATTTATATATTTATATATTTATATATTTATATATTTATATATTTATATATTTATATATTTATATGTTATATATTTATATGTTATATATTTATATGTTATATATTTATATGTTATATTTTATATATTTATATTTTATATATTTATATTTTATATTTTATATTTTATATATTTATATTTTATATATTTATATTTTATATATATATATATATATATATATTTATATATTTATATATAATTAAATATTTATTTTTTAAAATTATTTAATTTAAGAAATTATTATAAATTAATCTAATTATGATTAAATTAAATTATTAAATAAAAAATATTTAATTTTTTAATTAGTTGAATATTTACTGATTGTTAATTTACTGACGGAAATATCCGTCGGTAATTTACAGATGGATTTACCGACGGATATATTTGTCGGTAAATTCATCCATAAATTACCGATGAATTTATCGACGGATATATCCGTCAATAACTAATTATTATTTTACGGACGGATATATCCGGTCGGTAAGATCAAATTTCACAACTATTTTATATTTGTCGGTAATTTCCGTTAGTAATAATAATTTTCCGACGGTTACAAATCCGTCGGTAAATATCCATCGGTAATACGCGATTTTCTTGTAGTGAATGCTTCACCATCATGTAATGACACATCTAAGATGCACATATTCCTTTTCTTTTTCATAGAGGAGTTCCTTTTATCATTTGGGAATAAATAAGTTATAAAACAAAAACTGCATATGAATAAATCATGCTTAGAATTAATGTATAATAACATTTTAATAATAATCGGGCTTTGAAACCCAATTTCTTAATTTTTGTATTGTATTTTTAATTTTATTTAAAAAAACAGAATGTATATTGTTTTCACTGAATGATTTACGTATATATAAGATAGATATATACACTCTTTCATGCAGTAGTATTTCTATTGATTTAAGTTTAAATAAAAGGTATGATATAAGTTATACATTGGCTCGCGCATAGCAACTCAAGAGTTGGATTAGATACTTTAAAATAGTTATCATATTTACGTAACTTTTATTGTTAGCTTATTTAGTGTAGTTGTAATTACAGTTTTTTTTTCCTTGGTTGATGGAAATTGAATAGGAAAAATCCTGGTTTTAATTACTTGTTAATTTCAATTAAATAGATTATATTTTAATATTAATCCTTACCAAAGACTGAAATCAATAGATTGTGATGGAGAAATTTGAAGTCACCTAATAGTCCACAAAATTTAGCATTGAGAAATTAATGTCATTGGATTGTGAAATATTGAATGGTTATCTTAACCTTATGCAATTTATATTCTTAATTACATGGGAAGACATCCTTTCCAAAATCATGTATTTCCTGATAGAATATTGTTAATCACTCACAACAAAAAGAAAATTGTCATAATTAAATTAATAAAAAATTATTTGATTAATAATGTCACAACAAATATTAAATATATTGACATTATTATTAGTTGAAAAACAAATGTTAAAAAGCATAGATTTCAATAATTTAATAGAGAATTTTGTATAGCAAAGTACTCAAAAGGTAAACTTCGACTACAAATATAATTATCCAGTAAAATAGTTATTTTTTTATAAAAATGTTATAATTTAATAGAAGTCTCAATAAAATATATGTAACACGATTTTGTCTCAATATTCTTCTTTCAATCAATGAAAATTAAAAAAAAATGCATTAGTGAGTTATATTTAGGGGTGGAAAAAAAGTTAAACTAAACTAAGTTTTGGGATCTGACCTTTATAAATAAATAAATAAAAACAATGTTATATTATTCGTGTTTTTGAAAGAACTATTTATTAACGTAATTAGAATGTAACAAACAAAGGAAGCAGTGTAATATGCACTTAACGATTAGAGAGAAACAGAAGTAAACAAGTGTGTATAAATCCAAACGCCCTTTTCCCCTTCTCACCACTTCAATTATCAAAATCTTGGTAATCATGAATAGCTAAGATTACAAATGAAAAATAGTAAACGGCGTGGTTAAGGAACTGAACTGAGATGAATAGGAGCCTTATTTTTCATGAACAAGGGGGCAATACTCAGGGTACCACATATTGCCTCTCACGTACTCCACAGCATCCTCCTGCAACCAAACCAACAACCATGAGTTAGCAGCAGCAGAATATACATACATGAGACCAAGGTAGCATCACATGTTCAGAACTGAAGCACAAAACATGTGCAACTGTTTTTCATCTTCAAAAGTTCAGTCTCCCCTCACACCATGCAAAATTAACACTCTACTCAACCAGAATATGAATATATATAATGTATTATCAGTGAGAAATCTGAAATTTCCATACTTTTGACATGTTTTCTAGTTCTTTCAACCCCACATCACCATGTCCTTCAGCCTGATTTTCAGCAACTGCTGCACCTATAACAGCAGCCCCAACCTCAGCTGTAACATTTCGAATACTGCAGAACAAAGTACCATCGATTAGAGAAGGCCACACTCAACATCTTTGTTAAGGGTGAGTAAACCAAAATTATATCGTTAGATTTTAGTACCGTACTTGGCTTCCAAATCCAATATACATTCAGAGAATGGGTTTTAGTGCGTCCATACAGATTGAATTTTATTTCTCATAGTAGTTCTTAAATTGTTGAAATTAGTCAAACTGTTTTTTATCAAAAGGGTATGATTCTATAAGAAAAAAATAAAAGATTTCATAAGTAATGTCTAAACCCAAAGATTCAAGGAAAAACTAAAAAATCATAGAATAAAAACTATGGAAAAGGAGAGCCGTGAGAAAATGAAAAACAAGGATAAAAGGGAAGGTTACCAGTCAATAGAAGGATACAATATTCCTTTTTGGACCTCCTCATCTTTCATGTATGAAGCAAGGCTGAGAGGATGACAGCATGTTAGTAATGTATTTAAAGGTACAGAGCGGCATCTCATAATAGGGGACGTTATTTACTAATGAGTGGCAATGTAAACCCAAAAACGTAATAGGATTTTCAACCAAAGTAGGCAAAAAACAGATAAATGATTTAGACAACACAGAATACAAGGTCAGACTGCTCAATTGTTACGCCTAACACGAGAGCAACCCTACAAACATCAAGAAAATATCTTCCATTTAAATCATGTCTAACAGTTTTCGGTAGAACAAAAGAACTGTATTAAATATACCATTCAGCTGCTGCTCGCAACATTTCATCTGTTATATGACGCGCACCCGATAGAAGTGCCCCCAAACCAATCCTGAAGTAAAATGTTGCAATAGATTGAATTAAGCCAATGTTTCCACTTAGTGGCATGATGTGTGAAAAAAATAAATATAGAGCCACAAAGGCACGCCTACCCTGGGAACAGGTACATGTTGTTGGCTTGGTTGACATGGCCAACTTCTCCATTTCCTGTACAAAAATTCATTAAGAGGTTATGGTAAAACATAATATTGAAATGAACAACGAAAGTATATACCAACAAGATTCTTCCTACAATAAAGCCTCTGTTGGCTGAAGAATGTTCGAATTTGACAAGATACTTTAAAACCAATTAATCATATTACAGACTGGTAATTACCAAGATCTACATTGTCAAAAGGGCTTCCACTTGCAAAAACTATATTTTCTCCTGCATGACTGAAAGCTTCAATAGCAGTGCATTCGGCTGTCCCAATGAAAGAAAAAAAAAAACAAGCGTCAAAATGATAAACATGGACAAAATTAAACAATTGTCAGTGCTGAATAAGCCGTGTACAAACAAACCATTTACGGTGGGATTAGACATTGCAAAGATAGCCGGTTTTGTTGATACAGATTCTCTCATTGCCTTAAGCACCTGAGTTGAACCTCAACCATTAAAATGAAGAAACTCAATTACAATAAAATGAAGGATGCAGAATCCAGAGATGTCAAAACAAGACATTTTCTCAAACATATATATTTCACTTAATCTAATATACTTCACCTAGGAATAAAACATAAGGTAAATTACCTCCACGTCGAAAACACCACCAACTCCAGACAATCCAAGGAGCACATGTGGCTTAACCTTCTTAACCTATAGACCATTAGGTTCAATAATTGAAGCACGGATATCAATTAGAATGCATAATCTTTATTAGCATCATTGAAGTATCCTCTTACAGAAAAAAAAATGGTTCATAATGATATAAGGGTAAAATAAATAACATGTGAAAGTCAATGAAGTTTAGCTCAAACAAATTCAGAAGCATTTACCACTTCGATTAAACTAGCACCCTCTGTAAGCCCTTCAACATCTCTTGGATTTTTGGCAAATGGAACTGCAGCTGGATCTAGATTGCTCCTTTCTGTGGTGACAAGACCCTGCATTCGACAATCACACCATCATTAAAGACATGATGTATCATAACAAGAATAGAACCACATGAATGCACAGAAATAACAGCATCCAAAAGCGGATGTCGGAAAGAAAATATGTATGACGATGTTAACCATATAATGATAACAATTTCAGACAAAGAATTTGATGATAGAAAATAATGATATTTGGATAACAAAGTTGAGCCAACATCATGAGGGAACTGGATCATATATTATGAATACAATCTTGATTTTTGAGAGCTGCAACTTAAAGCACTTGAAAGCAAAGAAAACGGAAGCATACATTTTTATCAATTAAAAAAAATTGACTGTTGGAAGCCGTTCCACTGGCCCCTGACATTCTTGAAACAGCCTGGACTGCCATACTAAGAACACCAAGCCCTGCACTGCCCACCAGGCAAAAAAGTATCACGTAAAACAGACTTTTGGCAGCAAGGTTAATGCAGAAAATATCAATAATGATGAGCATGTTAGAACAACAAAACAAACTGGATATAAAGATACGTCAAAATAAGTTCTACAAGTACCTCCCAGCTCCAACCACAACTATCTTTTGTTTCAAAAAATCAGACAATGGTCGACCTTGGGATCTTACAGCTCCCAATAGCCCAGCAAGTGCAACACCAGCCGTGCCCTATTGGACAATGGAAATGAAGAAAAATTGACGTTTTAGAAGTCACTTCAAAAACATAATGCATTACTTAGCACCTTGAAGATTTTAAGTGTAACAAAATATAATATCACTTTCTTACCTGTATATCATCATTAAACATGCAAAACCTTTCTCTATATCGTTTCAGGGTTTCAAAAGCCCACTTCATTTGGAAATCCTCAAACTGACAAAATTAGCCAATCATCCAGTTACAGCATGTGTAAAATCTAAACCGAATATTGAGAGAAACATGTTTTAAAAGTACAAACCTGCACAATAGCCTTAGGCCATCGAGCGTGTACAGCTTCCATGAATTCATCCACAATTGATAGATACTCTTCACCTTCCAACCTACGCTGTCGAACTCCTAAATCTGTCACGAAAATCATGTCAGAATACAGTAACTTTTGTGATGTCAAGTACATGGAATTACCATATCATCTTTTTGCATGCTCAAGAGATCAAGAATGTCAAAGTAATTCAAAAATCTCACTCCGACTCATCATTGGAGCATAAGATAACAAGATAAACTTTGCTAGCATTTGTTTGGATTGGTGAGATAATTTGAAGAAGTGTAAAAAGAAATAAGGAAATGAAGGGAAGATGATGTTGTTTGGATTAAGGGATACAGATTAGAAATGATAGAAAATAAATAAAAAATAAAATAAATTTATTTTATTTTTATATTAATATTATTTTTTTTTCTATTTAATAATCTTTTTAAAACTTATATTATAACCAGTTATGTTATATTTTTATGTTTTTCTTGGCGAAGATGAGGAGATGAATTTTTATTTTTTTTGTAAATCAAAATCAATAATAAAAAACTTAACTTTCATTACATTTCCCTATTCCCCTTATTTGCGTTTGCAGAAGCAAACAACAGACAAATAAAGCAGAAAAATCATTACCCAAAAGATTATATTACTGAACCACATAATCTAGGACACTGAAAAACATGACATCTTCCTCAGTTTACAAAGAAAGCAGATATGTCCATGATAAATGAAAAAGTGAGACAAGTAAAAACAATAGAAATAAGCAGCAGAGTTGAGTTCTACTCACAAAGGGGATCTTTGAGTAGCGTTTCATTGTTTGTACCAACATCTAACATAACTGGAAGTATCTGAAACAATAGGAAAAACGGCATATTGTATCAGTTAAATCATACTAGCAATACCAAGTTGTAGTTAAAAAGAAAAGAATATCAAAATTAAAAAGTTATTCCAAAATCATAATTATAAGTTTAAAACTAGGGGTTTTTGGACGAGTTTCTCCATAGAAACTTTTAAAAGAGAAAAAAATAAGAAGAATTTGAAGCTAATTTTTGCATAAGCTAATTTGTAGAAATTCTTTTATATAACTTCTCTAAATAGTTTTAACTTGTACATAAGTTAATGTTAGTTTATTTCATGCACAAACTCGTCCAAACAGACCCAAAAGTCAAGATTTATGATCTCATTTCCATTTCATTTGTTAATTACGTGTAATTGCACAAGATAAACTTACAAATATTAAACACAAACAAAACTATATTTGTTCAGCATCATAAAACAGTTAACAACCCAACCCACCATGCAAAGATACATCTATTCATTTAACTGAAAAATCCTTTAAGTTATATCACATAATGTATGCAAGATGAGAGGAAATTATAGACACATAGAGAAAGGAAGGAAAAGAGCATACTTTTCGAGGGTTGATACCAGCAGCAGCAACGTACATGTCAAGTTTTCCTATGGGTATTCCAATGCCCTGAACGCCAAGGTCACCCAAGCCAAGAATACGACTACCGTCTGTCAAGACAATCATGTCTACCTGAACCAAGGAAACAAGAGGATTATAATTTATAACCATTAATAAATAAAGCCAGGAGCAATTTTGCTACCCACTGAATCGAGAAGTTCCATGTAAATAATTGAACTGTACCCAGTTATCAGAACATTTGTCGTTGAAGTCAGGTAAAGTGAGAAAACACGTGGTAACCACAATCACAACTAAATACCAAAATCACTAGAAAAATTCAGTAATTAACTTGAAAACAATTATCAATTTCATGCAAGGCAGATAATATGACAGCATGGAATAATGTCACTTAATAATGAAAAAAGAATAATATATGTTGGTAAGTGTGCCTCGGTGTTAGAATGTGATTTATATATCTATTAGTACCAATTGGTTTTAAAGATTGATAAGTACTTAAATACTTAGAACACAACCATCAAAAAAGGGAAAACCAAATACTTCAATACTCCACAGAAGATCTCATATTACTTAATATGATATTGAGGCACTCCAAGATATCCAAGTTCTTGTCAACCTTCTAAATTTCCTATTTTTTTCAACTACCCCCTCTATTTTGTAAACCTAATACCTACCTAAACCTCCCTCTAACAGTGTGAAAATAAAATAAAATAAATTACGAGAAAATACACTAATAATTTTGTCCAAGAAAAGTCATCTTTGAAACTAATAATACAAAGAATCTTTTTTTACAAAACAAAAATACATCAATGTTCATGATAGTTGAATTCCAGTTTATCCCTCAGGGAGTGCAAATTTACTGAAATCACAACAGAATTAGAGAATTACAGACAGACTTCACCAACTTTCAATAGTTTTAATACTTGCAAGTCGAAATCTTAGGAGAACTGAATAGATATTAGAAGGGAAGATGAAAAGTAAAAGTCACTTTCTATCTTGAAACAAGAAAAAAGGAATGCAGCACTTTACCAAGACGAGTTCAATACCTCGTCGGCTGGCCAATTATAGATCATTGACATCATCTCTCCTCTATCTTTGGCACTAAAATACATTCCACGTGGGCGTCTAAATAACCCTGAATAATTTTCACACACTAATCCAACTGTAGGAGTATAGATTATTGGAGCAAACTCTTTGATGTTATCGATCAGAACCTGAAGAGAAGAAAAGTTACACAAGATAAAAATCACATAATAATAATGATAATAACTTTTATGATATACTCTCACACCAGCAAGCCAACTTCATCATCAAACTTACTCTGTAATACAGAGTCTCATTCCTGTCATGCAATCTATTTAAGATCCTCCATTTGGATAAAGAAACAAATTTATCTGATTGGCCCTGTGTATTCTTCTCCAAAGATCTGTATGAATCCACTGAAAAATAATAATAATAATAAGAATAATATATTACAGCTAGCAAATATAATCAAAGAAGGAACAAACACAAAGCCAAACAAACGAGCACAGTCTAAAGATGAGCAAACAATAATTTCTGAGACTGAACAATATATACATATAGCATCAAAAGGTTAGGTTCAAAACTTACTAAATCGATCATATTGATGCTCAAATGAAATGACACGAGGAGGAAGGAGGCCCCGAAGACCCAATCGATCCCTTTCAGTTAAGGGAAACCCAGTATCCTACATATCAAGAATAAAATAAATAAATAAATATATAAAGTTGTAGGAGCCCAAACAATGATCAAGCACAGTTCTGAGTAGCTTGGAATTTTTAATGTTAGAGATGGTAAACATAAAATATTTATCTCAATAATTAGCATCTTGTAATGAATCCATATTCAGGATTTATCCAAACTAACTCAAAACAGATACCGCTTAAAGTATCAACATCTATATCAGTGGAGATTCTACATTCATATAATTTCATGCATGTACATAAGTACATACTTTCTACTCAAATAAAACAAATCACAGAGCCACAAATTTATACGAAAATCCATGCGGAAATACATTAAAATCACTTCTAACACGATCTCTTTGAATTAATTCTGCGTCCTCTATAACAGTAACAACAAAATAGTTAAATATTCACTTTCAACTTTTTTATAAAAAACACATGTATCCCTCCATGGTGAAAAAATTACTAAAATGCTCTAGTTCATTACATGTTTATGTTCAGTCCAATCTTAATGTTACAATTTTTAATTATGTGAAAAATTTAATGACACCAGATTATTAGTGATGATCCTTAACTGCTTAATAATTTATCATTCTCAGAGAAACTTGCTCTAGATAGGTTCCAATGAGCAAAAAAAATACTTTCCTCTGCACCTACAAACTTAAAGTTCGAACTCAAAATCAATAGTTAAATTTGAAGCAATCTCTTCATCTCTTTTCAGGTTAAAGATAGTTTCCTTTCAGCCAAATAAACCAAACTAACCAACAAACAAATTCACCAACACACACACAAAAAAAAATAATAATAAATAAAACCGTTAAATAAAAAAATAAGTTCGCGAAGCGAAAAACATTGTAGATCGCAAACAGTGCGAACCTTGTTGAACCAAGGATCGTGGAGGATATCAGTGCCACGCTTGTGGACCTTGCACGGCCAGGGAATCGCCGTGGAGAACTGCCGCGATCTGGACGCTGCGAATCGCACAACCTTCCACATTCTTCAAAATCGAAATCGATATCGAAATCAAAATCAAAATCGCATGCAGCAACCAACAGCACCACCTACAATTAAGCGAAGCTAAAAAAAATGTGGTTTCGGTTTTCTCTTTGAAAAGCGCATTTTCCACGAAGGAGAGAACGGTAGTGTTTGCGAGATGCGGATTCATGGAGGTGGAAACAGCGCCAGGGTATTTATAGAGTCAGGAGCTTTCTCTCTCCTCGGTTCATGTTTTAGAGAAGTGAAACAGTTTGAAGCAGTTGGTGTTGCATGTGCTACCCGATTAATTCGGGCAGTGTAAGAAGGACAATTACGTGAATAAATTCTGCCCAGGGTAGATTCGGGCAGGGATATACGGAGATAGCGACAAGCTTAACTTCTTTGAATAAAGCACGTGGTTTATTTTTTTGTTACAAAAAAATTAAAAAATAATGTTTTTCTTTTATATATATATATATATAAAAAGAGGTGGGTGGGAATTGCAAAGCCTAGTTTATATTCTATTTTGTCCTATATTTTCAATTTTTTCATGTTATTATTTAGAATTTTAAAAATTATTTTTTAGATTGTACTTTTTTTTGGGTAATCTAAGTTGATATTTTAAACTCTAAAAATTTATTTTATATCTTATTAATTTAAAATAATATAGTTTTAATGTTTCATCTTTATTTTTAAAATTAAAAATATTTTAGTATTAAGGATTAAAAACATTTTTAAATGTTTTTATTAGTGTATGAAATAATTGAGAAAAGTGTGAAAACTATTTAACTGAGTTGCAATACATTATGATAAAATGAAAAAGAAATAAGTTTTTAATATTAATAATTTTTTTTATAACATGTTTGAGTTCAAAGTTATGAGACTGAATTGAATAGCCTCGTTAAAAAAAAAAAACTTTGGTTTAAAAATAGGTATCAAATAAAAATTGAGTTATAATTATATTTATGAAACTTCAAATTGAGAATTAAAATAAATAATAACATGTCACCAACTCAATAAAAGTTGGATTGTTAAAAGTAATGAAAAGACATTAATTTTTATAATTGCTCCCATCAATATGGAAGAAAAAAATACATGATCCACCACCAATACCACAAGTTGACCTAATAAAAATGATAATACATGCAAAATATTAATTAATTGTTATGGGAAAAAAAATTGGACGAAAAGAATAACAACATATCACCACAAGAAAAATTGACTTGATGAAAAAAAGAATTGACAAATAAATGAAAAATCTTAATTTTTTTTATAAGTGTCCCTTTCAATCTCTTACTAGAAAGAACATGGAAGAATGTTAATGCAATTTATTTATACAACACAATTATTTACTTTAAAGTTGAAAACAATTGATTTGGATATAGTTAGCTACTATTGAACCATTGTTTGGTCCCACAATGTTAAGTAAATGGTCTATTTTGTTTTTTTTAAATGAATTGTTTTTTTTTAATTTAAATTTTATTAATGAAATTAATTTTAATTTTAAATATAATATTTTAAAATTATAATATATATATATATATATATATATATATATAGACTAATAGAATGATATAACTTTTATTTTAAAAAATATAATTATTTTTATAAAATAAATTATTCCATAAACTTATATTTGAAACTCATTTAAACCACAAGTTGAATAAATCAAATAAAAGAAATTAATTTTGGTCATAATATTTTCTTATCTAATCCAACCTTTTTTTCAGATAATATATTGATGAATGTATACAACAAACTTGTAAGAAGTGACAGAAAAGAAATATGTAGTGTAATTAATAATACGAAAATAATAAATAGAAAAAATAGATATTAATTATGTATAAATTGTTGTACAAATAATGTCATTAAATAAATTAATTTTGAATGTTAACTAAAGCGCAAATCTTACTGGGTTTTCTCAAATTGATTTTCTCTTATATAATTTATAATTATTTTTATTGATTGTTGGTTTATTAATATTGAATTTAAAATCTATAATTAATGAAATCTTGTAAAGCAAAGTAAATAAGTAGAACATGACAAAGTCTTTTAATTAACTTTGTGAGAAGTTAAGTGTCTTAAGTTTAAGTTTTAATTTTAGAATTGGAAACTATTTTTACTTTCTGAAGGTAAGCTTTTGCCACTTCTTAAAGATATGACCTAATTCAATAAAAAAATAGTTAAATATTCAAAATACAAAGTCGTGTGGATTTTTAGTTTGATTATCACTTTCTTGGATTAGATTCTTTATCATGTTATCATCCTTATATCACATTAGCATTTAAATCATTTAAAATTCATTTGTGTATCTTCTGCAATTTGATGAAAAGTATATGTCACTATTATTTGTTGATTAAAAATTAAGAGCAAAATAAATCACAACTCTAAGTTATCAATCATTGATTTACAACCAGATTTTTTATTAATTACAAACAAAGACCATTGATTTAATCTTTTTTTTTTAAAAGATAGTGTTATAAAGTTATCTTGAATATATTTTAAGAAAAGTGTAATTTTAGTTTACAAACATAATCTTTCTAAATACAAGAGTGAGTGAATATCCATTTACTTTCTCTATTAGAAAGACTATGATATTTGTTGAATGAAATAAGTGAATATATGTTAACAATAATATTATAATATAATACGACTAAATTTGAATCATATAAGTTAGGAATGCAAGTTATTTTAAAACCATTTTAAAAAGTAACATGATTTTATCTTTTAGTTTTAACTTTGTATTATTTGATAAAATTATGATCATTGTACACTCTTTCGTAATATAAGCCTTATCACTTTTGTGTAATACGATTTCTTATGTTTTAGGCATTAACTTTATACAAAAATTGTGTCCAGAATGTGATTGATGGGTGTAGAAGAGCGAGCAGTCTTCTGTTTCAATTTGTCCTTTCTCATTGCATTTCATTTTCAATTCTACCTTCTACTGAAACTGGTCCCTACAAACACAAGCAAAGCAAAGTAAACCAGTGATCCCTCAACACTAATATAATATTTGATATCAGAATACATTCGTCATGTTCCTTTGCAAGTGGTTAAAATTCACTCAGTAGAATAAAACCCATTTTTCGCTTTTCATAGTAGCAGGAGAATATGGTTCAATCGAATAGAGTTTGTGAAATTAAAAAACGAATGCTAACAAGCGTCTTGTCTACTTGGACTAAGTCTAATAAGAGCGGAAAAAAAATACTAAGAAAATGATAAAAAGTGATTTTGGCTGAAATAAAAGAATTTGATTCCATTTAATTTGGTTCAATGGATGAGATAGTTTGATCCTTCAAAACCTTGGAACCAAATCTGTTCATTCCATTGTTTTACGATTTTCAACTCATTATTGGTCATAGCATATTAGTATCGTAGAATAACCAAGATGCAAATACCTTTTCCACATGCAATGTTAGAAAAATTGCAGTGGCCTCAGATTGTTCATCATAATACATACTTGGGTACTTCTAAATTTGAGCAGCCGATAACATCATAATCCAAGTGTTATGCTGAGCATGGATACTTCTTTGCAAGCATGCCTAAACATCAAATTCATAATATATTAAATCAGAATAAATTATGATTTTAGAGAAATAGTTGTATTTTTAACATGTGATCGTGCCGGTTGGAATTACTCAAACTTTTCCATTCATTTAAAACAGAAAAATTCTATTTTCTTTTTCTGTACAACATAAATGAGAGCTAAAAGGTATGGACAAACAGATAAAAGCACAATCACTATTATTATTATTATTATTATAATAGTAACCAGTAATATCGGTTTCAACAAGCTCTGTAATAAATAAATTCAAAAATAATCATCATTTCTAAAATGGATGTCCATCAAATATAGCCAAAAAAGAAACACATGTCATTACATGATCCTAGATCAAAAAAGTCTTGCATAACAGAAACAACAGCAACACTTTAACGCTGTTCATATTCTCAGAGCATTTAACAACACGATGTGAACGCCCACATCAGCGATGCAATTGATGGTTCCGGATTATTTATAGTCTTTATTTCCAAAGTTCTTGCACCAGAGTTGAGAAGGGATGGGGCGAACAGGGTGATGTGGTCGTTGCTGAAAGATCAAAAAACAAATTCTTAGCCAATCCATACAGTCAAGGTAAGATTACTACGAACAAATGTTAAAAATAAAAAAACTTCATAAAAAAATAATAGTTGAAAAATAATAATGAGTACAGCATAAAGCATCACCCCAACAAGGTCACAAGGCAGCACCTTTACAGAATAATTAATGTTGTGCCAAGACTCACCTTCCCCTTACATTTTACAAAAATGAATAACAACAGCAACTAGAAAAGGTTGAACCAGATTCTTCCACCACTTTCATAAAAGAAATTCAAATCATCCATCTATTCAGGCATATCAAACTAAACCATGGGAAATTAATCAGGTAGCTGCAACTGCAAAATATTAATTTTATATGCACTTAATTCTATATCTAGAGAACATAAGATCTAAATAATGGACAAAATATTTTCCATAGTAATCAAACATGATTTATATGCTCAATAATTTTAAAGAAGTATTTGACGTCCAAGAAGCATTGACGTGAAAGAGGTAAAGACAAAAGGTACACATCCAAATTGTCTGTGAAATATAAAGTTAACCATTGCAAGTCACAGGTATCAAGCTATGCTAATGAATAATATTATTAACATTTTCTCCCTTGATTACCTGAAGTGACTTACTGCACTTTTTAGGATGGGTATACACAGCTCAGTTTGATCCGGTAAAATCTAGCTCACCAATGCCGGATATAATTTCCATATTTTATAAACAGCTCAGTTTGATTCTGTCATTTGAAGCTTCCAGATGCGGTTCATGAAGAAACTGAATAAAGTTTTAGTTCATTTGTACACAGTAATGAACTTAAAGCATCAGCCCAAGGGTAAGTGTAAGAATCATGATAGTTAAAATTGTGATTCAGATATTAGTCCAACACCGAGGAAGTTTGTGGAATCCTATAGGCTTTTGCTCACTGCTCAGGAACACACAATACCTGTACACGACAAAGCCGTACTTTCTAGTTCGTTTGTGGAATCCTATAGGCTTTTGTCTCTTAGGGAAAGTTTGAGTGTTGCTTCTGGTTGGTAGCTTCTGTTGTTGGGTGTTGGAAAAATGCGCTCCCTCAGAGTGGTTCTTGTGCACCTGCAGTACTAGCACCCCTACTTGTGCTAGTAGTGCTCCTACTGTTTTGAAAGTGTAAGTTTTGACGAAAAATATATATTTTAAAGTTCAATTATTTGAGAATCAAATAATTGACGCTGTATGTGACACCATATATGATTATCTCCATCTCTCACTTTTATCCTTGTGCACACATCTCACAAATATTCCAAAAAATTAAAGGGGACAACAACAGCTTCCCTCAAAAAGTTGTACAAAAACATTTCTGTTTATTTACATATTAGTCATGATTGTTATTTTATTACTTTTGTGTTAATTGTATTACTTTATATGAATATATATATTCTTGAATATAATTTTACACATTTTGTCTTGAATTATGATCTCAAATTAGTTTCTACCTCCGTGGTCTAATCCAAGGTAGGATCTACAATTTTGACAACCATGGTTATAGTATCTAGAAAATGTTACACCATGTATTGATACTATCTAGAAAAAAAAGAAAAAAAAAGACCATCTTAAATGATCTCTCATGAGTTGTTCTCATATTTTCTTATTTCTTAATTTGTTTTATTATTTGATTTATGAGTCAGAATTCCTATAGATAGAGACTAGTGTTTTATATTTTGTATTACATCATTATCATAATACCCTTATCGATATAATATCTTATATTTAGAGTCTAAAGACATTGCATAAAGCCTACAATTTCTACAACTAATAATAAGTCTAGCAAAAAAATTTAAATAGTGATTGTTAACATACTTCAAGTGATGTTACCAGTCTCAAGCCTCAGAACCTTAGCACAACCTTGTGGACAAAATTATAGCAACATATCTCTCTACGAAAATTAAAAATAACAAAATAAAAGCTAGCAGTAGAGTCGCCAACAGAAAAAAAAAAAAAAAAAGTGTTTCCTCTTTTGATAAAAGGAAAAAAAGAAAATTGTAGGGGAGATGATTGTTGTTATTTTCACAGGGAAGTGAAACACAACTGCCCATCTTCCCCAATTTGTTTTGCAGGGAACTCTTTCAGAGTAATGCAATGATTGCAGCACAACACTGTTACATACAATCCCCACCAAAAACAGGCCTTATTCCATCCACTCCAGTTTTTCAACCTACACTTTTTGGAAATGATTCAAAACAATACATTTTTATATACCACATAGGAAAAGTAGTATAACTTATTTTCATTTAGAAAAAGAAAAGGTTAAGGGAAATACAAGATAGATGACATTTGCTTACATATACTATGAAATAATGTTCAGCTTAGCACCATCTTGTGAAAAGGAATAGAGCCATATATTTCTTTAAAAAACTTAAAACAAAAGATAGTAGTAGAATCACCGACAGGGTATACAAAAAAAAAAAAAAATCACCAACAGAAAAAAATTTATTTGTCAATTGTTTTCTCTTTTGGAAAAAAGAATGTAGTGGACAACTGCCCATCTTCCCCAAATTTGTTTTGCAGAGAACACTTTCGTAATAATGCAATGATTGGAGCACAACACCGATAAACACAAACCCTGCCTGGAACAAAGTTCTACTCCACTATTTGGAATTGATTTAAACTCTGCATCTTTGTGTACCAACAGAAAAATGAGTCGAAATAATCTTCTTTTAATAAAAGAAAAAAGTTAAGAGGAAAACAAGAGGATAGATGACATTTGCTTACATAAACTATGAAATAATGTCCAACTTAGCACAACCTTGTCAAAGGGGAAATAGCATTTTAATTCTTAAGAAAAAAAAATAAAAGCTAGGAGTAGAATCACCACAGAAAAAAAAAAATAGTTGGCAATTTGTTTCCTCTTTTTGGAAAAAAATGTAGGGGAGATGATTGTTGTTATTTTCAACAGCAAACTGAAACTCAACTGCCCATCTACCCCAAATTTGTTTTGCAGGGAACTCTTTCGGAATAATGCAATGATTGTAGCACAACACCGATACACACAATCCCTGCCCAGAACAACAAGGCCTTTCACTCCCGTTTTTCAATCTACACTACTTGGAATTGATTTAAACTCTGAATCTTCTACACCATAGAGGAATAAAAAGTATACCTTATTTACTTTTAGAAAAGAAAAATTAAAGAGATTACAAAATAGAGGACATATACTATGAAATTATGTCCTTGTAAGTTTCAGATATCCATTTTGGTGAAAGGGGGAAAATACATGGCCAATCTAGGCACTATATTAGGTTAAACAAGGGCACTCTATTCAAGGCTTGCAGTCTTCCTAAAACTGAAAAAGGAAGCTTCATTATGAATAAAAAAAGGTGGAAAAGCTGATCAATTAGTATTTTCAAATTTAAAGACATAGCCAGTTGCTGTTGGGTTGAGCCCATAGCTATCAACCCCGCACAACAAAGCCGATATAGCAAGATAGCTGCTATATTAAATATCATTAGTACAAGATGAATAATTTATATTATATACTATAGCATTATACTCACTTAAAGACTTAAAATAAATTATTATAAAAATTAATGATATGTTTATAATTAATAATCAAAAGTCATAATTTAATACATATTCCCCCATCCATCATTATTTTAAATCTATAATAATAATAATAATTATCAACAATGAGAAAAATGAGGACTTGGGAGTGAACTTGAAAGAAGGGAGAGGATAGAATGTAATATAATAAATTGTTCACTGTTTTAGATTGAAAAAAGAAAGAAAGATAGAAATAGAGAATATAAGCTCGATCAGCGTGCACTTGTCCTTGGATCAGGCAAAAAGGTGTAGACTATCAGTATCTAGCAAGCAAATGAATGGGCTTGGCCAGCTAAGTGATTGGTGAAGCAAAATTGAATAGCTATCAGAATCTAGACAGAAAATGGAGAAGTCAAAACGCTAAGAGGAAATGTTTTCACCATCCTCTGCAATAGGGTGGATATTCAGCTGCAATTTCACCTCCATTCCCACACAGTGAACACAACCACAGCATGATGGTAGCACTATTTGCCGCCACTCATAAGTACTACAGAGACACAGTGGGCTTGTCGCAACATGGGCAAGAATCAATACAAGCAAACAATAACATCGGAGAAAACAGTGGACAACACCATTTCAAAATTTGAATTGAAATAAAGCCACTATTGTAACAACATAATAGCGCCTCGTTTAACCTTGTAATTTGCAAATACATACGTACATTTACATCCATACAATCAATCAATGAATCATCAACATATAACGATGAACAATGAAATCAAATTCTGTTAACTAAATCGAATCGAGGAAACAGATCGGTGTGTGTGTGTGTGAGAGAGAGAGAGAGAGAGAGGAGGACCTCGAGTTCGGCGGATTTCATGGCGATGGGGATGCAGACGAGGACGACGCCGAGCATGGCAATGGCGGTGTTGCGCTTCCAGTGTTTGGGACGACAGTAAGGGCCACCAGTCATACTCCACACCTTGGTCCTGAAATCGCCGGTTCCATGGCCGTGATCGCCTCCTCCGCCGCCCATTTTTCAATTCTGATTTGGTCTGACTGAAAAATTGAAACCCTACTCAGTCGCTCGATCTCTTTGGGATAGACGCACGCACACGAGTGAGGACAAGAGAGAGGGGAAAAAGGTTTCGTTTCGTTCGAGGTCAGATCCGCTGCGGGAGTGTCTAATTGTCTTACGCTGCTCTCGCTCTCTCTTCACCAATCAGGAATCAGCCACGCTATTGTCAATCCATTTTAACAACATATTTATCTTTTCCTAATTTACAATTTTGTTCTCCTTTTAATTTTAGTTTTTTTTTCTAATATTTTTAGTTTAATTTTAATTTTATATACATTTCAATTATTTTATTTGTGATTCAATTGAATTTTAAATCAAATATATTCACTAAAAGTACACCTGAACATTCAATTAAAATTAATTAATAAATAAATTCAAAACTAAAGATTAAATTAAAGTTAAAATTTAAAAAATATATATGTGAGACCTAGAATTACAATTTAACTTTTTACATTCTTTTATTTTATTTTTGACATTCATAGAAGTTTTTTTATTTATTTACTAGTATGTGAAACAAAAGGAAATAATGTAAAGGAAAAAAAATGGGTGTTTTTCTCTACATTCCATAATATATTTCTTCTATCTTTGATCTCGGAATGAATCTTTCAAATGTAAAAAATTTACTTTCGAAAGTTGATTCCAAAATGAAAATTTATTTTTACCATAATATACAAAGTTGTATTAAAGTATAAAAGAAAGTCTAAATGGAGTAGGAAGCTTCTATTGACCTAATAAAGTGAAAAACAAAATAGTTAATCAATTGATCCTAATCATGGTAAGAAAAAAATCACCAAATAAAAAAATGACTAAATTAGATGTTTACAATACTGAATAATCATTTAATAATAATGTAAAGAATCTCATTAAAAAGTTTACAACTAATTTTTGCATGAATCTTTTCTAAATACATTATGATGGGTAGTAAGGGCATTTATGTTAGAAAGTTATATAAATTTTAAGTAATTCGTATTATATTTTTATAAATTTTACTCCAATGATAAAATCTTATAAGAATTTATATTTTATATGTTTTTTATATACTTCAACTTTTTACGACCTAAAACTTAATTTGATTATTAAAAAAATAGAATACATTATTAAAATATAATTTTCAATTTTAAGACTTTGTTATGTTATATCAACTTATTTTAGTGAAAATCTATCTATCTATCTATCTATATATATATATATATATATATATATATATATATATATATATATATATATATATATTCAGAAGATCTCATTCTTAAAGAGAAGCTTGTTTTAATCAGAGATACACACGGGATAAGTGGATAACCCTTATCTTGGACAATGCTACAAGATACAGAGAAGAAACAAAGAACCCGTTTTCACATTTGTAGTGAACAGAACAAGGACAATTTGAACTTTGGAGAGTGTCATGAGATTTAGATTCTACACCAAAAATTCTAATCTTGACAACTACCCTTTGGTCCATTCCATTCATACACTACACGCCCACGAAGAAGATTATCCTTCACCTCAGTTTCTCTTCAAAAAATTTCCAAGCCTGCATGTTAGATCAAATTGTGCATCTTCTTCAGTTGCAACTGGCATGTCATGATATAATTCACCATTCTCTTCATATCTTAACATAACAAAAGGAATTAGACATCTTTTTAAAAGGAGCACTGTTTCCAATAAGGATGTGGATGCAATTTTTTTGTTTGGCTGTCTTTCATCCAGCACATGTTCTGAAGAAGGCACATTCTTTTTCTGTGGCTATGAGAAAATCAAAGAGATATTCTGTTATAATCTGGAGACAGAAAATTTAAATATTTCATTTCACACTAGTTTTCATTAAGATTAATAGATAATTGATGCTGCAATGGTTCCAATTTATAAATAATAGAAGAGCATGGATTGGATTCAAACAGAAAATTATGCTTGATATTGTAGAGGAATTATTACATTATCTTTTCTTGAATGATAGTTCTTTAACATCACAGCTGATAGTGCAGTTATCAAAAGCTAAATTGTTAAAAAAAAGGAACAATTTGATGTTATAGGATAAATAAAAATCCTGTAGAGGCTATTTGGAGCTTGTTAATCTTTTGACCCAATTAAAGAAGAACAAAAACCTCCTACGATTAACATCTATAATATCACAGAAAAACAAAACAACCATAATAAAAACAGAATTTGAACTTTGAACTTTAAAATTGAGAGATGCATTGAATTGTTAACTGTTAATAAGCTAAATGTAGATATCTATGATGAATTGAAAAGAGAACAGTTTAAACTCTCGATACAAAAATCTGAGTCTCATCAGAAGAAGATTAAAGGGGGAGAAAAGATGGCAAACCTCATCCAAGTATGAAGTGTCAAAAATCAGAATGGCAGATATAGTATAAATATTTATCAAATGTAAGTGAACATTTCTTTTGACTCTTCTTCACAATGGCCTCTTTCAAAATGACGTAGTCAAAACATTATCTGGTTTAGGAGGAGGGTTTTTTTCAATGAACTTTTTCAACCCTTTCTCACCCCCAGGGAATCCCCCCGTAAGCCCCATCATTTCTTTCTCAAAACCATCTTCTGGAACCTCACCAGTTCCTTCATCACCACCTTCATCTTCTTGCTCTTTTCCACTTGATGCTGAGGGTGGAAGCTGTTCATCAACAAGTTTCCTTTTCAGTTCTTGCTGAAGACCCTTTTCCCCGTTGCACAGTCCTCTCCCTCCCATCATTTCCAATATGTTGAACTTGGCTTGTGGCTTTAGCACCTCATGAGTTGGTGGTGCTTTTGGAAGCCCTGTGGAAGATGGTTGTTTGAGAGGTAAGTGATGAGTGAGAAGGTGATCTTGACCTAGGAATTGTGATCGAGGAAAAAGGTTGTGCAAGGCATGAAGAGTAGGAAAAGTAGCCATTCTTAGTTGTTTAATAAGCAAGCCACAAACATTAATGTTATGAACACAGTGATGTGAATTGGATAATATAGTCAGTCTCTATCTTTTCTTGTAAGAAAATTTAATGAACAGTCACCTCGTTTAATTGTAACCACATGTTAATGTCGTACGTTTTCGACATACAATTGGTGGCTGTCGTTGTTTTGAGCTGCACCAATAGCTTCAACACTACAATGATACTTTACATTAACTTGCTTACTATGGAGTAAAAGACTATTATAGCCAAGACAAAGACTAACTACACTTGATATCCTTAGAAAGTTATCTATAATTTCAATAATCTTTCAACACACTCAATTTTATAAAGGTTTCAATGAAATGAGAATGTCAAGATTTTACATAGAAGAAATTTTACAACGTCCACCATATTTGCTAAATTTTAAAAATATAATAAATTTATTGGTTTAATATTTTTGTGTATAAGGGAAAAAAAGTTTACAGTATCAAAAGAACATACGATCTAAACTAGAATCTAAATCAATTAAACTCTTTATTCATGACGTGATGTAAAGAAAATATTATAAAAATGATATTTATGTTTGATGGAATAAAGTTTGAAAGAGTAATACTTCCTGTGGAACTCTAAGATATGCATGAATTTACAATATGTAAATACACCTGAAAAAAAATTATATGTATGTCAAAAGGTAACGTGAGATCAATAATGATTAAATGGTATAAATTATATGAAGTAATCTACATGAATAATTATTGATAGCATTATACGTGTAGAAATGCTTGTCCATATTACGGTGATGTGAACTTTGTATCATTCAGTTATCAAGATTCGATAGAGCTAACGTTACACACGTTTTTAGGGTTTTCCATTTTAAGAATTGTTAAACACGTTTATATATGTTTCAAGATTATTATTTGCAGCTATGATCAGTACTGAAGCATTGATAGGACATTTTTCTAATTTTCAGGAGTAGAATTTCTCATCAAAAGTTTAATGTCGAATCTGAAATGGTTGTTTGTTTTGAGTTGAATAGTTGTGATGAAAGTTAATAACCTAAGCTTCAGTTCAAATGAATAATGCTATTCTCACAACACCTTTTCAGAATATTTTTTTATAACAAAGAGAATGACATGAAGAAAAGATACAGAATCATGAGATAAGAGAATCAAACAAGCCTTTTATCCATCCAAAATGAAAAAAATCTATGAGCTCTACAAAAAAAAATGTATTCGAAATGTATCCATCTTGTGAAGTGATCTTGTGTCAATCGAGTTTTATTTGGAAGAATCAAAATCATGCCTAGTTAAGCCACAAGATGAGAATAGAAGTAATAGGGGGGTAATGGAGTGACCCCTATTGAAAAGAAAATGATAGAATTTTGCTTAAGGTGATTTAGTTATATGAAGGAAAAAAAAAACAATAGACGCATTTAGTAAAGATATACCAACTGGGCTATATACAATTAAAAATTTAGAATGGAAAAAACTAGAAAAAACAATTATGCAATCAAAATTTGAGGTTCTAAAATCTATAATCCTCAACAGGATTTTTCTAGTGTGAATCATTGATAACAGTGACTAAATAGCACTAACATAATGAAATCATTATTTACTATTCCCATAGTTATAGTTAAGGTATTAGTAATTTGGAAATTCCTTTCAATTCAATTCTTGCAGTGCTAAACTATGATGCCTTCAGTCGATGGAGGAAGAAGCATGCGACTTCTCAATAAGCAGTTCAAGTCTCTGGTAAGAATAAATACAGAGAATAAAAACAAGTCAGTTGAAGATGGATGCATATAATCTAAAACAGAAATGAATAATGCAGTTCCTAGACCGGCTGTTCTGTTGTGTTACTGTGAAAAAAACAATCACTGATACCAATGGGGTGATTTGTGAGGGAGGGGAAGAACAGAAATTTACTAAAGAAGACCATGCTTCGAATTTGAAACCAGTAAATAGTCAACAAATATATAATTTTGTCTAAAGAAACAGTTATGTTTTGGTGCCCTTCAACAAGAAGAAACTTAGAAATAGTGTTTTTATCCAGTTGGAAGAGATAAAATTTGAAAGTTCTTCAATAAAATCGTGCTGCATTAAGAGAAGACAAACCTTTACTGATTTATTGACTTCTTCAAGTTTAGTAAGCAGCAACCCTCCGGCCACTCTGCGCTCTAGTGAAGTATGTGGTGAGCCTGCCATCTGCAGATGAGTGTACAATAGAGGTTTATACGAGTGAAACATAAGCAATGCATATGATGCTAGTGTCATCTAATTGATGGCTTGATTCTGAACAGCACCAATCAGAATGATTCAAGGTATCATTCTTTATGTCAAAAAGATCAAGGAAAACATACAATATTTCATTTCTGTCAAAGCTAATCATTATCAACAACTTTCAAATCTACCACCTAACAAAAGTAGTACCAAAATTCTATAGGATGATTACAGCAATTAAACACAAAATAGTACGCATGAACAATTTTTTGTTCTTTAATATTTTGAAAATGTTTTAACTCTGCATTTTGCCTTCTGAAAGGTGCATATGGATTGCTTTCCTTAAATTAATGTTTGTCCATAGATAAGTACCGTTCAAGAATCAAAGCAAGAGATTTATCCTACAGTTGCCACGCAAAATGAGAATACACCTAAAGCTAAGTATGCAAAATTCAGAAATTCAAAGTCAGGAATGCTCCTTATCACCAAAAATATGATCGGACACAGAATAGCAAGGTAAAAGAGACCCTAGCATTAGACTTCCTAAATTGTATTGCTTTCTCCAGAATCTCTCAAAACATGTTGTGCACCTCCAACTCAACCTACAAAAAACTAATCATTCAAACTGTTGCAGAAAATGATAAGCATGCTTCTAATAAAGGCCGCTATATGTTTACAAATCATTCTATGTTAACCCAAAGTCATATTCCTACCAGCTCAAAGATCATAAGTCTAACTACCAAAGTTACTAATGGTCCAAAAATCAGCATTCATCCAACCCCTTCATCGAATAGGGGGAAATTTGTCAGGGTGCATGGCAGGTGTTCTAGCATTACCTTCAAACTTTTTGATGGTGATCTCAAAACAACTGATCCCTCAGCAGCTGCTGGCATATGGGCAACGTTTTCAACATCTGTGCTTGGAGCAGCAAGCATCCCATTTGCATCTTGTGTGATCTTTGAAGCCTCTGTTACAATCATCTGCAAACCAATTGTAGAATTTTAAGATGATGGCATCTCCTTAATAAGTACTTAGCGGTATAATGTTATAAGAATCCCTACAGGATATACGTAAAGATTAATATTGAAGATTACAATCTGTCTCTAAAAATTAAAAAATGATATTAAGAAACATATTTTTTTTCACCTTTCTCAAAAGAGAAGGGTCATAAACACCCTGAACTTGTAGCTCATCTACAGGAGCAGCTTTTCCATGTGCAATACTTTCAACTCGAAAAGTGTGGATACCATATATAGACTGCAGGCAACCTGAACAGAGAAATGAGAAAATCTAGTCAAAGAAAAAGGATAAGACATAGAAAACACAATGTAGGTGTGGTTTTAAGCACAAGATAAAATGTGCTTTGTTATGAGTATTTCTGGTATGCCTGCACCAGTACCTTGTTCAATAATGATATCAATCACCAGAGAAAGAGGTATACGCCTCTCAATTGTTACGGTGCCCCAAAATGGTATAAATGAAGGCCTTGATACCTTGACCAAGGGAGAAAGGGAATAAAATCAATTCCCATATCAAAACTCATATAGCAACATTACAATCATGTAGAAAGAATTCTTATATACCTTATAAACCACTTCAGTATGGGTAACATATAATCTGCGAGAAGACAAATCCTTTCGAAGCACATATCTTCTGATGGGCAGGTAAAGCAACATAAAAAGGCCAATTCCCCAAGCCAACACCAGTAGCAATGATATAGCAAGCCATATGACCGTGTCGTATTTAAGGTTGTTGCTTGCAAGCTCTTCAAAGGATGCTGAGTACAGTATCTGTTCCAAAAAATCTTCCTCGTCAGCATCACCTAATTCAGACCCAGAGTCAACAAGTATCTGATCCTTCCATGATCTCGACTCCGATATGTGATCTGCGTGACCAATCAACATGTCTTCAACCACAAACTAGTCAATAAGAAAGGTACACCAATAATAGCATTAGCTCCAAAAGAACTATAAAATTCCATGATTCTAGTGCAACTACTTCAGACATCCCTTAGGTAGCAAATTGAGATAGAAAAAAAATTCCAACATGAAATGTTCATCTTAACTGAACTGAATTATACAATGCAGGAAACTCTAAATCCCATAACACTCTGCAGTATTTCCAAAGCCATTTATACTTACATCTCTCAAAAAGTACAAACAAATATCGTAGCTTTACCTCACAATTCACTATTCAACTCGAAATAATAGACCAAAGAACGACCTAATTGGCAAACTTAAAAACAGGACAGAAGAATTGAAACAAACACCAACATCATAAACCATTTATGACATCCTCAAGAAACTAACAAACAATCATGAGTACCCATTTGCTTTTAGAGCCTATAGATAGAGAAGTTGGCTCAGAATTTGAAGGAAACAGAAGAGATGGATGACATCTAAGACAAAGGTGAAACCTTTACCTTGTGCTTTGAGGAAAAGCGTTGAGATGATTTATTGGGTACGTGTGAGAGGGACCTGCAAGATGGTGATTTCAGTACTATCTCGTGTGTAGGGTTTGTCTTTGGAGATGCAAGTGAAGTGGGAAAATTGGAGAATGAACACCAAACGTTCAACTGATAGAGAAGGCAAGGTTTCCACGTGAGAGGAGGAGCAAAATGAATTTCACTAGTAATTTTTTATTTTATTTTATTTTATCATCTTATTTTATATCATATAAAGATGAATATTAAGGATAAAAACTTCTCACAATTAAGAGTGTAGGTTACAAATTTAATAATAATAAAAAATGTGAGTTGTTAGCCTTAATAAAATTATTTAATTTTATAATTAATAGAGGATGACTAGTATAAAAAAATATATTAGATGATTCCATCTTCCTAAATTTTATACTTTATATTTTTATTTATTTTCTTGAAAATTCAAATGACTCCAAAATTATCCACTATTTGTATTATTAATTCATCAGTTAACTTAAAGTAAGATAATAATTTATTTTTTGTCAACTTAAATTCTAAAGCTTTTTATAATTTTTGATAAATTAATTAACATATTATACTATTACATAAAATTAAATTCTATATAAATTTTAATAACTTAGTTAAATTTTTTTATGCTGTAATGATTTAATTAACTAATTTAGTCAAAATATATACTCATTAAAAAGTTATATATTGTTATAATCACTTTAAGTATTATATCATTTATGAAATATTTCAAAGAGAAAAAAATAATATAACGTTATCATATGAAATGTATTATTTTTAAGGTTAAAATATATATATATATATATATATATAAATTTGTTATTGATTATTATATTTTTAAAGTTAATTAATTAATATTTAAATAAAAAGATTATAACTTTAGTCCTTTTACTGTATTATGAATTTTATAACAATAAAAACTATTATTAAATGTTAAATTTTTTATTAAAAAAATAAAAAGTATCAATTTAAAAATATAAAAAATAAAGATAAGTTTTAAAATAAATACCCACCAAAAAATCATAGTTATTTCTTATTTTATAATAGTATATATTATTTATAATTTTTATAAATAATTGAGCGTTGATTTGTGGTTGATTTTGTGTGTGGATTGGTAGAAAAACCCACCAGAATTTTGAAAGAAGACGTTGGATTCCACCTTGAAATTGAGAGTATATTCGTTCTGCTCATTTTCCTTTGTTTCTCTCTCCTTGCCATTAATTTTTTCACCACTTGATTTTCTCTCTAAGATCCCTTCCTTACCATTCTTTCCTTCTACCTCTTTACTTGACCCCTTCAAGGTACCCTCTATGTCCACAATTTTAACCTTTTAATTATTTATTTATTTTCTATTATTTTCTGCGACATTTATACATAAAATTTAAAATTTTGGGGTTATCTAGATTGGAAAAACAGAAAGGAACCAAAAAGGTGTGTTAGATTCTATTGGGTGGATTTTGGTTTTGGAAACTGAGGTGGTTTACTGGATTCTGAAGTATGCTTTTGTTGAGGATTTCAAAATCAATCAGTGATTAATAATCAGTCCTTAAGAAAAGAATAAGCTTGAGGTTGGCTTCTGATGAATGGTATGGATTGTGGTTTTTCTTGTTCTTTGTTTTCTTAAATTTGTTCCGTGATGTATTAAATAGAATATTTTCCTAAGAAAAATTGGGAATTGGGACACTTTCCTTTTTATATACATCAAAATATGAGAAGCTTTTGATGTCGAATGAATGGTGGTTAATTGTTATTATGGACCATGGAATGCGTAAAAAATGCTGAATGCGAAAAAAAAATTCATAGTCCTGGCAGCACCAACCTTCTTTTAAATCTATCTGCAATCTAAATACCTTTATATCTGAAAGAGAGATGGAAATATATTTTCTGTGACATTATAACTTTATTGTTCAAGCAGTTTTGTCTTTAATGGATGCTGCTAATGTGCCTGACGTTTACTTTTGGAGGCTTCCCGTAAATTTGTAATATTATAATATGCACTGATGTGTATTGTTATCCATATTTTTCAGCAAATGTTTGATTTATTTTCCTTTTTTACTTGTGCCATTATGTATGATAAATTTTGGCTAATATATATATATATATAATTTTTTTTTTCTTTTTTACTTTTTTGCAGTTTAAGTGATCATTTAGTATCCTCTAAGACAGTATTTTGCTGATGATTTTCCTCTGCAATTGAGTTCTGAAACATAATGATGAGATTTCTGAGTTGAACCTAGCCAAGAATCAGATGGATAAGAAAGAGCATATTGCAATTTTTACTACTGCTAGCCTTCCGTGGTTGACAGGAACAGCTGTGAACCCGCTGTTTCGTGCTGCATATCTCTCCAAAAGTGGGGAAAGAGATGTCACCTTGGTGATCCCTTGGTTATCTTTGAAAGATCAAGAACTAGTATATCCCAACAATATTACATTTGCTTCACCTGCAGAACATGAGAAGTATATCCGCCAATGGCTCGAGAAGAGAGTTGGATTCAGTTGTGGTTTCAGTATACTGTTTTATCCAGGAAAGGTGATAATTTCTTTGTATGTAAAAGTATTTGGTAATCGATTTGAACATCTATCAGCTTTTACTTTTAAAAATTATCTGATTTCTATTCTATGCAAACCTTATTGTTATCTAAGTAGTGATAATTTGTTCTATATTTATAATGTAGTTTTCAAGAGATAAAAGAAGCATCCTTGCTGTTGGAGATATTTCAGAAATAATCCCTGATGAAGATGCGGATATTGCAGTGCTAGAGGAGCCTGAACACTTAACATGGTATCACCATGGGAAAAGATGGAAGACTAAATTCAAGCTAGTTATAGGAATAATTCACACGAATTATTTGGAATATGTGAAGAGAGAAAAGAATGGAACCATGCAAGCGTTTTTGCTGAGATATTTAAACAACTGGGTTGTTGGTATATATTGTCACAAGGCAAGTTATTATATCCTCTTGGAAAATAGTACATATGTATCCAGTGTTTACCTTGTCATTCTGGCTTTTACTGCTTCAATAAATGAAGCTTGGAAATTGAATTTGTCATAGTTTTTGTGAGAAATCAAATAGTATTTTAGGAAAGAATAAATAAGGAAATTTGTATATTTCCTTGTAATCTGTATAGATTTGAATAATTAGGAACAATCCCATAAATCAAGGGATCCTAGCATAAAATAGAGTTATTATATTTCCTAAAATAGTTTAGGTCTCTTGTATATATCTTATATCATCTCTTTGTATTGAAATAATAAAATATCATATTTCAGTTAATCTATTTTTCAATATGGTATCAGAGCCAAAGCCTACATCTTTCCGGTTATTGTCATGGGCCAAAAGTTGCCCTTTAGTTGGGTCAAAAGTACCCTTTGCTTGGTCCGACAGGTTTCGTTGGAGGGGGCATGTTGAAAGTCCCACATCGCCTACCTCATGTCATTTGGTATGGTTTAAATACATGTTAGGCTACTCCACATATTGCCAATTGGTTTTATGTTGGAACCTTAACATGGTATCAAAGCACAAACGTATATCTTTTCCAATAAGTAATAGAATTAGCAATTTCCCTTTTTATCTTGTTCATACTGATGTATGGGGACCTTCTAATATTCCAAATGTGTCTGGTACTCGATGGTTTGTCACCTTTATAGATGACTATACAAGGGTCACTTGAGTTTTCCTACTTAAACAAAAATCAGAAGTCAGTTCTGTCTTCCTAAACTTCCACTCCATGATAAAAAATCAGTTTGGTGTTAATATTAAGAGGCTTAGGTCAGATAATGCCAAAGATTACTTCAATCATGTCCTTAATTCTTTCTGTCAAAAAGAAGGTATAATTCATGAGTCCTCTTGTGTCAAAACACCACAACAGAATGGGGTCGCAGAGAGGAAAAATGGACATCTATTAAATCGGACTCGGGCATTGTTGTTCCAAAAAAGTGTCCCAAAAAATTTACGGGGAAGTCGTCCTTACGGCAACATACCTTATCAATAGACTACCCTCTAGAGTCTTAGGATCAAAAAGCCCTATGGAAGTTTTGTCGTCTTTCTATCCAAACTTGTCTACTACAAATAATCTTAAACCAAGAGTTTTTGGGTGCATCTCATATGTCCATATTCATAGTACAGACAGGGGAAAACTTGATCTTAGAGCCTTAAAGTGTGTCTTTGTTGGTTACTCACCCACTCAAAAAGGGTATAAATGCTACCACCCCCCATCCAAAAAATTCTTTGTGTCTAGGGATGTTACCTTCAATGAACAAGAGGGCTATTTCCATCAACCTTATCTTCAAGGGGAGAGTTTCAGGAAAGATAAGGAAAGTAGTGATTCTGGTTTTCCCATTCTTCCAGACTTGACATTTGAACCTAAACGAAATCATATTGAAAGTAGTAATTCTGGTTTTCCCATTCTTCCAGACTTGATATTTGAACCTAAACAAGATCAAATTGAAGATCAAATTGAAGTTGTAACAAATGAAACAAGTCAAGGAATTGGTCAAGCAAAGGAAGTTGGTCAAGAAAGTGAAATTAATTGTGAAGCTGATCAAGAAGATGTTGAAACTGGAAAATTTGGTAAGAAGCTGGTGTACTCAAGGAAGACTAAGGCCATTCCAGGATCAAGCCATGTTCAAGAATCCAACTCGACTCCACAAAAAGAGGTAACAATTTTTTCTCCAGCTGTGCAGGTTGAAATTGAAACCCAAAATGATTCTGACCTCCCAATTGCCATTAGAAAAGGAACAAGAAAATGCACCAAACAACCACTATACCCTCTCTCAAATTACCTGTCCTTTAAAAATTTCTCTCCTACCCATAAAACCTTCCTAGTAAACCTAAACACTGTACTTCTACCTAATACCCTATCTGAGGCATTGTCTGACAGAAGTTAGTCACCTTACCAATAGGAAAGAGGCCAGTTGGATGTAAATGGGTCTATATAGTGAAATACAAGGCTGATGGATCAATTGAGAGATATAAGGCAAGACTAGTTGCCAAAGGGTTCACCCAAACCTATGGAGTTGATTATTTGGAGACCTTTGCTCCGGTTGCCAAAATGAACACAGTTAGGGTGATATTGTCCCTTGCTGCCAATTATGGTTGGAACTTGGAACAATTTGATGTTAAGAATGCTTTCCTACATGGAGACCTTGAAGAAGAAATCTATATGGAGATACCTCCGGGATATGGTAAAGATGTTGCTACCAACACTGTTTGCAAGTTGAAAAAGGCATTATATGGGTTAAAACAGTCCCCCCGTGCATGGTTTGGCAGGTTTACTGAAGTTATGACAGGTCCGGGTTACAAACAAAGCGAAGGGGACCATACTTTGTTTTTTAAACATTCCAAGTCGGGGGAGTAACAATATTATTGGTGTATGTGGATGACATAATATTAACTGGAAATAATAAAGAAGAGCAACAATTATTGAGTCAATGCTTAGGCAAGGAATTTGAGATCAAGACTTTGGGAAAACTAAAATATTTTTTGGGAATTGAAGTTGCCCACTCCGAGAAAGGGATATTTATATCTCAGCAGAAATACATCAGCTGATTTGCTCAAGGAAACCGGCAAGGCGACTTGCAAACCTGCTAGTACCCCATTAGAACCAAACCTAAAGCTTGGAAATGCGTAAGAAGATGTTGCTCGTTGAAAAAGATATGTACCAAAGATTAATGGGCAGACTTATATATTTGTCACATACCAGGCCGGATATTGCCTATGCAGTGAGTTTAATTAGCCAATTTATGCATAGCCCAAAGGAGACCCATTTACAAGCTGCCCACGAATTTTACGGTACCTTAAAGGAACTCCAGGAAAAGGGATTCTATTCAAAAGGAATGGTAATGTGAAACTTGAAGCTTATACTGATGCCGATTATGCGGGGTCAATTGTGGATAGGAGGTCAACTACGAGGATATTGCACCTTTCTTGGAGGAAATCTTGTGACTTGGAGAAGCAAAAAGCGTGGTGTAGTGACTCGATCCAGGTCTTGAAACGAATTCCAAGCCATGGCATAAGGTATATGTGAGTTGCTATGGCTTAAAATCATCTTAGAAGACTTGAGGATAAAGTGGGAAGAACCTATGAAGCTCTATTGTGATAATAAGTCAGCAATCGGTATAGCCCACAACCCAAGTGCAAGCATGATAGAACAAAGCATATTGAAGTAGACAGACACTTCATCAAAGAAAAGCTTGATAGTGGCTTGATATGCACTCCATATGTGTCCTCTCAAGACCAAATTGCGAGACATTCTTACCAAGGGACTGGGCTGCCATAATTTTGAGAAGATTGTATCCAAGCTGGGAATGGAAAACATCTATTCACCAGCTTGAGGGGGAGTGTGAGAAATCAAATAGTATTTTAGGAAAGAATAAATAAGGAAATTTGTATATTTCCTTGTAATCTGTACAAATTTGAATAATTAGGAACAATCCCATAAATCAAGGGATCCTAGCATAAAATAGAGTTATTATACTTCCTAAAATAGTTTAGGTCTCTTGTATATATCTTATATCATCTCTTTGTATTGAAATAATAAAATATCATATTTCAGTTAATCTATTTTTCAATAGTTTTCAATTTTCACCTGCAAAGATGAATTGAGTGCTCGTCTTGTCAGCAACATTGCTAGCAATTATCAGTTGGTACTACTAAATGAATGTTTTCTGGTGGCTACTTTATTCAAACTAATATATATTGTCCAACCCAATATATAAATGTGTTTGTGTGTATGTACTGAAGAATGTAAATATCTGTAATTTCCCATCTTTGCATTAACTTGAGGTACTGAACAAAATTTAAGCATTTGGTTGGAGGAGATTGGTTTTCTTTTTCTTTGCTGTTTTGTATTTCCTTTCTTTTAAGGATCTGTTATCTTTATCTTAAATTTTCTTATTTGACCCAGGAAAAAAGTGAAGACGATATTGACTAACACAATGTTTTATTCGTCCATTTTGATTTCTTAACCAGTTATTGTTATAATTATGAATGTATAGATCCAGTTCTTTTTGTTATGCATGCATATGCGTGTCCTCAGGTTAGGTAAAAATAATGCATTGATGATGTTTCATAGGTATTATTCTTTTGTGTGGATGAAAATCTAACGTAAACAAAGCTGTCCTCAAAGCAGTAGCTTTACATTCTCAGCATAGGTAAATGAATATCATCCTAGTGAGAAATAAGAATGAGACTTCCATTTTATGATTCGTCATGAAAATAATATTAACGCTCATCATAAGCTTGCAAGGTATGCGTGCTTGTTCTCTTGGTTCTGATTAGCTGAATATTTGCAGGTAATAAGATTATCTGCTGCCACCCAGAACTACACTGAGTCCATCATCTGTAATGTTCACGGTGTTAATCCAAAATTCCTTGAGATTGGCGAGAAAAAGAGGGAGCAACAACAGAAGGGAGACAAGGCCTTTACCAAAGGTGCCTACTTTATTGGGAAGATGATATGGAACAAAGGCTACAAGGAATTGCTCCAACTTCTTAAAGATCATCAAAAGGAATTATCTGCTCTCGAGGTTGATTTATTTGGTAGTGGAGAGGACTCAAATGAAGTTCACAAAGCTGCAGAAAAGTTGCAACTGACAGTTAGAGTTCACCCAGCTCGGGATCATGCTGATGCTCTATTCCACGAGTAAGTTCCCTACTGATCTGCATACATCACGTTTGAATTCATTTCAGTTAGATATGTTAAATTCTTTGCTTATCTGTAACAAAATGTTCCAGTGGTCCTTAATTTCGAGAGGAAAGATAATATCGTAACAAATTATTGTTGTAATGAATTTCTGTTAACAACAAACAGTTTGTTATAGGAGTTGTTATTTTCGATTTGTTATTTTCTAGTAACAACTTTATGTATATATACAACACAATTTTGAGAAATAAAGAGACGGGGGAGAAGAAAACGAGTTTACATGGTATCAGCCAGAAAACCTTGAGATCTGCACATGGAAAACCCAATAAATGGTGATGAGAGTGTTGCGACATCTTCAGCAATTGAAGATGCTCAAAGAAAGAAAGCTTCCCGTATGATCTCAACTCTAGTGACAATCCTGGAAACGTAATTGCTCAGGTGCAATTGAAAGGTGATGACTGTGATGAATGGGCTAGAGCTATGAAGAGGTCATTGAGAGCCAGAAGAAAGTGGAGTTTCATTGACGGAACCATAGCAGAACCCAAAGAAGGATCCCTAGATTTTGAAGATTGGTGCACTGTCCAAGCCATGTTGGTTTCATAGATCTTGAATACAGTAGAACCTAAACTAAGAACTTCGTATCATACTTGGAAACAGCCAAGGAGGTATGGGATGACATTAAAGAAAGATTTTCTGTTGTGAATGGACCCCGAATTCACCAGTTGAAATCAAAACTAGCACAATGTAAGCAAGGAGGGATGCCCATAATAGCCTATTATGGAAAACTGGAAGAACTGTGGGATGATCTCGCAACTCATGACCCAGTTATCATCTGCACCTGCAACGGGTGCACTTGTGGAGTTGCTGCGAAACTTGAGAAATGCAAGTCTGTGATACTTGTCAAAGGGCAAAACAAACTAGAGACACATTTCCCTTAAGTATTAATCAAGCTTCTACTATATTTGATTTGATTCATTGCGATTTATGGGGTCCATATAGAACTCACTCAACTTGTGGCGCTTCTTATTTTCAGACTATTGTTGATGATTGTTCGCGTGCGGTGTGGATATTTTTGTTAACTGATGAGAAACAAGTCACCAAAATGTTGACAAATTTTTTTGCTATGGTAGAAAGGCAATTTGAAAAAAGGGTTAAAATCGTGCGTAGTGACAATGGAACAAAATGTATATGTATGAAAAATTATTTTTTGGACCATGGAATCGTTTTTCAAACTTCCTTTATAGGCACACCTCAATAAAATGGGCGGGTTGAATGCAAACATCGTCACATTTTGAATGTTGCACGTGCCCTACGATTCCAAGGAAATCTGCCAATTAAATTTTGGGACGAGTGTGTTTTGACAGTTGGTTATTTGATCAATCAAACTCCAACCAAAATACTAAAAGGCAAGACCCCGTATGAAGTGTTAAATGGACAAGAGCCTTCCTATACACACCTATGTGTTCTTGGCTCTCTATTTTGCTCACAATCATAATACTCATGGTGACAAATTTACAAGTTGTAGTAGGCGATGTGTATTTATGGGATATCCCTATGGACAGAAGGGTTGGAGACTTTATGATTTAGAAACTCATGAGTTCTTTGTATCAAGAGATGTTCAATTTTTTGAAAATCAATTTCCCTTCACAAATTCAGAAAATGACCCTAGTTCATCTCTTCTCATACCTACTGAGCCCATGGTCTTCGATGATATAGAGGACTTCTGAGTCAGGGGGCACAAGTCGTGTCATAATAGACGTACCTACTGCTGCGTCAACATCCCTTCTAGCACACATTAGGGACATCCCTGATGCTGTTGGGTCTATTATCGATGAGCCATCTGCTGTTGTTTCACGCACTGAAGATTCTGCCCAGGACCTAGAAGCACCAGAAACTCTAAATTTCTCTCATGATAAACCTCCTTCTTTACTTCTTGACATCGCATCAAACAAAAATCCACCAGATTACAGGGGTTCGTCACGAATATTGCACAAATCTTGAGTCCATCCCCGTTTTCATCAGCTCCATCATCGTCTTCAGGTACTCTATATCCTATTGCTCACTATGATAATTGTGACCGGTTTTCTGTGCCCCATAGGCAATTCCTTGCAGCATTTAAATAGAGAGAGAACCTTTGTTCTTTCACGAGGCAGTACAAGATCCTTGATGGCGACGGGCTATGCAGGATGAGATTGATGCTCTCGAATGAAACGATACCTGGATGATACAACAATTGCCTCCTGGTAAGAAAGCTCTCGGATGCAATTGTTGTATTATAATTCTTTGCCCCAGAATGGGTGAGTGTTTCAAAGCTCGCTTAGTTGTTCTTGGAAATCATCAAAAGGAAGGCATAAATTACACAGAGACCTTTGCCCCAGTTGCCAAAATGGTAACTGTATGCACTTTTCTTGCTATAGCAGCAGCCAAGTCTTGGGAACTCTATCAAATGGATGTACAAAATGCTTTTCTCCACGGGGATCTCCATGATGAGGTGTTCATCCGCATGCCTCCTGGTTTTACCGTTTCTTCACCTCACATGGTGTGCAAATTACGCAAATCTTTATATGGCTTGAAGTAGGCTCCACGTTGCTGGTTCACTAAGCTGTCTCATGCTCTTGTTTCCTATGGCTTTCAGCGATCATGTCTTGATTATTCTCTCTTTACTTTGCATCACGATGACACTCAACTCGCTATTTTAGTTTATGTTGATGATCTCATTATTGTGGGAAATGACTCTTCCGCCATCAAAAGATTTAAAACATATCCCAGCGAATGCTTCCACATGAAAGATCTTGGCACATTAAAGTATTTTCTGGACATTGAGGTTGCTCATAGTCCTATGGGAATTTTCTTGTGTCAGCGCAAATATACGCTTGATATTATCTCTGAGGCTGGTCTTCTTGGTGTCAAACCAGCTGGCACTCCATTAGAGCAAAATCATCACTTGTCCTTAGATTCTGGCACACTTCTTGTTAACCCGGAGTGTTATCGTCGCTTGGTTGGGCGCTTGATCTATCTTTGCTTCACTCGTCCTGAGCTGTGTTTTAGTATGCACACCTTATCTCAGTCTATGCAGCAACCTCATATTGTGCACTAGGACGCTGCTCTCCGAGTGGTTCACTTTCTCAAAGGCAATCCAGGACAAGGTATATTTTTGTCAAGCAGAAGTGATCTCCAGCTTCACGGGTGTTGTGATTCTAACTGGGCTAGTTGTCCTCTCACCCATCGTTCCGTAACTGGTTGGCTTGTCCAACTGGGGCAATCTCCTGTTTCGTGGAAAACCAAGAAACAACATACAATCTTGCGTTCTTCGGCTAAAGCTGAATATCGCTCCATGGCCACAACTACTTGTGAACTCAAATTGTTAAAAGGGATTCTTTCTGATCTTGGCATTGCTCACCCCAAACCTATGATCCTTCACTGTGATAGTCAAGCGGCGTTGTACATCATAAAAAATCCGGTGTTTCATGAACGTACCAAACATATTGAAGTTGATTGTCATTTTGTCCGCAATGAGGTTCTCCAACAGAATATTCTTCCCACTTATGTCTCTACAACAGTACAACTCACAAACATCTTTACCAAAGTGTTGGGAAAATCTTTGTTCGAATTCTTAATGGACAAGTTGGGCATTCTGAATCTTCATGCTCCTACTTGAGGGGTGTAATACCGTAACAAATTATTGTCGTAACGAATTACTGTTAACAACAAACAGTTTGTTATAGGAGTTGTTATTTTCGATTTGTTATTTTCTAGTAACAACTTTATGTATATACACAACACAATTTTGAGAAATAAAGAGACGGGGGAGAAGAAAACAAGTTTACAAAAGTAATATAAAATTGGAATCTGGATTTTAATATTCAATTGGAAGTTAATGGATCAAATATTGAAACCATAAGATTTAAGCTAATAAGTCTCTTGTTACTTTAGATGAACAGATAAGAATATCTGATTCAGGCTTTTATACAGGGTAGTTTTTCTGGTCGTTATGAGGCTCATGCATACCATTTAGTCTTTTCATACAGTATTTTATGATAACCCCTTAGGGAAAGGGAAATAAGTTGAGTTATAACATGAAACATTTCATATTGTGAATTATTTTGCAAGTATAAAAATCATTCTGGTATTTAATTTTTGCCCGTCTTGTCATACTTGCTATTTGTTCACTTGGATGTCAGTTTGTCACTTGGTCAGTTGTGTGCTTACTAAGAATTATATAGTTTTAGTATTGCATAGATGTAGTCGTAACTATAAAGCTGATAATAACTTAGCATATGATATGTTGCCACCATGCCATCACTTACGAGTAGGAAAGGCTGTTTTCTTCAATTTTCTCCATTCTTTTCTTCAAATATTTTGTAGAGTCTTTTAATTTATATCCTACCTGAAATGAAATTCCTATTTGACAATGCACTAATGGAAACATGTGCCTGCTAACACTCCATTTCCTGTACACCAGTTACAAATTGTTTCTTAATCCAAGCACAACAGATGTGGTTTGCACCACAACAGCAGAAGCTTTAGCAATGGGCAAAATTGTTGTATGCGCCAACCATCCTTCAAACGAGTTTTTCAAGCAGTTTCCAAATTGCTGGATGTACGATAACAGTGATGGATTTGTTAGACTGACACTGAGGGCACTGGCTGAAGAGCCTGCTCAACCTACTGATGCTCAGAGACATGAGCTATCTTGGGAGGCTGCAACAGAACGGTTTCTTAGAGCTGCTGGCCTGGACAAGTCTTCAGAGAAAAAATTGTCTAGAAGTTCTTCAAACTTTATGGCTGCCTCATTAAATTTGCAGCATACAGTAGATGAAGCATCAGCATATGTGCATCATGTAGCTTCTGGGTTTGAGGTATCAAGAAGAATCTTTGGTGCTATTCCAGATAGCTTGCAGCCAGATGAAGAGCTACGCAAGGAGCTTGGGTTGAGTAACGCTGCCAGGAAATAAGGTTACAGAAAATTGATGTTGGAATGCTGTGATATTAGTGTAAAGATTCCTTTGTTTATTTCCTACTTAAAATGTTCAGTGCAAATAGTCTCTTTCTGGCAACATTGGAAAATGTTTGGTGCCTGGAATACATATGTAAAGCAAGGCAACCCTGCATGTGTAGCATCCAATGTGTCCATTTAATGCACAACTTCTGTTCATCTAAGTTTTATCAGTTTATATATTACTATCAATAATGCATTGTAAAAGAATATTTCTAAGATAATACGTGTAATGTTGTTAATTCTATGAAGGAATGTGCTGGTAGTGTTTTCATATGGTACTACTTATATTCACATGGAAGGTGGAAGCTTTGTCTCCACTGTACAGAAAGTAAAATCCTTTGTCCCCGTGAAGAGAAATAAGAATAATAATCTAATAGATATAGTTGTAAATGAAAATAAAGTTAACACACACTCTCTTAATTAAATACATCTTAATTCAACATAACAAATTGTGTCAAAGTTATTTTTAAATAAATTTTAATATTTCTTTTTCTCTCTAACGAAAAATAAGTTCTAATAACATTCCATTTAATTTATAATCATCTTTTTTTTTTTTAATTTGTTTTATTGTTATTTTTAAATATATATTTGGTTTTAATTTTTTATTTCGAGTGAATCAATAAATGTCATTATATAATGCATATATATAAAATAAAGTTTTGATGATTTGTCATATATGACATGCACGTGGCATATGATGTTTTACCCAATATAATAGAAGAGATAATATTAATTTATTTATTTTTTAAATCAAATTTATATTAAAAATAATAGTAATATAAAATTAAAAATTTGAAGAGTACTGACACGAAATAATTTATTAATCCTTTTTTAATTTATTTTTTTTATCTTATTGTTATATTTCTTTTTTCTCATAAAGATATAAATTAAAAGGGAAATTGTTATTGTTATTATTATTATATATGTAACACATTTGAAAATATTATACTGATATAATTTTTATTTTAAAATATATTCATGAAATATGGTTTTTCAACAATACAAAAAATAAAAAATATACGTGAGAGTAAGAAAGAAATGTTTTAAAAAGGGTACCAATATTATTAATTATTTAAAAACCCATTTTTGTTATGCTTTAAATTTTTTAATGGGAGTTGTTTATTGAAATGTTTAAACAAATTATTAGTTGTTTGAAATCATTTTTCATTGGATAAATCTTATGTAATGTGACATGATAATTGCTTAAATTTTTTTAATAATTATTTTATAAAAAAATATAAAAAATAAGAAAATCAAAGTAAATAAACTAAGAAAATAGAAGAAAGAATGAATTTTTTTAAATTTATTAAGAAAACATCTAATGAAGTAAAATTAATATTAATTTTTTTTTAAATAATGTGACATCATAAATCATATATTTTTATATTTTTTTTTATCTAAAAACCAAATCCGGTGAGTTGCTCTTGTTAGAGATACCCTTATAACATGTAAATAAGAAAAGTTTTCATGAGAAATTTTTATTGATGATTAAATAAAGTATTAATTGTTTGAAATAGAAAGGAATCTTATGTAATAGCTTAGAAAGAAACTTTGATCAATGTATGTAAATTTATCAAAATGTACTATTATTTCTACAATAAGTTCTCATTTTTTTTTTGGCTGCCTGAAGAACTTAAATGAAAATTAAATTCAAAATATGTTCAAACATTGTTTTAATAATAATATTTTTCCTTTCAAATTAACCTTGACTTTTTACACGTCATCAGTGTTCACAGGCGAAAAAACGACGTCGTGTTAGTAACGAAGAACCTGAAGCTGAACCTACCGTTTTAAATCAGTAACGGATGTATCCATAACCTGGTCGTTGGTTACCACCTCAGAAACCCAGAAACTATCAGCAAAACGACGAGCCACTTCCGACCCAGTTTCGAATTCACGTACAAAACCACACTAAGGAAACACCGTTTGAGCCCTGTGCAATGTTTCATACATTGAACACGTTTTGGGCATTCCCTCAGTCCGCCATTTCTGACACGTGCTTAAAACAAGCGTTAATCATTACCCCATTTGTATTTTTACATTGTTTGATCATTTCAGATTTAAATTTTCTCCCTTTGACAGCCTTGTGCTGTGGATTCTGCTGTTCGAGGCTCGGCAGCATCAAAGGGTTCCAACTTAAGTCTATTTTTTATTGATTCATTGATCCTCAAACTGAGGTAAAACCTTTGATTAGTCGTTTGAGATCACTATTTCTCATTCAATTAACATGTTCTGCTTGATTTTTTAGAGTCTTACAATAGGGTTGCATTGCGTTGCCGGGGACTTAATTTCTTTTATTCCATTTTTCACTCATTTTTCTGTGTTTCATTCCTTTCCCCCCATCATCTACTGAATTTTTTTATATTATTATTATTTAAATGGATTTTCGGTATTCAGTTTGATGTATCGTAATTCAGAACAGAAATCAATTTGCTTTTGTAGGATGGAAATTTCAATCTTCAGTGAATTCAGTGCTCAAATATATATTTCAATTCTGCTGACTCTTTGATGTGTGTTGTAGCCTCTTTTTCTCGTTAGTTTGCGTTTGGCAGGCTTTGGTTCCTTCTTTCTCTTAACCTATAGTGTAATTTAGGGTTATTACTGTACTCCTTTTCCAATGTCAGCGCTTCTTGCTGAGGATTGGAATTGATGTCTGTTGGATGGACCATATACTAACCACAAATCTTAATTCTATGTTTGATGCACTTCCTATGTTGGCATTTTCTTCTTTTTCTATCCCTAGTTAATTGGAATAATGGTTATTCATGGAAAATCCCACTGTCTGGTTTGAGTAATGAAAACCATTATTAAAACTGTGCTAAACACCTTGGTTATGCAGGTTAAGCAGTTTTGATTTACCAATCTGCCTCATCTTAAAATATGTGAGCTTTTACTTCTTTCTCCTTACTTTTGAATAGTTTTCTTTGTGCATTGCTAAGAACCAGCGTACCAATTAGCATGCCCTTATATTTTACTCTGTAGTTTCTGACTTTGCTGTCTTGGCCAGAAATTATGAAATGTTACATTTGTCGTGGTTTGAGATATTTCTCATCCTTTTTCCTGAATTGATACTTCCTGGGGAAAAGGAGAAACCAAGAAACTGGAATTCTTTTTATGTTTTCTCTGGGGAATATAGACTTTAGGGGTTTTTAGTTAAATGAATGCATTATTAACCCATCAATCACTTCTTAATAGTTAACCACTTGTCAAACTGGTTATTACTAATATAAACTTATTTCCATATCCAGTAAATCTAATTTAATAGTAATATAGTAAGATTTCAACATATTTTTGTTACTATTCACTTAGATTTTTTCCTTGAATTTTTTGTCAACTTTTTCTTATCAGAACCTGTATTTTTTCTGGTTCTCATTAACAACTTCCATGAGTTGTAAGAGCTAACTAATAGCACTAAAATCACATAGTTTGAGAAGCTGGAAGTTTAGTATTCATTTTTCATACAAATGAACAAGTATTCTTTACCTCTTGCCATATCCACGTCACTCACTGTGTAAATATGTGAATGGATTTATATTTTTATCTCATTAGAAATATACTCAGTAATTGATGTGTTTGGTAGAATAAGACTTCGATGATCTTATTAGAAGAGTTGGATTTGATCTGTGAAGGTAGCTAGTAAGTGCACTAAGTTATTACATTGCTACAAATTGAAAGTATGCAATTTGTGGTTGTAGTGATATACTAACATGGATTTGGAGGATAGATTAAGTACAACAGATCCACATGGTTTGGCAGACGATGCAACTGCAGAAACTGAAGCTGTTTCAAACAAAGTGAGTTTTAAATTTTGTGGTGCTTTTAATTCTTTTTGTTTTTCTGTAACACTAACATAAGAATAAAGCATAATAGTTTATTTCCTAGGAGCCAACCTCTCTTCTATGGTAATTGTTTTTCAAGTTGTCTGCCGCTGAATACTCATGGCAAGTCAAGTGTTATCTAGTCATGGTTGAGCATTTGTTTCATTTTTTTTTTCAGCAGTGAATTTTAAGGTCAAAGATAATTAAGGTATTATCTGATGTGTATTTTTTTTTTCTCTGGTTTCAAATGGAAAGTCTCTAGGAGTTAGATTTTAATTTAAAGAAGAGATGATGAAAATTTATATCCTCTTTTCTGAGTAGATGATATACTTGATATTGAATATTTTATTCTTAGAAGTACTTTTGATTAAGGAGCCAACCTATTATATCATCTTCATACTAAATTAACCCTGCCAGAAATTCATTTTAGGAGAAGCAAATTGGAAAAGTAGTTGGAGATTATGTTAAGCTTTCTGATGTCTGCACTAGTTGGTCTATTTGTTTCTAGAAAATGCAAGGATTCTAAATTGGATGGGTTTAGGTTGTTTCGATGTAATGTGGGATGGGATTTTGTTTCTGGCTACCTTGAAATTCCCATAAATGTGTTTATGAAAGGGATTCTGTGATGGAGGTTTTATATTGTGATTTTGATTATTTGATGTGTTTTATGAGTTTTCTTATATTGATGTTATTTTATCAAATTTAGTAAATCTCGGCTGTAGGATCATACAATACCATATCTGTCATCTATTAAGTTTACTATTAAACCATTTACCTCTAATATTCTAAATCACTCGTAATTTTTTTACCTATAGTTTTTCGATGACTCCTGTTGAAGTATTTATTAGATTAAGTGTATCTTGTTGGACATTTATGAGATTAGTTGTAGACCTAGTTCCTAGAATGCATCTGTTTATCTTCTCTAGGATTAATCATGTCTCTCTATTAATTGTATCTCTGAATCTGTATTTTTATCTCCTATAAATAAGAGAACACAAGAAGATGATTTCAGGCTCTCAAAATCAGTTCTTTATTTTCTTTTTTCTATTTCAAGTTGGTATCAGAGCGGGTTCATCCCGCTCTGCCTGTCTCTGTTTTTTTTCTGGCATTAATCGCCGTTCACCGCCGTTCGCCGCCGGTGCTGTCTTCTCCGGCGCCTTTTTCCTCTCTGACACTTGGGTTTGGCTCGCCTCGAGGAGCGCGACCCAACCCCAGTGTTCGCTTCCTCTATCTCTGCCTCACGCGCCGCCACACGCCACCCTCGTCCGCGGCTTCCTCCGCGCGTGGGCCTCACGCGCCGCCCTCTCGGTGGTTGTTTTGCTCCAGGCCACCTCTATTCGGCTCGCCTCGTCGCTCTGGTGCCAGATCTGCTCTTTGTTTTGTGTTCTCGGTCACAAAACATGGTGGGTCTGCGTTTTTCTCTCTGCCTCTCTCGGTCCTCTCTCTGACAGCATGTTGGTCCTTTCTTCTTTCCTAGAAAATGTCAGGACCTGTGTTTGTATCTTTTTCTGGGACTCCGACTATAACCATAGAAAAATTAAATGGAAAAAATTATTTGTCTTGGGCTTCCTCTGTTGAGCTCTGGTTTCTAGGTCAAGGAGTTCATGATCATCTAGAAGAAGATGGAAGTACTATACCAGCAGATCAGGCTCCTCAATGGAAGAAACTGGATTATCAACTTTGTGCACTATTATGGCAATCTGTTGAACCACATATTTTGAGCACTCTTCGAGCCTTCAAGACATGTAATTCTTTTTGGAAAAAGGCTCAAAATATCTTTGCTAACGATATTCAACGACTTTATGATTCTGCTAATAGACTAGCCTCCCTTAAGCAAGAGGATAATTCCATGATGTCCTTTGTTGCTAAAGCTTAGTCAGCTGTTGAAGAATTAAAAATGTTCCTGGAGGCAGAATCATTAGAAGAAAGGAAGACGAAGCTGGATAAATTCTATATGGTAATGATTCTTAGGGCTATGAATCCAGAGTTTAATCATGTTAGAGACCAGATTCTAACTGGAGAAGAAGTTTCTTCTACGGTTCACAAGGCTACTTCGTGTTCCTTCTATCAAAAGCAAAAACGATCGGGAACTTGCCGATTCTTCCGCCATGATTTACGCTCGTGGAAGAGGTAATCACGGCTCTAGAGGACGTGGTGGGAAAGGACGTCCTCAGTGCTCTCATTGCAAAAGAATGGGACATACTAAGGAAAATTGCTTTGCTCTGCACGGCTTTCCTGATAAGGCAGCTAATACCTCAAAATCTGAAGTTGATGAGCCTAAGTTCTCTCATGAGGAGTATCAAGAATATTTAAGGATGAATCAACCAATTTGGCTCAAGCATCTACAACACCAAATTCGTCAACCGCTTGCATTTCGCAATCTGTGGAAAGTCAAAATCCATGGATTGTTGACTCAGGTGCTTTTGACCACATGTCTGGTAATACCTCTTTATTTTCCTCTCTTTCATTTCCTAAAACATCCCATCTCATATCTTTAGCTAATGGATCTAAAGTAGCCTCTAAAGGAATTGGTCAAGTATCCATCTCTTCTTCTTTAAACCTTCAAAATGTTCTTTGTGTTCCTTCTTTTCCATTCAGTCTTGTTTCTGTAAGCTAATTAACCAAATCATTGAATTGCTCAGTAACCTTTAATGCCAATTGTTTTGTTATCCAGGAACGTGGTACGGGTCGACTGATTGGAGAAGGACGTGAATCTGGAGGCTTATACTACCTTAGGACTAAGTCATCTGTATCTTGTGTTGCGTCCTTATCCCCAAAACTGTTACATGAGAGATTAGGGCATCCTCATTTAGCAAAATTGAAAAAAATGGTTCCTGAACTTCAGAACCTTCAAACTCTTGAATGTGAATCCTGTCAACTAGGGAAACATACCAGGTCATCCTTTCCAAATCATTATGAATCTAGATGTGATTCTGCTTTTAGTATTGTTCATTCAGATATATGGGGACCTAGTCGTGTTTCATCTTTTGGTTTTAGATATTTTGTTACTTTTATGGATGGGTTTTCTAGATGTACTTGAGTTTATCTTATGAAAGATCGTTCTGAACTATTGCCTATCTTTAAGTCTTTCCTTAATGAAATCAAAACTCAATTTGGAAAAGTAATCAAAGTTTTACGAAGTGATAATGCCAAAGAGTACTTTTCTAATGATTTTTCTAATGTCCTAAATTCTCAAGGCATTTTACACCAGTCCACGTGTCCTCACACACCACAGCAAAATGGTATAGCAGAACGAAAAAATAGACATTTGGTTGAAACTGCTCGTACCTTATTGCTGGGTGCCAATATGCCTATTCATCATTGGAGAGATGCTATTCTAATTGCATGCTTTCTCATTAATAGAATGACATCTTCTTCTCTTGATAATAAAGTTCCACACTCTATTCTATTTCCAAAGGAACCAATTTTTCATGTTTCTCCTAGGGTATTTGGATGTATATGTTTTGTTCATGACATGTCTCCTGGCTTAGATAAATTCTTACCTAGAGCTATCAAATGTGTCTTCTTGGGGTATTCTCGTCTTCAAAAAGGATATCGGTGTTATTCTCCTGAAACCAAGAGGTACTACATGTCTGCTAATGTCACCTTTTTTGAATCATCATCCTTCTTCCCTTATTCTATGCAGGATATTGATTCTGTCCAAAATGTGTTTCCTGTTCCCTTAGTTGAATCAGTTGTACCTCCTATTCCTGACACCCCAAATCCCAACCAAAATACTCTAGAATCAGCATCACAGCCTATCATCACCTATCAACGCAGGAACCAGGTGAACAATCCCATTCCCCAAGATGAGCCATCCATAACAGGTCCTTCACCATCATCCTCTAATACCACGGCTCCTGATAACGATGACTCCAGTTGGCCCATTGCCATTCGCAAAGGTACTCGTTCTACTCGTAATCCTCATCCCATTTACAATTTTCTTAGTTATCATGGATTGTCTCCTTCCTATTGTTCTTTTATTTCCTCTGTCTCCTCTGTTACAATTCCCAAAAATGTGGTCGAAGCGCTTGATCATCCTGGATGGCGACAAGCCATGATTTCTGAAATGCAGGCTCTTGATCACAGCAAAACATGGGACCTTGTTCCTCTCCCTTCGGGAAAGAAAACAGTTGGTTGTCGTTGGATCTATGCTATTAAAGTTGGGCCCAATGGTCAGGTTGATCGTTTTAAAGCAAGGTTAGTGGCTAAAGGGTATTCTCAAATATATGGACTTGATTATTGTGATACTTTTTCTCCAGTAGCCAAAATGACCATTGTCCGCCTATTCCTTGCCATGACCGCCATTCGTCATTGGCCTCTTCATCAATTGGATATTAAAAATGCTTTTTTGCACGGTGACTTAGAAGAAGAAGTTTACATGGAGCAACCTCCTGGATTTGTTGTTCAGGGGGAGTCTGGTTTGGTTTGTAAATTACGTCGATCCCTCTATGGCCTAAAACAATCTCCACGTGCTTGGTTTGAAAAATTCAGCTCTATTGTTCAAGCTTTTGGATTAAAACGCAGCGAAGTAGATCATTCAGTGTTTTATTGTCACACTACCCCTGACAAACATGTTTATTTAATTGTGTACGTTGATGATATTGTCATCACAGGGAATGAAGCTGCTAAAATATCTCAGCTAAAAGAGCACTTGTGTAGTCATTTTCAGACCAAGGATCTTGGAAATCTAAAATATTTCTTGGGTATTGAAGTAGCTCAATCAAGAGAAGGTATTGTCATCTCTCAAAGGAAGTATGCTCTAGATATTCTAAAAGAGACAGGTATGATTGATTGCAAACCTGTGGACGAGTCCTATGGATCCAAATTTGAAGTTAATGGCGGGACAGGGTGAAGTTTTCTCTGACCCAGAAAGATATAGAAGACTGGTTGGGAAACTTATTTATTTGACGATTACTAGACCTGATTTGTCTTTTGCAGTTGGTGTTGTCAGCCAATTTATGCAAGCTCCTTGTGTGGATCATTGGAATGCTATCATTCGAATCTTAAGATACATTAAAAAAGCTCTAGGACAAGGATTATTATATGAAGATAAGGGAAATACCCAAATTTTTGGGTACTGTGATGCTGACTGGGCTGGATCTCCTATGGATAGACGTTCCACTATAGGCTATTGTGTTTTCATTGGAGGAAATAACATTTCATGGAAAAGCAAAAAGCAAAACGTTGTTGCCCGATCCTCTGCTGAAGCTGAATATAGGGCAATGGCGTCTCTTACTTGTGAATTTGTTTGGGTAAAACAATTCTTGCAAGAATTGAACTTCTGTGAGATTCAATCTATGAAGATGTATTGTGATAATCAAGCTGCTCTTCACATTGCTTCCAACCCAGTATTTCATGAGAGGACTAAGCATATTGAGATTGACTGTCATTTTATTCGGGAGAAGTTGTTGACTAAAGAAATTTGTACTGAGTTTGTTGGTTCCAATGAGCAGCTTGCAGATGCATTAACAAAATCTTTGAGAGGACCTCGAATGGAATTCATTTGTTCCAAGCTTGGTACATTCAATTTGTATGCTCCACTTTGAGGGGGAGTGTTGAAGTATTTATTAGATTAAGTGTATCTTGTTGGACATTTATGAGATTAGTTGTAGACCTAGTTCCTAGAATGCATCTGTTTATCTTCTCTAGGATTAATCATGTCTCTCTATTAATTGTATATCTGAATCTGTATTTTTATCTCCTATAAATAAGAGAACACAAGAAGATGATTTCAGGCTCTCAAAATCAGTTCTTTATTTTCTTTTTTCTATTTCAAGTACTCCCTCTACCTTCAATTTATTGAACTTTCATCTAGTCAACCCTCTCTCTGTTTCTATGGCTATTCTTGGTACATGCTCAAAACCAATTATTCCCCTCAATTTTCAGTACTTTAGTTTCATTAGTTCAAGTATTATATTGGATAGAGGGTAAACTTCAGGAACTAAATTGACGATTTCCTCTTTTCTCTACAATGGGGCTACCCCAGCATTCCTTCAACTATGCAAAATTAAACTTACTTTTTTGTTAGCACTCTATTACCCAACAGACACTCAGCCCCATAAGCATTTTATCAAACTCCAACAATACATTCACTCTTAATGCTGTGTGTTGATAAAATTTGTCCTGGAGGTCTCAAGACATTTCGATAAAATTTTCATATAAATTTTAGTGGTGCTTTTCTACCTCATATCACCCTTGAAAAATTCCTCCATTTCACCCACTCTACTTGGATCTTGTTGTTTACATCATTCTTTGTCTTCCTTTCATTTTATAAGATGGACCAAGGTTCTTATAACGTGCAACTTTTGGTAGTGTTTTCTTTTCTCCAATTTTTTACCTACGTTAAAAATTGCTGTATTTCATGCTAAAGTTGCATTCAATTTATTGTCTCATACTTCTAACTTAGGTGGAATGTGTTTCCAAGGGTTGTCTCTGAATTTGTAACGTCCAATATGTTTCTTCTCTCGATTCTCCAACTAAGATTATCTAATCTACAAAAACCATGGACTACATTACCTTTCCTTGGATTAGTGTCTAGTAATCATCTCTAGAACCAAGGGAAAAAGATATTGACTCAAAGTAGACCTAGTGGACAAACTAACAGTTTATAATCCAAGAAGGAAAGGTATGGTTGGATGCTGATAATTGTGAGTGAGAAGGGTTTGATTGAATGCACTGAAAATAATAATTTAGTAAATCTTATTTGAAGAAAAATTAATTCAAGAAACTACATTGTCTAACTTAGGTGGAATGTGTTTCCAAGGGTTGTCTCTGAATTTGTAACGTCCAATATGTTTCTTCTCTCGATTCTCCAACTAAGATTATCTAATCTACAAAAACCATGGACTACATTACCTTTCCTTGGATTAGTGTCTAGTAATCATCTCTAGAACCAAGGGAAAAAGATATTGACTCAAAGTAGACCTAGTGGACAAACTAACAGTTTATAATCCAAGAAGGAAAGGTATGGTTGGATGCTGATAATTGTGAGTGAGAAGGGTTTGATTGAATGCACTGAAAATAATAATTTAGTAAATCTTATTTGAAGAAAAATTAATTCAAGAAACTACATGAATACCCACTGGTATTAGTTTGGTACTCTATCTTGCAAGTTCATCATACTAGATATAATTCTAGCTTGTGTAGTTTGTTTCATTCTTGTTCTTATATATATATGTGCAGAAAGAACGACCATTACGTTTGTATTTTGGGAATGGTCCAAGAGTCCACAAGAAACTATGCATAGAGTGGGGTGTGGTTAATAGACGCTGTGAATATTGTGGTAAAGTTGGACAACTAACTTGCTTTTCTCCAACCTTCCGAAATTGGGTATGTAAAACTTGAATATATTCTATAGTCGTACTAAATTACTATGAATACAATTATCCACAAAAGTATGACTTGTGACCATTTGTTGGCCTCTTCTTCTTTTTCCAGAATATATAGTTTCTAATGACATTTTGGTACGCATTTATGATTTTAGGCTTTAAGGAGAGTGACCGATGAAGAGCTCAATCAAACTTGCACAATATGCAATGAACGCGGGCACATCGATCAGGATTGTGATCTCCCTTTTACAACTCAAAAATCGGTACTTGAAGAATGAATTACACATCGATGCTGTTTATAACACAAAGAAAGTATACATGGATAATAAACACATGAGCAGAAAAAATAGTTGAAGTTATGAATGCAGAAGATAAGAAACTAATGGAGAAGAACATGGAAATATGATAGAATGAGTGGTTAGAATTGAAATGCATTTTGGTGTGAAACTTACCATAAAGAGGAGATAGGAATCTTTGGAGTAAAACTAAGTTTTGCATGTGACATTGTTGGAGGGCATGGTTTGTTAATAATATAGTCACTCCAACTTTTTCTTCTCAATTTGTAGGCTGAAATTTCTGCTCCCAAAGAAAGGAGGCAAGTGCATTGTGGATTGTGTGGTAAAGTTGGACATAACCGAAGAACATGTTTGCAAGCTGGACGTGATTGAATGTTTATGGCCACAGTATGTAATAGAAAATGGCAGTAACTTTTTTATTGTCTTCTCATTTCTCAACTATCCCTTCAAAACTTCTTCATTATAAACAAATTGATTATAAATAGAGGTTTGATTCTTCATAGTTTTCTTGCATTCCAAGATGGCTCATTTGTAGTTATAAGCCCTTGCATTTGTTGCAATAATATTAGTTGTGACAATGTTCACGTCTCTTAACTCTATCACAAAAGTAAGAGATGTAAAAAGAGATTAGATGAAGGTAAATTATAAAACAGATGGCATTATTATATAAACTCTTGCGTACCTAATTTAGAATTTAGATATATAATAACATTTATGAAATTGTTAAAAGACATAGCAGGTGAGTAATTTAAACCCAAAATTTATCTATGCAGTAAAATGAAATTATATTTCAATCGTTAAAAAATATTAAGCCTATCCAATCAATGTGAAAATCGAAACTACATTATTACATTCAAACCATATTAATTATAAAAAGTTATGTAAATATTTATATATTAGAGTCATTTATCATCGCATGCTTAATTATGTTTTTTTATATTCTTTATAATACTAAATGAGTTAAATAGAATAATTTAAAAGATAAAAAGAAGTTGTTAATAATAATGACTCTCGAAATAATGGACAAGAATAATAACATCTATTTCTTTCTACGTCAAAAATATGTTTTTGAACATTTTATTGGTATGCATATCAATATTATAACTTCGATTGTTATAAATATATTTTCATTAACTTTAGTAATATAATTCTTTTATATATATATATATATATATATATATATATATATATATTTTTTTTTTTTTTTTTACGTGGAAAATATTTACATCACCTTTATAAAAAATACTATTTATATTCATGGATTACTTGACTTTCTTATTCATAGAATAGAGAATAAATATATTGAATTACAGACATATTTAACATAGACATTTAAAAATACACAACAAATTATACTTAATATCTTACTTTCACTAGTAATTATACAATTTTAAAATTAATATTAATTACCTTAAAACTTAATTTTTACTATTATTATAACTTGTAGGATCATTTGTGGTGGTTGTTAGTAATTATTTCTAGACAATTTCTATTGATTGATTCTATTATATTCATTATACAATTGATATTTTCAATATACAATATATTATTAATCACTGTTTTTCGTAATTTGGGAAGATAATTTGAGAGAGGTAGAGAAATATGGAGCTTCATACATTAATAATAGCAGGGTTTGTATCTGAAGTAACCATATTGAACGGAGTAGAATGGTGTTCGGCAACAAAACTGTTGGGCTTGGTCATTTCTATGGTGAAGAATAGTTACACCGTTGGAAACAATCACTTGATGAAAAGGGTTCACTTTGTTTGTTGGAACTTTAGTGGACAATATAAATAACAAGGCCTCCTCTGCTTTTTCTCTCACTCTGTTTCTGCGTTCTGTGTCTCAATTCAAGGCTCCAATCCAGCAACGGTGATGGCAGAGCTGCAATCAAAGCCCGAAACTGCCCTTACTCAGGCTGCGGTTGTGGCTGAGGTGCCATCGAACGACACCGTTGTAATGGAAGCTTCTGGAGCACATGAGGCCAAAGCTGTCGATGTAGCACCCGAGAGTGACTTTTGCAGTGAACGTGTCCGTGTTCATCTTTCCGTGGGAGAAAATTCCTGGGTTTCCGTCAAAATCTGTTGTTAGATTGCCAAGTTAGTAGGTGTAACAGTAGTTTGATTAGAAAACCAAGGTAATAATAATGTTTTTACATACAATGATTATTTTACATAAATATGCAAAAACATTATCTTCAATGAAGGTTTATTCTAAGGTGTAATTGCTTATATGTTAGTTACAAAATCTATTTTATGTAATTTTCTTGGTTCAACAGAGACTATAGTTCCTGCAAACAAACAAAGCTGGAGAGGATCTATTGATAGAGGTTAGTGTTAACCGTTCTTATTTCAATTTCCATTTTGTGGTCATTTGAGTATAATAGTTAAAACAATGATTAACACCATAGATAATCATGAACACACACAATGAAAGTATTTTCTTTCTAATATAGCTTATTTCATATCTAAAGTGATAATTATACTTTGGAATACTTGGTTAATGGTCATAAGTTACTACTTATGTCAATGTTGGTGTTCACTTGAATATTTGATCTTCATTAAACAGTACATTCATGAATTTAATATTCGGAGCTCCAACTTCATTTCACAATCACCTGAGCTATTCATTACTATCCTATCGGTTATACCATAGATGGATTTTGTAGTAGGGTAATCTATATAATTTTTTTATATCTCAATCATGATTTTGTGATCTGTAGAGCATGGTGATGATAATAATATGCCATTAAATAGATTATTTGACCCCTGTTACAAATTTCCAATACAAAGTCACTAAACTCAAATCATTTGATCTGTTAACAGAGGTAATAAACATCTCTCGGTAGTAGCTGCTTGGGAAGACAGCAAGAAGATACGTATCGATTGAAGCTGAGTTGAAAAAAATAGAGGTAATACCTCATTTACCGGATGAGTATTTATTTTAACGTGATGGCATTTTATATATAGACACATGCTATGTAATAACATGACCGAACTGAAGAAAGTGCATCCTTCTTAACATCAAACAATATGATAAGTTTGATAAGTTGGGCATTGGCGGATCTTCTTGGGAGCTGAGGGGGTTATGACCCCCAAAGTTTTGTAACTTCCATGTAATTTATAGTTTTGGTTTTTCCAAACTTAATGAACATTTAATATATTTACTTGTATATTTACAATTTTATCCTCTTAGCCCCTCCTTAGTTTTGTAACTCATATCATTTATGATTTTGTTCTCCTCAAACTTAATAATCATTTAATATATTTAAGTATATATCTACAATTTTATCCTTTTACCCTTTTATCTTTTTTATTTCTTTTATATTTATTTATTATTTATTAATAATATATTATTTGGCCTCCCAAGATCAATGGTAAGATCCGCCACTATTAGGGTGCATGTTACCACCACTATTAGGGTGCATGACAAGGAATAGGATGCATGATATTGTTATGTACTTGTTATAAGGATGTTTTTTTGTCTTTCTGTAAAGATAAGTTCAAAGCATGCTAGGACAAATTTTACTGTCAAAAGTAAAGTGAATGAAGTAGAAGCAAATGAAGATAGAAGTAGGTTTTTGCTGAATAATATAGGTTTTAACAACTTGTTGTGTGAGTAGGAAAAACTGGAGAAAAAGAGAGCACAATATGGTGAAAGGATGAAAAACAAGATGGCTTTAGTTCACAAGGAAGCAGAGGAGAAGAGGGCAGTGATTGAAGCCAAGGGTAGTGAAGAGATTCTGAAGACAGAGGAAATGGCTGCAAAATACCGTGCAACAGGAACCACACTAAAGAAGACCATGGGATGCTTTTGATTGGTATAGTGTAATTTGTAATAGCCAGTTTAGTCTGTATTTTCACCTCTCTTGTTCTCAATCAAGTCTATGTGAAATGTTCGACGAAATGGTCTTTTTCTCCAAAAGAGACCTACTCTACTTATCTTAATTCAATTTCTCTTTATTCATTCTTTTCTATCTCTTCCATGCAAACTGAACATAAGTTATGTTTGAAGAAAGTAACTAAAGAATGAGGCAAAACTTAAAAAGTTAACTAGTAATTTAAAGTATTTACCAAGCAAGTACTTTTATTATCATTTTTTTTCATATATATATATATATATATATATATATATATATATATATATATATATATATATATATATATATATATATATATATATATATATATATATATATATATATATATATATATATATAGATAGATAGATAGAGAGAGAGAGAGAGAGAGAGTATATATTTTCCTGCTAATACTATATTATATATTAAAATAAATTAAATATAACACATACTTAAGTAGACGTCATATTTTTATTATGCTAATTAATGTAATGTATCTAAAAAAATAATGGAATAAATAATGTAACTAGTGTAATGGTTAAATAAAAAAGTTAATATAAAACGTATTAAAATAATAAGAATAATAATAATAAATAAACCTATGACCTTAGACTAAAGCACCAACCTTTTGGTCCTATTTTTAAAATATAATAATATTTTTTATTAATTATATTTAGGTTTAAGGTTATATTTTTAAAACTTTAGTGTTTTCGAAAATTTAAATATAAATTCATTCTTCTTGTTTGTTTATTATATAAACATAAATACTAATAGAAAAATTATATTTAAATGAAATTTAGAATAAAACATTAATGTATTTAAAACTTTCTAACTAAATTTATCTATTTAAATTAATTTTATAAAATATAATTTAAAATATTTTCCTTTTAAGTTAAATTTTGTTGTGCTAGTATAATCCTAAATGGTATGGAACGGAGCAAGGTTTTGATCCTACCATCACTTACTCTCTCTGTACTTAGGAGTAACGAATCTCTTCCCTGGTAGTATTAGCTCACATTAATCTGATTATGGTTCATTCACTCCTTCATTTGCTCTAAGAAATGATATTTGAATTATTTTTCATTTTGTTAATGGGTGTTTTTCCTCCTTGTTGGTCATGTTGGGGTGTAATGAAAACTGAAAAGGTTGTGGCTGAGAGGTGTTTGATTGGGCTGACCAGAATGAATGCTGCATATAGTATACCTGAGTAGGACAGTTATTTAAGATCCATAGTGGTGACTAAGAACCAGGGTGTCTCCGCAACGTGGTTAGGGATATTTTGTCTTCTATCTATATTGCTCAGTAGTGTTCATATTCCGAGACACTAGGACACTGTTTGGCTTTCTAAATTAAAGTAACAAGGGATGAAAAAGTGTTGGATGTGTGGTTATTCAAAACCTTTTTCTTTCTTTACCTTCACACCTCTCAATTTATAATTGAATGCAAGAATTCTAATGGAAAAAAAAGGAAAAGTGAAAATTTTTAAGACACAGGATGTCCTCAAAAATGGAGCTAATTTCACAGGTTTCAAGTTTGGATCACACCATTCCTCATCATAAAGTATTATGAAGAATCCAGTTTAGAATCTTTTGAGCTAGGATTACAAATTGCCAATTGTGAGTGGTTTTCCTCTTTGCTATCATAATGTGGTTTCGTGTACAGAAATCTGACAAACATATTCAAAATCAACACTTGTAATTAACATTTACTATATTCCTACTAAGACTTAAAACTATAAAAAATCCACAATAATGGCACACCTATAATAGTGACCATATTCGGCTAATTTCCAAGTCATGTGATTCTCCTACTTGTTCAACTACTTATACAGACAGCAATATTAGAAAACACCAAACCAAATGGTACATGACCATATAATTCATGCACATGCAAACGCACTAAAGTGCACACATAAAAGAGTTTCCTTCTAAGAAACTCATGTCATTGTTTATGGGAAAATCTAACAAGAGCTGCAAAGCTGTGTCTGATGAATCCTCCATGTCATTAGAGCTTGAAGAATCAGATCCTCGAGTCCTCCACTCCATCTCTTGTTTCACAATGTTAGAGGGCATGCTTTCTTCTGCAATGGAAGCTAAATCTGCATTTGTTGCAATTGAATCACACTTGTTGGAAGATGATCCTGCAGAGAGAGGACTGTGACAGGAGCTAGAAGTGGTGATTTTGTTGTCATCAGCTTTTTGATGAACTACAACATTGCGAAATGCCTCTCCAACTTCAGAGTTCCAAATGCGGAGAAAGTAATCAGAGTCAGTGGTTTTGGTATCTGAATAGGGATTGATGGTGTTGTGGCTGAACCTTGACGACTCATTTGAGAGCCTGGCCTCAGCTTCAAGCCTAGCACTCTCCCATTGAGCCATGTGGCGTGTGGACACAGATGCATGTGCCTTGTGGAAGGGGTAAGATGGTGATGAGGCCAATGGCTCGTGGGTTCTAGGGTCAAGTCCCATGCTTTTGAGACGTTTCTTCAGGTGGGTGTTCCATAAGTTCTTTATCTCATTGTCGGTTCTTCCTGGTAACTGAGAGGCTATTGCAGCCCACCTGAAAATTTGTTCAAAACTATCTAGTCGGAAATGTGCACTCAAAGTAAGAATTTGAAATGGTTCAGTTAGATCAAAGAACAAGAAGAAATTTTCATGTACTGTGTATAGTAATTCACTATACAATCTATGTTTTATAATGAAGTATTGCAAAGATAATCTCGAGAGAGATCCAGGAGGTCTTTCACAGTCACAAAATGAGTGGATCTTGAGAAGACAGAAAAGTTGAAATTTTGTGTGGGAGAAAAAGGTTGGGCAATAAAAATCTTGAGAAGACAGAAAAAAAATAAATAAAAAATTACGCCATTTGTTGTGTTTGTTTTAAGAATATGTGGGGGCAAAATGAAAATCGTGTTTAAAAATCAGTTGAATTGAATGTAACTTCAACCCAACCTTGGAGTTTTTTTTACCTTAGTGCATTTGGAATATGAAAAACTTTCATTCAAGATTATCCCAAATGGGTTTCCAAACTCACAAAGACCCAACTTGCTATAGGTTTGTTTTAAAAGTTTCTTGTTTGTTACCATATTTTTACCGTTTGATTGTTAGTATTTGTATAGGAAATATTAAAAACTAGATTTATTTTGTTTCTTTTATAAATATCTATTTATGTAACAATATTGAAAAAACAGAAATACAAAGGTCAATAAATTGTTTACCTATTTCCTAGGATGCCATGAAGCTGTATGACTAGTTTCTCTTCCTCAAGGGTAAAGGGACCACGCTTGATGTCAGGTCTCAGATAGTTTGTCCACCTAAGCCTGCAACTCTTGCCACAACGAAGAAGACCTGAAAAAGAAAATAATCTTATAACCTATGGAAACATGAAAGTCGAGTTATTTAGTAGAAAAAACAGAATAAATGGTTAAGCATTATTACACTTGTTTCACAACAAGGTTATTGAAGAAAAGAACAAAGGTTGTGGGGGAAAAGAGTCCAAAGAGAAGGAGTCATGGGGCATGTGACTAGTAAATCGGCTACAGAAATCTAATGAAGCCAAATGGAAGGACAAGTTTTTGTTAGAATTAAGATACAGACAGAAAAGAAGAGAGGAAAAAAATAAGATCATAGCATAAGATACAAAAAGGTAATGCAAGCATGGTATAGAATTCTCCAAGTACTGCATTAAATTTGTCTTGCACTTAAAATTACTTGGCTTTTTATATTCCTGCCTTTTAACATTTAAGAACTTGAAAAAGAAGGGTGGGGGAAAAGGTAAAAAGGAGTCGAGAGATATAGCTTCACTTCACTTGTTCGATAGTTGTTAAATTGGTATATGATATTATGTGGTAATGTTAGCAGCATACCATGAATGTGAATGCCAAAGAAATGTAAAAGGGTAAAACAGAAAACCATTAAAACCAGTGGAAACAAGGATTAAAGCTGACTTTGAAGAAAAAAGTTAAATATGTGATAATATATATTTAGCACCCATAAAAAAAAAAAAAGGCTTTTCAAGAAATATATAAAAATATATCTATGATCTTAATCTTTAGAAAGCCGGGTTGAAACCAAGGTGGTTGTTGAAGTTTGGTTCAACTGATTTTAACAGAAAAGAAAAAATACTAAGCAAAGTACCAGCTAAAGAGCAAAACCTGCCATCCTTGGAAGAGAACGCCAGCTTCCATGACCACCATTTTTCTTGATATAACTAGCAAGAATTTCATCCTCTTCAGCTGTCCAAGGTCCTTTCTTCAAACCTTTCTTGTCACAACATGGTGTCCTTCCCATTCTCTTTCAAACTCTCAACAACAACACAGACCACAGCACAAAACTGTTGTTTTAAATCACAAGCAATAAACTTAGAGCACCCTTTAAAGCTCACACCTGTAGACAACTCCTCCCTATATTTCCAACACTACAGAAACACCCCAGAAAGCACTCAAGGCAAATGAGAGGACAAATAAATAGTGAAGAAGTTGGAGATGTTGAAAAGTTGATTTGAGGTGGCATTGCTATTGGATGGGGGCTTGCTTACAACTATGATCAGCGAGGTTCAAGTTGAGACAGGCAATAAATGCGTGTGCTGTGTAGCATTGAGAAGTTGCATCATCATTGAACCAAAGAACTTGCACGAACAATGAAAGAGGAGGGTCTTAATGAGGGTGTGCGTTTTGCATTTTTTGGTTTTGATTTTGCACAGAAGTGGGGTGTGAGAGAAGCAGATTGCAGTGAAGATGACAGTGACAGCAATAAATGTGGAGAGAGTGTGGAAAAGAAAAAAATGGAATGCATTGATGGCGGATTCTCTTCCAGAAAAGTCAGTGCAGGATTAAAAACCAACAGAGACAGTTAAAGGGAAGGACATGAACATTAATGGAGGGTCCAATTAATGGCACGCATTGCAGGGTACCAACAACACACCAGGAAATGAATGAATGCTATTACAACACATGGTGTTTCTCTTTCTTCTTTATGGCAAAACAACACCATGAACAACAACTTATTCTTATTTTTCTTAATCAGAAATAAAGTACCATGACCTATTATTGTTCACAATGTCCTACTTTCACAGTTTACTCATTCAATCAAGCATCAGAATAACATGATACGAATTTAAGTAGTTTAGTGATAGAAGCACAGACTTTAATTTTAATCAAAGAGAAGTTATACAACTATTAGATTTAAGGACTTTTTGTATGGTTCTAAATTAAGGTTGTAATTTAGTCACAAATCTTCAACAGTGCATCAAATTGTGGAAAAACATTGTGGACGAGGTCACTGTTACTGTCACAAAATAGTTGCAGTGAATACAAAATCTTTTACCTTACAGTTAAAGCACATTTGGAGGCTCAAGTCAAAAGGATAGGTATATGCATAAATTACATATTCTGTGATCTTAAGTTGTGGATAATCTCATACCCTTTTGTGAATATTAAAGTTTCATTTGTTAAATGGAACAATATATAGTTTTTTGAAATTTGAGTGGGAATATGTTATTTATTTTGATAAAAGATTTTGAGGAGTACAATACAACATACATTCCTTTCAAATTGAATAAAAGAATTTGATTTATACGTAAAAGATTCTACAATATATCAGCCAATGATACACATTCTCACCCTATTTAATGATTGAATTTAATGAACATATATATAACTTGTCAGATTCATAAAATAATGTGATGCTACATTATCAAATGACAGATAAATTTGTGTACCAAACTGCAACAGAATTAAATTACAAATAAAGGTGAAAAGTACAATAGTTCTTTTATTTTATGAAGAGAAATCACATCAATCCTATTTGAACATAAATGACAATAGGGGCCATCTTGAGATGAGCTAAGGAACTCATCTACATGGAGCATCAGATTCAAATTCATCTATATATATTATCACAGAGAATGAAATAAAAATAATGGTTTTATAAAGTAAAATGCCTTACTTATAAAATAATTTTAATTTGTAAAACATTTCTTTAGTTATGTTAATTTTCTATAGTAGTATAAAAGTTACTGTGATTTAATCCGATTGGTATAATTGTTACTGTGATTTTCATGATATGTGGGAGAGAAGGGAGAATGAAGGTCCTTTAATTTGAAAAGGTACATAACATACATCAAAGAAGTTAACAATTTAAATTTAATTAATATAATCATTAACATAACACCTGTAGTAAAGCTACGCATGAAGAAAGGTGACATCAGAGGATAATAATTTGTGAAGATTTTTGAAGGCTTTTTGTTTGGTAAAAGATTTGCTACTGTCCACTGCAGAAAGATGGATGGAAGAAGGAAGGAAAATGAAGGAATGGTCAAATAATTTCACAGACAGAAACAGTGACACTGTAACGCAATGATCTACTCATAATAAATGCAGTCAAACAATTCAACGTCAAGCTCTAGTGCTGTCAAAAGTCATGTTTTCATTTTCCATTGCAACAAAAACTGATTTTGGGGATCAAAATTTAGACAGATTTTTTTTTTATTCATTCTTATTTTATATTTTTCATTGTAACATTTCAATTTGTGTTCATTCTTACAGGCACACTGTAGAAATATAGAGACATATGTAAGTGCAATGGACACTGCCTTTATACAACAAATACTGAACATGATTCTGTAATTGATTAAGTTAAAATAAATAAGAGTCTTAGATATATAATTAAGGACCATCTTATAAAAGTTTATTAAAATAAAATATTAAAAATTTAAGATATATTATTTATTAATTATATATTTATTACATTTGAATGGTGAAATATTTTAGCAGACGTATATCAATTATACGTTTCAAATTCCCAGAAAGAGCATCTTCAATCCATGAAGAATAATGCAATCTTGTAACAACATTTTATGATATAGACTTAGTTTTACCTACGTTAAATTTATATTCCATTCAACGTATGAATAAATGGTTTGAGATTTGTTTTATTTCTGCATACTTGATCAGAGGAATCAATTTGAATTTCTGCAAAATTGTTATTATCCCGAAGTATGTCTTATATCACCAGACTATCTCTGCAAGTATGTCCATTCTTAACAAAGAGAATGCTTCTGCTTTATTTCGCTTTTAATATTCACAAATGTCAACCTTAAATATGTGAATATCTCGATCAGAAAACATAGGATAAATAAGAAAACCAAAGAACCTCCATTTTTTTGTCTAATGGAAGGAAAGGGAAATAATCTATAATCCAGATTGTATTAACTATGTTATCCTAAATCTTATTTTTTACTCATATTTCGTCCATTCATATTATTTGAAGGGGTAAAATAATTATATTATTCTATTTCCTTACGAACCAGGCAAGGGGACCTCTCCACCTCGATCATATAAATTGTAAAGTTTCACTTTGCACAAGGTAAAACAAAATGTGCATCAAGGGTAATGATTCAACTGAAAAGGAATAAATAAATGGGAATAAACAAGACTTTATCCAAAGATTGCTTGGGGCGTAAAAGAAACACATCCATGATTATTATCAACCAACCATTGGTGCAACCATTATCTGCTAACACTAGTGCAATCGAGGACCCTCAACTGCCAATAGTCACTGCAAATATAATGGCAGAACAAACAGCAAGCATATTATTCTAGAATAGAAAGGATTGTCTTCATAGTAAGGTACATTCCTAAGTAAAAAGTTAAAAGGATTACTGAGGAAATGTAAAATCTGGAGTAGCAACACTTAGTAACAAACACATGTGCAAATGTAAACCATGGAAACCCAAACTGGAACCGGCATTTATGTAACACTAGAAAGCCCATATTAAACTTTCTGTAAGTCCTAATAATACTGTTTCATAGCTCTCAAAAGCATTCGAACAAAGGGTCTGAATTCCCTAATTTTCATCGTGCATCCTAATACAGAGTATTCACACCTGCTTGACCAACAGTCACATCAACCTGTAATAAAGATATATACATGCACAGAAATCAGTAACAGCAACTGCATAATCTAATTGCACTGTAGTGGAAAAATAGGTATGGTAAAAGAATTCGAGATATAATATAACACATGACAACCTCTTGCTTCAACAAAGGGAAATAGTAATAAACATTAGGTCCACAAGTACAATTAATAGTTAAATCAATATTGGAAAACATAAACCATATACAGTATTAATTGAACCCCCTGTTAGAGACAATAGATAAAATCTATTTGTCTTGGTAGGTAAAAATTTGGTTTAGTTCTTATGGAAATGAAAATATATTGAGAAGAGACAGTGAATGTGTTACATCAACTTTCATTAGTGAGGAAGAACGATTGTTTACCAAAATCTATTTACAGATACATAAATAAAAACATATACATATATTTTCACATTTAAGATCAAAAGCCTTGTAAATAGCAATAATGGCCATTATAAATATGATAATAAATTTTTCCTATTACTCACCACTACTATTCACCACAGATGTGAATACAATTAAGGTATTTTACCACCAATCACCGGCAATATATTGCTTGATCAATGTGTGGCGGAATTTGTTTTATTTCAGTACCAAGTTCTTGTTCAATTCTATATCTGGACAAAATAAATGGAAACAGATGAGAAATCTAAAGGGGTTTTATATCAGAAAGTCACATCTAACAAATACTTACAAATTGAAGCGATCCTCATAGGTGATCAAGTTCACCGCCAAACCTAGGTGTCCAAACCTCCCCGAACGACCAACCTGTATACCAGCAGAACATTCATAAGATACAGAGAATCATTATCCGAGTGGGGGGGACAGCAGAAGTCAAGCATACCCTGTGAAGATAGGTTTCTGAGTTCTTCGGAAAATCAAAATTAATAACAACATTGACTGCTTGTATGTCTATTCCTCTAGTGAAAAGATCTGTAAATGTTTCAGAACAAGGGAGATAGATGACAAATTATAGTTACAATTACTAGGACAATATATTAAAAATAATATAGCCAATTCATTCGCTCATGCAATATTACTCAATACAACCAGTGCATCAATGAATCACACTAACCAAACAAATATACATTATGCTATTATTCATCATCAATTCAAAACTGATTTCTGAAACAATATAATGAAAAGACAAAAAAAGTTGCAATTTAGAAAAGGTCAAATTTCGCAGGATAGGCATTGCTAAGCAATCAACAGAATAATAAAACAGATTATGCTAAACATACCAGTACAAACAAGATTTCTGCAGGCACCATTGCGAAAGTCATGAAATACTCTATTACGGTGGTCTTGCAACATCTTTGCATGAATATAGAAACATGAATACCCAAGTTCAGTGATTTTCTTGGCAAGAAGTTCAACCCGATTCACAGAATTGCAGAAAATGATTGACTGGTTTATTTGCAGCTGAAATAGATAACATTGTTAACACTATATTCAGAGCTAGCATATAGAAAATCCAGATTATCTTCACATAAATCTACCTTAGAGAATAGAGTATTTAAGCAGTGGACTTTCTGCCTCTCTTCCACAAATGCATAATATTGTGTGATACCTTTCAGAGTTAGCTCATCCATAAGGTTAATGACGTATGGCTTACGTAGATATCTATCTTTGAAGTCCTTAACAGTAACAGGAAATGTGGCAGAAAACATCAGAATTTGACGGGTTCCAGGAAGAAATTGAATCAGCTGTTCTATTGAAGGTTGGAACTCTGGGGAGAGAAGCTTATCAGCCTGAAAGAAAATTATATAAAACCTCATTATTGTCATATTTTTCATTTGATAAACAAAAATTTATTGTTGGCACAGAAGTTACAGGTATGAATAAAAAGGAAAGGCAATCCTCAAGATGGAATCATGATTAAAAGTAAAAGGTAAACAAAGAAACCTAAAAACAAGAAACATGACATATAGCATGTCAATCTCTATTCAGTAAACATTCTAACATTTCATTCCAACCAAAAGTAAAAGAAGAAAAGTACCAAAGCATTTCAATATCCCTGAGGGCCAATTTCCATAAAATGAACACACAAGATATCAGACACAGCTGAAGTTCCTTGGGGCAAACCCAAGGCATATACATGTAAAGGACCTGAAGGAAAAGATCATTGGCTCAATATTCATAACATGAATCAGAGTCACAATAAACAAAGCCATTGCTTCTGCTAACACCATCCAATCATTTCTTACCCTCATCTTCAGCCCTTTCTAATGCTATAAACAGTATCAGTTAGCTAATGTGTCTCTATCAATTAGAAAATTTCAAGAGAAGTGTAACTACCTCATCCATAACAAGCATTGAGCAATCTTTCAGAATGCAAACACCCTTCTTTGCAAGATCTAATATTCTTCCTGGAGTTCCAACTAGCAGATGAACTGGCTGATATAAACGCATAATATCATCTTTCAGGCTGGTACCACCTGTTGTAACCATAACTTGAATTTGCAAATGTTTTCCGAGCTCTTTACACACTTGAGATGTTTGCAAAGCCAGCTCTCGAGTTGGGACCAATATTACAACTGTATGACAGAATATATCAAAGGCAATGATCAAAATATTAGTGGAGCTTAAAATCAGCACTCATTCAAAAATATAATAGACATAAGTAACTACAGGTAACAAAATAAATGAATATTTGACACCAAAATCTATATGCACATGGACAAGACAAGAAAACTTTTGGCAGGCCATAGCACATTTTTGATAAAAGAACAATGAATATATACATACAAGGGAAAATTATAAGATATGCAAAAGAGTAGAGTACCTTCACATGATTTATACATTCATCAAATACAAATATTTTGAACAGTATAGATTTTCCATATCTAAACTTAATAAGAGAAGGAACACATTTCCCACTAATATTCAGTTTGTTTAAAGAAATGTTCAAAACTTATAGTTAAAATTAAGAAAAATGACTAAAAAAATCTATTCTCAAAGAATTAGGGCCCAACTGTTTAACCTTAAAAAATACTATCTCTAGCTTCTGAGAATAGCACTAAAACAATTTCTCTTGGTTAAGATTTTTACAAAATGATATAATTATTTGAAATGTGGCTTCACAAGGAAAAAAAAAACACTAAAAAAAGTGTCAAAGAAATGGCCAACTAGTATCATTCTGGAGTCTAGAAAAAATGCTGAAAGAAGATAAGGGAATTAATATAACAATATTTTATGTCAAGCTTGCAGTGAATACTCAAGAAAAGATGTTACTAAACTAGTTCGACCTTATCTATCAACCATCAAAATGTCATTTACTTCTCTCTCTATATATATAAATCTCTCCGTTTTAATAAGAAAACACTGCTTAGTGTGGCCAACAAGAAGCAGGATACAAGAAACACTAACAAACTGAGAACAATAAACATAATCTTTTCAATTATATTTCTGAGAATTCTGTAAAATACTAAATGTAAGTAGAGGAGGTCAAACCTTGAATAACATTATTATCCTGATCAATTTTTTCCAATGCAGGAATACAAAATGCTGCTGTTTTTCCTGTTCCATTTTTAGCCCTAGCAAGAATGTCACTACCAGTAAGAGCAATCGGAATGCTTTCTTCTTGGATAGGAGATGGCCTTTCAAAACCCTTCTCATATATTCCCATAAGCAGCTCACGCTTCAAAAAGTAATCCTCAAATTCATTTCCTTTAGTTGCTGTCACATCCTGAGAAAGACAATGAATAAAGCTCAAGAATGACAGAAATGCTATAATATAAAGTTAATAGCATTTAACCACGGAAAAAGATTAAACAAATAACTCAGATGATAAATCTACCAGACTGTCAAATAGATAAAAAATTATAAAATCATCAAGCAGAAATATAACCACACTGGTACATCTACATTTCATTTAGCATGAAATTCAATTTCATCCAACAAAAATAAATTTCATGAACCGAAGTAAATGATACTGAACAGGTTTAACTTACAAGAAGAAGAGTCTGAGTACATTTCCTATATCTCTAGAATTGCAACAAAGTATGATTGCAATCTAAATTCTGAAATCTAATTGTCCAAACTACTGAAAAATGTCAATCTCAAATTCCTAGAATATAGTGTATATGGTACTAAATGAGACATTGATCAACAAAATGCCAGCTATCACATATGTAGAGAATCAGCTCAATAAAAAAATTATAATTTACTAATTATTTATCAACCCATCAGAAATAAGGCTTACCTCCCCAAGCATCTCTGAAACAAAATACATGACCAAAAAATAATGCAAATTTCATATAACCAACAATGTCAACCACAAGATTAACAGTTTCAATTTACAGAACCATACCTCTGTCTTGTAGCGCGTATCAGGTGCAGGGATATTTAGTCTCGCCTTCCAATCTTGTGAACTAACAAATGAAATCAATTGAGGATAAAATTAGAAAAATTCTTTCCTTAGGCAAGAACCAGTACAATAGCTTTGTCTACAAGTAATTTATTAGAATTTTACATGTCATTTCCGAATTTTTCAATTTCACATACTCAAAATTGAGAACACTTCTGTAGTGCCTTCGCAACATCAAGGAACTAAGCCTCAACAGTGAAGAATTAAACATTATCTTCTCAACTTTGCATTTAAACATAAATACACAATACCAATCAATGTAAACACTAATGGTCATGTCAGACAAACGAGATTATTGAAAAAGGTATCAGAGCCTAGATCATCAGAAAACGGCAAATAGAGATTTAGTTTTACAGCTCAGATTTGAGTTTCGATAACCATTTACAATATAAATTACATTATCTTCCACAATCCATGATTACACAAAAAAAATCCTGATCCCCTTAATATAAAACAACAGGACCTCCAGACTTCGCTGCATTAAAGAAAACAAAAAGCAGAAATCCAAGAACCAACACTCTTTAGCAGCCCAAATAATGTAAACCCCACATTGTTGGTTGACAGATTGTTTTCATCATTACAATAAAGAAAAAGTAAACCAAAATCTCTCAAGCTCTAAGAATTCAGAACTACAAAGACCAGAATAACTACACATCTCCCACGTGAGAAGATAGGCTTTCCTCCAATAGTTACATCCTCTAACACCACAATAGGCAGTCGACCCCTCACCCACACAAGTACCCTTATTCTTTCCAACTCCAGAAAACTCAACAAATCCAACATCCTTCATTAATCCCATCACAACATACATGTCTGTCCAACACAAAATGTAATTTTCAAGGCTTTAAAGCGATTTCAGTAGCAACATCAAGAACATGCAGACAAATGCAGTTGCAATTGCAGTCACAGTTCTGTTACAAGGGAGTTCAAAAACCTTGACAATGCAGCCTAAATAGCAGTGACGAACCTTATTTAAAAACCTTGATAATTTCAAAAAATCAATCTGACAAAGTCCCAATTTAAAATAAACAGCCTCCGAGACACAAACAAAAACAACAAGGAAAAAAAGAACCTTGAGTCAACGGCTTCAGACTGTACAGTCTTCTCAACCTCCTCGACAACGTTGGTGTCGGTCCCACCACCTAACTGGTTCCTTCTCAACCACTGTTGATGTTGCTGCTGTTGATGCTGTTGATGCTGTTGATGATGCTGTAGTGGCTGCTGATGATGATGGTGGTTCTGCTGATACTGTTGTGGATGATGGTGCTGCACCATGTGCCTCTGCACATACTGATGTTGTTGTTGTGGCCTCGGTTGAAACCCAGGGTTCGTGTTCAATCCTCGTCCTAACCCCATCCCAGGTGGGTACGTCTCTCTATCTCTATTGTTCATCCCTCCGATCTAAAAACCAAAAATTTCTATGCAAAAACAATGTACAAGACGCTGCTAAACTCTACAGGGCAAGACGCTAGGGTTTCTCGAGGTCGCTAAATTCGGAACCCCGTTTGCGAACGGCGAATTCTCGAAATGGGGTTGCGATTGGGGCCTAGACTAACAAAATCTGAGGGGAAAAATCGGGAATTTCTCAGGGTATCATACAAAGACCCAAAAAAAATTGGGTAGGGTTGGGTCGGGATTGAAGCGAGAATTTGTACAGATCTACAGAAGTTAGAGGGGTTGATTTGATTGGAGGCAGAGATTTGATGAAGGAGGAGAGGAAATGGAGGAAGAAGAGAGGAAGAAAGAGTGTGGTTTTCTTTGAAATTTTTTGTGTTGTGAAATGAAATTTGATTTGGTGAGATTAGGGCGTCAAAATGGGACTTCTGATAATTGCTTCATGACCCTCCGTTCTCTCAATTTATTCAATGCAAGCATTTCACTTTCACCCTTTGGATTTTCTTTTTCTTCTTTATTGAATTTATTACAACAATGTTAAGGATTGTGGAAAGCAAAGAAACATGCTTTTCCTTTTCTTTTTTTTTTAAAAGGCATATAATTACACCCTATATTTTTTTAGGCATTTTTTTATCATTAAGGTAATATTTATATAAATTTAAAATAAAATTATAATTTCAATCACTATCAATTTATTGATTTTTATAATATATTTTTTATTAATTATTAATGTTTGACTATAAAATTTGTTCCACACTATAATTGTTATTAAATTAGTTATTAACAACTTTAAATTTATTCAATCATGTACATGATATCAAAATAATATAATTAGTTATTAATCGTTTTCATGATAAATATTTTCCACTGAATTTAATTCAATTTAGAAAAAAAAAAGATTAATCAATTTTGACACAGAAATAAGTCAATCCAATTTAATTTTGCCTCTCCTAACAAGCATTTTTATATTATAGTTAATAATTAAATCATTTAATTAATATGCTTTAAAAATCAGTTATCTATGTAAACTAGGTTGGTGATATGATTGCATTTTGAACATTCTAATTTGAATTTTGTATTATTACAAATCAATAAATCCATAATTCAATATAATTTATTCCACAAAAATATCATAAATGCATTATTTTAATTTGTTTTTAATTTTGGTTCGTACATCCCTAATACTCAGAAACCAAACATTTTTATTGACCCGTTAACGTAAATAATTGCATATTAAATAACACGTCAAAAGTAAAAGTAAATTTTCTACTTTAAATCTTCACGTAAAAATTCGACTTTTTATTTAAGGTTTTGAAGTTTTGTTTGTTTGTGATTCTGTGTCATAAATTTTATTTTATTTTTCTTGTTTTGCACTTTTTAAGTAAAGGGTGGGACCCAATTCCAAAAAAGAAATGAAAACACTTATCACGTAGCAATCCATAGTGGTAATGTTTTCAGATCTAATGACGTGTTTGGTAATGATTTTTTTTCCCTTTTTTAAGAAATAATCGTTTTCCTTCTTCATGAGAATTTTTCCATTAATCCATTAATATATTAAAACCACTCAACACAAGATGAGCTAACCCAAGTTAGGTTAGAAAAAAAATGAAAAAAGTTAATAAAAATAAATTAAAGATATTTAGTAGATAATCTAAAAGTAAATAAAGATAAAAAAATAATAATAAACTTATTTTATTTGTATTCAACCAAACAACTGATATTATTTTATTAAATATTATTGGTAAGGGATGAGCAACTCTTTTTACTAAAAGAGTATTATTTTTAGGTATGAATGATTTTAGTATTAATAGTGTGAGAAAATGAATTTGTGTTATAATAATGATTTGGACAAAAAAGCTTATCCATTTATATTTTTTGTCCATTGTGGTTTGAGAACTTTAAACTAAAACCAAACACACCATTAGACAAAGTGGGTTATCATTGATGGTTTTGATTACCTTATAATATCTTTAGTTAATTGAAAAGAAATTATATAAAAAAATTGAGTACGGATAATGACATTTTTTTTTATTTTCAGTTTTATTACAAAATAAAGTTAACTCCTTTTAACAAAATTTCAATTTTTATTTTTCAATTGAAATTTCAAACTTTTTTTTCCCACTTTCAATTCACCCAATGAAATATATAATTAAACACAACTTCTTTACACTAAAACGACCATTTCACATTTTGCAAATGGCTAAACGTAAGTCTAAATTATTGGAGGAAGCAACATAAGATGTATATATCTCTCTTCCCATTTCAAATTTCTACATCTATTTTATTCTATAGGTTTCCAAAATGTTATTTTATTTGTTTATGAAAACCAGTTAAATCACAATTTTAAAAATGAATATAACTTAAACTAAGAAACAAACTTCAATTTTTTATTCTGGTCTGTTGTGACAGTTTGGAACCTAGTGCCAATATCCTAATTTACATGATTCAATAGAAACAACCTCAATAAACGAAGTATTTGTCATGACTGAGAACCTGCTTTACCATTATCATTTTTCACAACAATCTTGCTCTCATTATCATCCTTGGATGAGGATTCCAACTCTTCCCTTAGTCTCTCAATCTTTTCCTTCAGTGCTGTGACATCCAATGCAGCAAGAATCCTCTCTTTAATACTTGCCTCCATCTTTTCCACATCCTCAGAATTTGAGCCTTGAGCTATCTCACTCTCCAACTCCTTGATTTGGCCCTTGAGACCTTCTTCATTTACCACTCTATCAATTTCATTCATGATCTCTTTCTTCAAATCAGCTATTTTCTGTTTTATGTTTTCTGGTGCATTCAACACACTTCTCTCCATTACTCCAACAATTTCCAAGTTGGCTGATTTCAGCACCTCTTCCAACTCTTTCTTCACTTCCACGGCTTTCTCAACCAACTCCTTGTCTGGTGATTCCCCTTTTGGTATCTTTGCCTGAGCAAGCTTCAAATTCTCTATCTTTGCTTTGGTATCATCTATAAGTTTCTGATTGAGTTCTTGTTTCAATTTTTCTTGTTTGAGTTTCATCTCAATGAGCCTGTTGAGAGTGTCTAGTTTCTGAAGCTTCTGTTTCAATCCAAGATAAGCCCCTGGCTGAGACATCTTGGTCTTTATTTCTTGCATTATTTTCTCCACCTTCTCCTCTATAAGGGGTTGGTTTGAGGAGGCTTTAGACAATTCCATCTTCACGGATTGAACTTTTTCTGCTAGACCCATTGAAATGAGTGCTTTAGTTATCTCCTGGTCTGCTTCCTTCACAAGCTTTTGAATTGCTTCCTTTGAGAAGGAATCAAATTCAAATGGTCCCTTTGCTTCTAAAATTTTCTTCTTGAGACTTTGGAGCTCTGCCTCAATATCAGTAATCTTGGATGAGTTGACCTCAGATGGCCTCATGTTGCGTTTCCTCTCTGGTTCCACAGGTATGCCTTCTTGGAAGCGTCCAATTGACCGAAACTTGAGATGTCTATGGCGTAGCAACTCTTCTGTATCCATTTTTGTCAACTCCTGTGGAAATTTCATGTGTTGGTTGAGTAGTGGTAAATAACTAGGAATTGATAGAGAGATCAAAAGCAACATCCTCTCCCATGTAACAAGAAGAAAAAGTTGAAGTGGTAGAAATGGAAGAATGAAGTGAGTGAACAAACATAAACATATCCAATTGTCAAGTACCTGCATGGCCTCAGTGATTGCATGCTTGATTTGTTGAGAAGTCCATGTTACATGTAGGATCAGCATGTGCCCCACCCAGTGGCTCCTACATGTAGTTAAAAGAAAAAAGTTAACCACATTCTTTTCAACGAGAAATTTTCCTTGAGAAATTTAGGGTGGGACAAAATCTTGGTCCTTAAAAATCTCATATTCGATCATATTACTCCTCAAGTAGGGACACATGAGGCCTTGGAAAGGACTAGTATGGCCCACATTTGAGATGTTTAAGGACTAGTAATTTCTTTTTTACATTCTTAAGAACTTAAAGTGTAGATAAAGTGCATGTTAGTAACATCCCTATTCCCCATGATTTGAAAAACATCAAAATGTTAAGACTATGAAATGCATAAAGAATTCTCAAAGCTAACAAAACAAATCACACTATAAGGGAAGTACAGCAAAGCATCAAAGTTCTTACAGGAATGACACCGTCAGCTATGCCGAGTCTGTAATGTTCTTGCGCTGTTATTTTTAGCTTTTCAGCTGCCTATACAAGTCAACTTTAAATAATAGAAAAATAGATATGAAGACATTCTTGATAGCCACAAAAGTAGATATTATAATTGATAACTGACCTTAGGAGCGGCTTTCGAAGATTTCCACAAAATTGCAGCACAAGCTTCAGGACTGGTTAGCACAAAGAACATGCATATTAGATCTATATAAACTTGTTTAAAGGAAAACCAGCCATAGGTGAAAACTAAAGTGCGTGCAAAGTAGAGGTAACTCACATCTCATCACACCCCCTCACATTGAAATCAATTACTTCGTATCGAAGTACTTATTTTTTATGCTAAAACAATACCAAGTTGATTTAATATTTATTAACTGACAAAATATGTGTAAATTGATGTTGTGGTTTATAACTGGCACAGTGGATAATGTCAAACTATAAATATCTTTAAAGGGAGAAGAATGTAATCTACTAAAAGGATGGAAAAAATGCTTTCCAATGATTACCTTGCAACATAAAAGGCAGAATTCTCCAGCATAAACAATTTATTAGCACAGGCAATGGCAAGTGCACCACCAGAACCACCTTCCCCAGTTACGACTGTTATTATTGGTACCTTAAGACCAAACATAGTCCTCAAATTTTTGGCTATTGCCTCACCCTGCATAACCAAACATAGTTCGTAATAATTACTTTTAAGAGAAAAACAAAAATAAAATAAAATGAATTTAGTTAAAATCAACTAATCCACTTGGAAGTTCTCTAATTTAACTTCTCCAAAACTGATAAACTATTCGTAAGTTAATTTTTAACTTGTGGAAGAAACTTAATGCATTTCAACTTATTTTATTTTAGCTTAATCGCCTTTTTGTCTTATTATTTATTTAGTTCAATTGATCCCTCTATTGGCAACAGTTTGAATGAAGTCCCTCAATTTTAAAAATGTAACAATGTGATCCTTCCAAAATTGAATCAAATCCTTCAATTTTTGAAACAACAATGTGATCTTTTCGTTTGTCAAAATTGACATATTTAGTTTCATAAACTATCAATACCTATTGGTTACCTAGTTGTTGACAAAGCGATGCTAAGTTTTCAAAAATTGAAAGACTTGATTGAAACTTTTATTAATAATGAGATCAAATAAAATAAAATAAATAAATATGAGACTAAAAGGTAATACAAGGGCTTATGAGAAGCTTTATTCAAACATGGCAAAAAAATGTAATAATCCAAGCAAACACAAGGACAATATGCACACACACTTGACCGAGTTCCTCAGACTTCAGATCAGCAAAGGCCCCAGGAGTGTCAACAAATGTAATGATTGGGAATTGATGGTGATCAGCATATTTCATCATGTGCAATGCTTTTCGGTATCTGTTTACAAATCAACATCTTTCTTTAAGATAGCACAATTCATGAAAAATTAATATCAGGAAGAAAATTAGCAAGTGCAACCCTTTAATCTTCTAAGATAGAAATGTCAGCAAGTGAAATATTCATCAAAAGAGCAAGCATAATGATTTAAATTTCTATCATACCACCATTGCTTCAATAGTTAATTTCTTTATCTGGGGTGAAGCCTAATCATTAGAAAAGTGAAGCATACCCATGAGGAGTTGGCATTGCAAAGTTGCGAGCAATGTTTTCCTTTGTGTTCCTACCTTTCTGATGACCAATGAACATGTAACTCTTTCCATCCATACTCCCTATACCAGTCACAATTGCTGGATCATCATAGCCAGCACGGTCTCCATGAAGCTCCATCCACTAAAAGATTGCAAAAGGAAAAGAAAAGATGAGGGAAAATCTCTACTGATGATTTGACATTTGGTGAGCGTAAACATACCTTGTCTGTGATATTAAGTATATGATCAAGAACTGTTGGCCTATTTGGATGCCGAGCAATCATCAGCCGTTGAATGTATTAAGTGTGTGTATAGATCTTTCAGAGCCTGATATTAAAAGGAAGAAATTTCGAGTTATGATGTGAAGTTATACTGAAGTGTATATCAGTCATTATATTGATATTTTGTAGCATCAAAGTGTAAACAGAAACTGCCCCATATATTGTAATTACTAACATATATGCTACTTATATTTGTCACCTATTCCTCAAAAACAGAAGCTATCTCATGTTCCTTTACCCTCTATATCAACTTTTATTTGAATACTCTGCATAAGAATTGACGTTAGTATCTGATTTTTTACTTTTAGGTGTCATACTTACACATTCTTCAACATCTCTGGATTTCTCAAAATAATTGTACATAATTTCGCTACCTTTAATATGTCTTAAACAATTGTTCAATAACCTTTCAGAAACAGATGGTAGAATAGAAATTGAATCTACTTACCTGCTGATACTTATTCTCCAGAGCACTAATTTGCTTACTGAAGTCAAAGCCTGTGTCATCTGCCATTCTACGTATCTGCGAGAAACCGATTGAATGAAACATGAGGAGGGGAAGGAGGTTTATGGTACCTTATGATTATAAAATGAAGCTACAATTAATTCTTCGCTCTGCTAAAAAATGAGTTCTAAATTTTTGCATTCGAAAATACTACATCTCATTTAAGTGCTTGGTTAATCGATTAAACTGTATAGTTAGACTATAATATGTTAATACAATGCTCCTTAAACAAAAAGTAAATTTACCTCCATAACCTTCTTTTCCAGATCCATCAGTGGCTTCTCAAAATCCAGTGTCACTGGTTTTGGTTTCTCTGCCAGAGGTTTAAAGCGAGACAGGTAAGTTAAATGTCCACTACTGATATTTGGATCCATATTATCAGGCCAAGGATAATCATGCATGCTTCTTTCCCTTTTGTAATCTTTGCAACAACATGAAACTTCTGGTCCTTTTTATTCCTTGAACAGCTTAAATAATTTGGCCAGATAACTATGGCCCTTTTGGATGAAGATCCAAGAAAACCATTAACAAGGTAGTATTTTCCAATGCATGGATGTATCAAATCAATGGGACGACCTTCAAGTCTTCTTCCACTTATACAATTTTCACATTTGAGCGATAATGTATTCATCTTCATCAGCTGAAATTCTTGTGTGTTGGATGTGCATAGGCCTCCTTTTTCCTGCTTGACTCAATATGTCACCAGCATATTCATATTTTATCAGCACCATTTCAATGGGCAGAAAAAAATTTATGCTGATAGAGAAAAGGATTCTGGTGCAGAGTAACAAGAGAAAAGACTCCCTAGAGCAATTTAAATTTAACTTTCACAGGTTCAAATGAGGTACTAAAGCACAACATTCAAGCATGCACGAAAATAAGCATCACAGACATCACAGAAATGATATATCATCTATTTTCCTTGTCCTTTTTTCTCTCTTTATCTACATCTTAAATTTCTATCAGTGCTTGCCTTGCCCATCTTCTTCTTAGGCATTTTCTTTGAGGAAAGTGTTAGTTAGAATTGAACTTCATTAGTTGCTTTGCCTAAAAACAAGTGAAAAGACATTACAGGCAAAATAGATTAGTAAGCCAACTCCAGGAAAAACCATTCCATCCCGTCTGCATAAACATTCCCCTTAATCTTTCTCAGTGACCAAAAAATGAAAAAGAAGGGTGTGGTGGTGGGAGGAGCTTTACCTTGTAATTCAAGGCTTCTACATATTTCTATGATTATATCAGCAACAGTGAGCTTTAATATAAGCTCAGAAACATATCTACATATTTATGTGATTATATTAACTTCTCAATTTTATATCATTCCACAAACTTCCTCCTATACATTTCTTTTTCACTCAGCAGCATATTCTAAACAAAAAATAAAGTGTGTAGGATTATAAACCTTGGAAAATCCTTCAAATTTTGAGCTGTGAACTTCAAGAACAGAAGTTTTGTAAGCTAGTTAATGAGTGATGAACCATGTAAAGAGTGAAGATAACAAAAATGGAGGGTGTTTTGCTCTGTCTATGATTTCTTTCGGACGCTGTTGTGCTGTCCAACTAACTTGGTGAGTAGGAGGAACAAGAGCTTGTGATTGGAGGGTGTGTTATGTTAGGTATCATACTACTTGCACAAGAACTCAACTAAAATAGAGAAGAGAAAAATTGAATAGCAATAATAGACAAAAGTGGAAATTTTATAATAGAAAGAAAAATTACATACCCCTTCTCTAGTCCTAAGAATGACAACACTTTCTAATACTTAGAGAAGAAAAGAAATTTTGGGATGTTGAAATAAGGAGGGAGGGACTCCTTTTATAAGAAGGAGGAGAGCCCCCCAATTGAAGTTCCCACCGATGTGGGACTTCTTTCTTCACAATCTCCCATTTGAAGATTTTGATGAAATTAATCAAATCTTCACACTATGTCTTCTTCTCTCACATCCATGTTGCTTATGCTTTCGATAGGCCATAGAGGGATCGATTCCGTATAAACTTGTCAGCATTAACCGGCTTTGTCATTACATCTGCTAGGTTCTTCTCAGTGTGGATCTTCTGTAAATCTACACTTCCCTCTTCTACTACTTCTCGAACAAAATGATATCTTATTCCTATGTGTTTTGTCCTCGAATGAAAGGTTGGATTCCTTGCAATGTGTAAGGCACTTTGACTATCACAAGTACACAACAATTTGTTGTTGCTTGTGACCAAGTTCCCCCATTATTCTTTTAATCCGAGATAGCTTCTTTACATGCTTGGGTGACGACCATGTATTCAGCTTCGTAGTAGACAGAGCTACCACATCTTGTAACTTGGATAACCAACTTACTCGCCCCTCCATTGATGGTAAACACATAACCAGTAGTAGACTTCCTTTTATCCAGATCACCTACAAAATCCGAATCAACATAGCCTCTAACAACTGCTTCGATCCTCCATAACATAATGCAACATTTGAGGTTCCTTTTATATACCTAAGGATCCTCTTCACATTTTGCCAATGCTCTCCACCAGGATTCCCCATGAATCTACTAACCACTCTCACTGCTTGTGCAATGTCCGGTCTTGTACAAATCATGGCATACATAAGACTTCCCACTGCTGATGCATACGGTACTCGAGACATTTCAATCCTCTCCGCTTCACTGCTAGGACTCATACTTGAGGATAACTTACAGTTGACAGGAAGTGGGGTAGAAATTGGCTTGCAATCTTGCATGTTGAAGCGCCGCAAGATCTTAAGTAAATAATTCTTTTGAGAAAGCCAAATCTTCCTATCTTTTCTGTCTCAGTGAATTTGCATCCCTAAAATCTTGTTTGCTGGTCCCAAGTCCTTCATATCAAACTCCCTAGCCAATTGTGCCTTCAATTCTTGGATTCGAGCTTTGTTAGGGCCTACCACCAACATGTCATCCACATACAACAACAATATGATGAAATCATTTTCTTCAAACCTATTGTGGTAAGTACAATGGTCCGAACTTAGTCCGTAGTATCCGAGGCTAATAATGAAGGAATCAAATCTCTTATACCAACACCTTGGCGCTCGCTTTAGACCGTATAGAGATTTGTTCAACTCCGCAAACCAAGTTTTCTTGCTCTTTGAAGCCTTCTGGTTGGAGCATATATATTTCCTCTTCAAGTTCTCCATGAAGAAAAGCAGCTTTTACATCCAATTGCTCAAGATGTAAATCAAATGCAGCACACATCGCCAGGACAATTTCGATTGTTGTCAATCTAACAACCGGTGAGAATATCTCGTTGAAATCAATGCCTTCTTTCCGAGCATATCCTTTTACCACCAGTCTAGCACGATATCTTTCCACTTGATCATTGGCATCTCTCTTGATCTTATAGACCCATTTGCAACCAATGGCTCTGCGACCTTTTGGAAGTTCCACAAGATGCCATGTCTTGTTTTTATAAAGAGCTTCAATTTATTCTTCCATAACAGACCATCCATAGAGGAGCTTCGAACCACTCACGGCCTCTTGAAAAGTTGAAGGTTCTCCTTCTTCACTTAGGAGACAATACGCATCATGACTTGCCATCACATATTGTGAATGCCAAGATGGTCCGACTCTTTCTCTTGTTGATCGTCGGAGTTCTCCTTCTTCCACCTCATTTGGCTCATGTTCTTCATGCTCCTCCTCCGACTCGGAGGAATGTTCCGAAGTCTTCTTCTATCTCGTACTATAGTCTTGTCCTTTTCCGAGTCGTCATTTATCCGCTTGCTTTGCAGCTCATTTTCCGCAAAGACGACATCTCTCGCTAACAATAACTTTGTGGGCAGTGGGATCCCACAAGCGATACCCCTTCACATTGTCAGCATATCCCAAGAAGATGCATTTCCTGGATTTTGGATCCAACTTCGTCCTTTCTTGGGTGTTGTACATCACGTACGCGGGACAACCGAACACATGTAAGGAAGAATAATCGGTTGATTTTCCACTCCACATTTCCATAGGAGTTTTCAACCCAATTGCTGTTGATGGAGACCGATTTATCAAGTAACGAGCAGTATTCACGCTTCTGCCCAAAAAGACTTTGTTATGCCTCGCAGTTTGCAAGCATAGCTCTGGTTCTCTCTAGAAGAGTTCTATTCATCCGCTCTGCTACACCATTCTGCCGAGGCGTGTGTGGAACGTAAAATTGTCTCACAATTCCTTCTTGCTTGCAGAATGCTAGAAAATCTCCATCTACATATTCTCCTCCATTGTCTGTCCTCAAACACTTGATTCTCCTTCCGGTCTCAAGTTCTACTTGTGCTTTGAAGTCTTTGAACCGCGCAAATACTTCAGACTTCTTCTTGATAGGGTATACCCATAATCTCCTCGAGTAGTCATCGATGAACGACACAAAATATTTTGCTCCTCCAAGAGATAATTCCGGCGATTCCCGGACATCGAATGGATCAAGTCCAAAGTTTGCTTACTCCTTGTGGTGGTTCTTGCAAACTTCAACCCGTGTTGTTTGCTTGTCACACAATGCTCGCAGAAGGGTAAATCGACCTTCTTGAGCCCAGTGTATGAGATCACGTTCCGCAAGAATCTGCAGACCTCGCTCTGACATATGTCCAAGTCTACGGTGCCACGTTACCGCCGCTTCTTCTTGGCTTGTTGACGCAGTTGTTACATGATTTTCTTGCAAGGTGTCTCCCATAAGCACATACAAGTTTGCCATGATTTTCTCTGCTTTCATGACAACTATGTTTCCCCTCACTGCCTTTAAGATTCCTCCTTCAACATGGATCTTGCAGCCGAGGTCATCCAATTGCCCTATAGACAATATATTTTTCTTCAAGTCCTTCACATGTCGTACTTCTTGTCATGAAACCATTATCCACTTGTCATGAAACCAATCTCGTAGGTTCGTAGGTTTGAAACCACCTGAGATAGGCTCGTAGGTTTGAAACCAATCTCGGTGTGGGGTCATGTGCCAAGTTGCACCTGAATCCATTATCCACTTGTCATGAAATTTGTTTCCGCCATTAGAGTTGATTGCTGCTTCGCTTACCAGAATTACTCCTTCCTCTGAAGTACTCGCAACGCAACCCTGTGAGGTTGATTCTTCATTCTTCCTCTTCCAACACTCTTTCTTCGTGTGCCCTTTCTTGCCACAGTAGTAACATTTAAATTTGAAAGTCTTCTTGTTTCGAGAGCTTGATCTGTCATGATCTTGACTCCCACTTGAGCCATGTTTCGTTGATCTTCCTCTCATCATCGTCAAAACTTCTGCTTGTTTAGAACTTTCTACCTTATTCATTCGCCTGGATTCTTCTTCTAGAATAGCTCCGGCAACATCGTCAAAGTGTAGTTGTCCTTCAATATTATTATTTGTAATGTTGATGATGAGTTGATCATACGAGTCTGGCAAGCTCTGAAGTAAAAGCTCTGCACGCTCATTCTCAATTATGTTGAAATTTGCTGCTGCTAATTGGGCAAACAAGGTGTTCAGTTGGTTGATGTGGTCCGTCACCGATGTGGACTCACTCATCCGAAGAGTATAGAGTTTCCTCTTCAGGAATATCCTCTTCACCTCATATAATTTAATGAGGGCATCCCAAATCTCCTTTGCAGAATCTTTCTCCGCAACACTGGATAGAACTGAGTCTGTCATTGCCAAATGTAAATTTGCAATAGCGTTGCTGTCAATTTCCTTCCACTTCTGATCCGTCATTTCTGCAGGTCTTCCTTCAATTGCATCAAGACAATTGTCCTTTCTCAAAATTGCCTTCATCTTCAATTTCCATAACGAGAAATTGTTCCCGTTAAACTTCTCTATCTCATACTTTGCTGCCATGGTTGTGTTTCCACTTATGCAACTCTCACTTATGAATAGTATTGTCTACTGGAACAATAGTAGTAAACCGTGAACTAGTACACCAAGTAGGTTCCCAGGAAAGAGAGGTGGGTCACTAATGGACACGCTTAAGTACCAAGTCTTTCCTAGCCGTAACTTTCCTCAATAGTACTTTCACACTACCACACCTTTTCCAAGAACAACTCCTTTCCGATGTGGAAGATCGATTAAACCGCAACCACGAGAGCATACTCGAATTTTACCAACACTATTCTAGTGACTAGCGCAACGGGACTCGAACGCAGCTCTGATACCACTGTTAGGTATCAGACTACTTGCACAAGAACTCAACTAAAATAGAGAAGAGAAAAATTGAATAGCAATAATAGACAAAAGTGAAAATTTTATAATAGAAAGAAAAATTACATATCCCTTCTCTAGTCCTAAGAATGACAACACTTTCTAATACTTAGAGAAGGAAAGAAATTTTGGGATGTTGAAATAAGGAGGGAGGGACTCCTTTTATAAGAAGGAGGAGAGCCCCCCAATTGAAGTTCCCACCTATGTGGGACTTCTTTCTTCACATGTTACACACGCCTTTATTGAAGAGTGTGGATTGACAAAGATGAGTTTTGTAGAGACACACGTCCTCACAAATGAGGATAACTGATAACTACTTTCACTCATCATGGGTCCCACTATCAACTGTGGTCTTATCATGCATTCATGTGCATGTGCTTAGTCAACTTATATTTCTCTTTCTCGATCTCTATGGAGATGAAGAATTGAAAGTGCAGAACTGAAGATATGAGGAGGAAGCTTCTCTTTTATATTTTTCTACTCTGCTCACATTTTCATTATGTTAAAGTTTACATTTTATATTTTTAAAAATCGATTTTGTAAAATTGATTCAACTAAAATTCTCTTCTAATATTATTTTAATTGAGTTAAATACATAATTCATGTACCATACACCATATATAAATAAACAAAGGAAAAAACTTAAATAATATGTTACATATTGTATTCTTGTTGTTATTTTTAAATATAATGCATAAATTCATAATTATTAATTAATGTTTTTTTTTAGTTTTATAATTGTATGTGATACTTTCTATCAATAAATATTAACTACATTTTTCAATTTTCCCATATGACATATTACACATAAAGAATGTTAAAACATATAAAAAGTATAACAATATTTTGTTTGAATTTAGAATTAGTTTTCATGTATGTTATTTAATGATTTATTTCTTCATGTAGAATAAGATTATCAACGTTTATATATAATCATTTCAATACTAAGTGAACATTAAAAAAAAAATATCTGTTTGTTTTCTAAAAGCAAAAAACAAAATTGTGAATGATAAAATATGATTTTGCAAATAGAGCAAGTAAACGAAAAAATAAAATCAAAATCTCAATATGCACACCATCTGTGTGATATAATAGTTATCCAATCAACTGAATCAAATGTAACAGGAACGCAATTGTTATATTTATTGTCTTTCAGTTCAAAGCAGCAAGCACTAAGGATCGCAAAATTGGCACAACCTTCGGAAGGAAACAACCCCAATTCCCTTTGAACTGCTTCAATGGAAGCATGACTTATACCTGCCATAAGGATTATTACCCTACAAAGCTTGAGCAAGATCAAGCAGCAGCATCAACGTGCCCAGACTACTTCAAATGGATCCATGAGGATATAAAACCATGGAAGAGAACAGGAATCACTAGGGAAATGGTGGAGACGGGAAAAAATGTTTCATTCTTCAGGGTTGTGATTAAACAAGGAAAAGTTTATGCAGAAAGGTGTGCAAATTCCTATCAGACTAGAGATGTGTTTACAGTATGGGGAATTCTACAACTTCTAAGGTTGTACCCTGGAAAGATACCTGATTTGGAGCTTTTGTTTGAGACTGGGGATAGAACTGTGGTGCATGAACAACACTTCCAAGGACCACCGCCACCTATTTTCCATTACTGTGGGGAGAAAAATGCTTATGACATTGTCTTTCCTGTTTGGAGCTTCTGGGGTTGGTAAAGCTTTTCCATTGATTTATTAAACTTTTCAATTTAGATTGTGAAGATTCTCCTAGTTAATCTTGGATAAAAACTTCTATTTCTATCTGGTTTCTTGGAAGGACTTGTATCATCTCACTCTTTTTAAAAGATGACGATCTACATAGTGTCTATGTTATGGAAAAATTGTTGAAGAGCACATTGTCTCAGTCAATCTTTGCATAACTCGTGATTATACTTTTCAATGATTTTCTTCATATGGTATTGATACAACTTTCTTGGATACAGAGCCATCAATTTTTCTTTTTCATTCCATGTATAGTATTTCAAAACTGATAATCAAGAATTAATCTGTACTCTCATGACATGACTTCTTTTTAAAAGATCCACCAATTCTTCATACATGTGGTTATTTCAGTACTTCGAAGTATTCCTGCTTAGTGTTTTACAAGGGATAAAAGGGTTCTCCCAAAAATTGATACTTTAATATACCTAGTTCTTATGCATTATTTTTTTTCCTCCTTTAATTTCAAGGGTTGAGCTTGCAATAAAACCATGGGAGGCATTACTGCAGGACATAGACGAAGGCAACAAGAAGATGAAATATGGAAGGATAGGTTACCCTATGCATTTTGGAAAGGCAACACACGGGTGTCCTACCAAAGGTATGAACTAACCTCTGGTAAACACGCAATGTCAAATGAAAAATATATTACCTTATAGTGTGTGAAATCCTAAGAGATATATAATGAATCGTTTGTTCGTTTGTTCTAACCAGCACTGGGATAAGGAAATTGAACAACGGTTCCAGAACACAAAGCTTGAAGACCAATGTGTCCACAGGTAATTAACCATCTAATAAAAATTTATGCCCTTTCTAAGTTTTAGTATTATGAACTTAATTATGTTCTGTTATGATATGAAGGTACAAGATTTATGTGGAAGGGATAACATGGTCTGTGAGTGAAAAGTACATATTAGCATGTGACTCCATGACCTTGTTCATAGAGCCTATATATTATGATTTCTTTAGAAGAAGCTTGAAACCTAGGCAGAAATACTGGCCTATCAGCAGGAACAACCAAACCATGTGCAATGATATTAAGTCTGCTGTTGAATGGGGTAATGCAAATCCAGACAAGGTAATTGGTATTATTGTTCAATCAAAAGTTTTAATATTTGATGTATAATATGTTTGTCTGATTCATTGTGATTGGAAAAGCAGGGACAAACTTCATTGAAGAGAACCTGAAGATGAAGTTTGTGTATGATTACATGCTTCATCTATTGACTGAATATGCAAGTATACTTAATAACAAAATATTTTTTTTGGTATTATAGTTTATGTATAATAATTTTTTTTTCAGTTATCGAGTCTACATACTATATATTTATGTACCTCGTGGAGAAAAACAATGAGATTATATTTAAAACGGATTATGTATGCATTTTAAAAAATTAAATTATATATATAGTTGTCATTATTGACCAATGATTGCGGCATTTCCATGCAGCATGCGCAACCATTTTATTAAACATGAAATGAAAGTGAGTGAAGAAAGTATATATACGATGATGCTAAGCTTATAATATGAAAGATGAATTGATTATTATAAGTTTAGTATATAATAAAAAAGTAGAAAAAAAAAAAAAAATAAAGCTCAAATGAACTCCAAAGAGATAAAACCTAGCAAGTATTTTGTTTAATTACTTCAAGACAAAAGACACATCAATCTTGATCTTTTCATGGTTTCAACGAAATGTTCATTGATTTTTTTAAGATATTACATGGCTTGAAGCAATGACCATGCCTTTATTTTTTTTTTTCCTTTAATTTAAATTTTAAGACTATATTGAAAGAAATTTGCGTATTATTTTTTAGATGGTTTTATATACAAGCCAAGGGACACACTAGAAGACTTAGGGTGTACTTTGACTTTTCCTTTAGCACTACTAAAAATATGATACCTAACTTATATTATAGTTTATTATATGTAGTTTTATATTTGGATTTTGAAAACAACGACAAATGTTTTAATATATATATATATATATAACCTTATCATATATTAGTAAATATAACAAGAATCTTGTTAACCAAAGTTTAAGGACAGCGATTAAGAAATAAATAAGTTTGTTTTTAATTATAAATTATGGTGGGTGGTATTAGAAATTTGAAGAGGCGTGTTACAAATTCGTTTATTTATATAAAAGAAAATTTTGATTCTTAACAAAGGTTTTAAAAACGCTTATTTCCGGATAATGAAAAGGAGGAAGAAGACGTATATTATTATAAACACTTGAGTTTCCGTAATTGACTTGTTTTGCTTTTTATTTCCAATATATATAATAAATTATAAAATGTTGGTTTAGGTTATGAAAAAAAAATTATTAACACTTCATCATTATTATTATTATATTATTTTTGAGTAATTATATTTTTTTTAATTTCTTTTTTATTATAAAATCAATCTTCTTAAAAATAAACTTTCTCCAACTAATCAGGTCATAAAATTGAATTAAATTTGATTTTATAATAATCTTTAATTAAATATTCTCTACATATAATTTCTTAGTCCACCATACCAAGAAGTTTATCGTTGACCATCCTCACAATGAACCTAACTTCGCCCCTACTAAGTACTAAGACTTGCTGTGCAAAAATCATGGCAATTTCTTATTCCATTCTTATTTTATTACAAGTATAAATATAATAAATGACACAAAATAAAACAAAAACTTTAAGATATACCGCACAGAAACAATAACTATGTATAAGAGATAATGTTTTGTTTATATTACCAATTAATAAATTAAATAGGTATTCAACTTAAATTATTCAAAAATCATTTATTTTCATTAATATCAAAATATTTTTTTAAACAAGGCTCCAAAATATGTTTTGGCTTCTATAAGATCAACAAATTTTAGTTTTAGTTTTTGAAAATTTGTCTTTATTTCGTACCTTCTAAAATTTGAAACTATTGTTATTTCTTATAAAATAAATGAATTATGTTTTGATGTTTTGTTCATTAGTATATATATATATATATATATATATATATATATATATATATATATATATATATATATATATATATATATATATATTATATATATATATATATATATATATATATAACTTGGACACGTGTAAGACGGGGGAGGGAGAGAGAAACTGAAAACGAAGACCGAGGTTGTCTTAAACAACGGAACAAACTGAAACGGACGACGGTTCTTACAATTGCAATCTCTCTCTTTCTCTTTCGCAGAAAATATAAAAGACATAGACAAATTCAATTGGCACGTCCATGTTTCAATTTTTCACTCGTTTTCAACGACCCTCTCCATTTAACGTGCGAACCATCCCAGAAGTCACTTCCTAAGCCTTTGCCTTGTTGTTTAAGTCTCTGTCTTCGCCTTTGTTTTGCTTTGCTTTCTCTGTTTCTTTCCAACCACCCAAAAGCCTTGTTTTTCTTCTTCTTCTTCTTTCAGCTCTTTGGTGAGTTTTTTTTTTTTTTCTTGGTTGTGGAACGTTTTGTTGATTTTTAGTTGGATTTTGTGTCTAGTGAGAGTGTAGTTCTGGCTTTTGGCTGTTGTTATATAATCTTCAAAGCTTGAATCTTCGAGAAAGCTGTCCACTTTTAGTATCTGATCATGTCTCTAATATGATTGTATCAGAAGGATTATGCATGTGAGAAAAAAAAATGTCTGAACTTTTGGAGGTTAAGGGGTAGCGTGTTTGGTCATTGAGACTAGTCAGAGCGTTCTGTTTTTGCAGAAAATGGATATTTGTTGGCTCTTCACAAAAGAACTTTCTCTGCTTCACTAAACATCACTTTTGACTTTAATTTTAATTTCAGTTTTGAAAATTTTGGTGTGTGTTTGTTTCAGTTAGAAGGCTATAACTAGTGTAGAACACAAGGGACTAGTTTAGTCCCATGCTTGGAGTTCAAGAATATCATGGAAGTTTTTCTCTTGCTTTATGTAATCTTAAGCTTCTTGTCTCAATCCCCTGATTTGAGGTCAACATATGAGTCTGTGCCTTTTAGTGCTCTCTAATAAGTATTAAACAAAAGGGTTCTTTTTTATTCTTGTATTGCTTTTTGGTCGCGGAGAAGACAGTTGAGGGATTGTTTGGTTGATCCTTTCAGAATCTTCCATCTTTTTAATGTTATCTAATAAGTTTACTTGCTTTTCTTGACAATTAACCTTTCCTTCTTTTGTTATGTCTTTCCGTCTTTGCTTCCTATTTATGATTGGAAAAACTGAATAACAGTAATTCATAATTCATGCTACTCCTTTCTTTCCCATTTTGGATATGATATTCACTTTAGATGGGAACATACTGGGGTAGTTTATGCTTTCACAGGATTTCTAATCATTACTGCTAGAGAAAGAAGATCAAATAAAATTAATAATAAAACGGGCAAGGGAATCAATATTTATTTAATTGACATTCATAGAGGGGACTCATGATTAACTTGTGTCATTAAACCAACATGCTGGGTAAAAATCCATCTATTCCACTGAATTTGAAACTGACACTTGGTTACCTATTCACTAACAGATACATATATGAAAACTAGGTTGTTCATCTTTCCCTCCAATATATATTGTAAGCAATACTATGATTTATTATGTAATTGATGCATTACAATATTAATATTGAACCTGAATCGTTTTTTCTTTTCTCGGGTATCAATATATCTTGTCTCTGTCAGATTTCGGCTGGCAGCTACGTACTGGCAATGAACAACCTCAAGCTAGGAGTAGAAGTTGTGAATGCTCATGACCTTGTTCCCAAAGATGGCAAAGGATCATCTAGTACATTTGTGGAACTTCACTTTGATGGCCAGAGATTTCGGACAACAACTAAAGATAAAGATCTGAGTCCTGTTTGGAATGAAAGCTTTTACTTCACCGTTACTGATCCAAGCAAGTTACCAAGCCTCACTCTTGATGCCTGTATCTTCCACTACAACAAAAGCAATGGCTCCAAAATACTCCTTGGGAAGGTCAGGCTAACTGGAACCTCATTCGTTTATCATTCTGATGCTGTTCTTTTGCACTACCCTCTGGAAAAGAAAAACATTTTTTCCCGCTCAAAAGGAGAGATTGGTTTGAAGGTTTTTGTTACAGATGACCCTTCTATAAGAGCCTCAAACCCTCTTCCTGCTGTGGAATCCTTTGTCGATATAGTTCAAGATCTAACACAAGATCTAACACACGACCAAATACCACCACCAGTATCATTTACAGACTCAATCTCCAACACCGTGTCTAGGAAGAAAACTGAGTCAAGGCACACGTTTCATAACATTGCAAAATCAAATCATGAACAAAAACAGCAGTCAAAGCCTGCAGCAGATGCCAAGCCAAGTGTAACCTTTGGGATTCAAGAGATGAAATCCTCACAGCCTCTTCCAAAAGTTGTTCAAGCATTCGCAGGTGCGCAAGATTATGTAGTGAAAGAAACAAGCCCTACCCTTGGAGGGGGCAAAGTTGTTGGTGGAAGGGTCATACGCGGGAGCAAGCCAGCCACATCCAGCAGCTATGACCTTGTTGAATCAATGAGCTACCTTTTTGTTAGAGTTGTAAAAGCCCGTGACCTTCCTTCAATGGATATCACAGGTAGCCTTGACCCCTATGTGGAGGTCAAGATTGGAAACTTCAAAGGAACTACCAATCACTTTGAGAAAAACCAAAACCCTGAATGGAACAAGGTGTTTGCCTTTGCCGAGGAGAATCGGCAATCCTTTCTTCTTGAAGTTACAGTCAAAGACAGGGACCATATATCAGATGATGTTGTTGGAACTGTGTTTTTTGATTTGCATGAAGTTCCTAAACGTACTCCACCTGATAGTCCATTGGCTCCTCAGTGGTATAGGATTGAGAAAACGAATGGAGAAAAGAAAGGGGAGTTGATGCTTGCTGTTTGGAGAGGCACACAAGCTGATGAGGCTTTTCAAGATGCTTGGCATTCTGATGCAGTAGTAAACCCTGATGGAAGCACTATATCAAACTATTCTCAGATTCGTTCAAAAGTTTACATGTCCCCAAGATTATGGTATGTACGGGTCAAAGTGGTTGAGGCACAGGACTTAGTTTCATCTGACAAGTCTAAACTTCCAGATGCCAGTGTTAAGGTTCAAATCGGAAACCAGACTTCAAAGACAAAGCCAATGAGGGGCGTGAACCCGCAGTGGAATCATGATGCATTGTTTGTTGCTGCTGAACCTTTTGAAGAGCCTTTGGTTTTCACAGTTGAAGATCGCGTTGGTGCTAACAAGGATGAGACTATTGGCAATGTTGTTCTTCCTATAAGCAAAATTGAAAAGCGCTTTGATGATAAGCTTGTCCGTGGTGGCTGGTTTCTTCTAGAAAAGTCCATGTCATCTGCTATGGAGGAGCAAGGGAAAATGAAAGAGAAAGAGAAGGACAAGGACAAGTTCTTCAGCAGAATCCATGTCATTGCCTTTCTTGATGGTGGATATCATGTTCTGAATGAGTCAACTTATTACAGTAGTGATCTTAGGCCATCCACAAGGCAGCTTTGGAAGAAGCCAATTGGTGTCTTAGAACTTGGCATTTTGAATGTTGATGTGTTGTTACCACCCAAAAGTAGGGATGGAAGGGGAACATCAGATACATACTGTGTGGCGAAGTATGGCCATAAATGGGTGCGCACTAGAACCATTGTTAACAATCTAAACCCGAAGTTCCATGAGCAGTACACTTGGGAAGTTTATGATACAGCTACAGTTCTCACCTTGGGGGTGTTTGATAATGCACAGATTCACAATTCTTCAAATGGCAAAAAAGATTCCGAGATTGGAAAGATTCGGATAAGGATCTCAACACTAGAAACTGGTCGCGTATACACTCACTCATATCCACTATTATCAATTCATAGCTCTGGTCTCAAGAAGAATGGTGATGTGCACTTGGCCATACGTTTCTCATGCAACTCAATGCTTAACATGATGGGCTTGTATTTCAAGCCCCATTTGCCAAAAATGCACTACACAAAGCCCCTTAGCATTATTGACCAGGAAAGGCTGAGACTCCAGGCTATGCTCATTGTGGCAGCTAGACTAGGCAGGGCTGAACCCCCTCTTAGAAAGGAAGTGGTTGAGTACATGTCAGACACAGACTCTCACCTATGGAGCATGCGGCGTAGCAAGGCCAACTTCAACCGTCTGAGGAACGTGTTTTACTTCCTAGTTCGGATTGGAGGTTGGTTTGGAGAAATTGCTAAATGGAAGAACCCTTTCGTGACAGTGCTGGTGCACATTCTCTACTTAATGTTTGTGTGTTTCCCAGATCTTATCCTACCAACAATATTCCTATACATGTTTGTGATAGGGATGTGGCAATGGAGGTTCCGTCCAAGATACCCTCCGCACATGGATGCTAGGCTCTCTTGTGCTGGTATAGCAACCCCTGAGGAGTTGGATGAGGAGATGGACACTTTTCCAACCACAAAGAGTTCAGATATAGTGCGTTGGAGGTATGACAGGTTGAGAAGTTTGGCAGGGAGGGTTCAAAGTGTCGTTGGACAAATAGCAACACAAGGAGAAAGAGTCCATGCTCTTCTGAGTTGGAGGGATCCACGTGCCACTTCCATATTCATGGTGTTTTGCCTTGTGACTGCCATAATGTTGTATGTTACCCCACCACAAATGTTGTTCATTCTATCTGGATTTTACCTAATCAGGCACCCTAAGCTTAGGGACAAGACACCAGGAGCACCAATCAATTTCTTCCGCAGGTTGCCTGCTCTCACAGATACCATGATGTAGATACACACCCTTGGTTTGTGCAAAGAAGTTTTTGTGCTGCCAAAATTTGAATCTGGTTTAAGCCCTTTTGGCAGTGCTTGTACTACTAGTCCTTGTTCCCTGAGTCATGATTGTTGATACAAATGTACACATGCTGTGGAAAATTCACAAGTGTATTTTATTTTATATTGTTTCTTGTTTCTGCACTAGTGTTGAAGGATTAATCAGATGCTTGTAGTTAAACTTTTGGCAGCTATGAAAAATGGAAGAAAATTGGTTGGAATAGTTTGAGTAAATAATTATGTACACTCTTTGTCTAATAAGAAAGTATCACCGAATGATAAGAAATTAAAGTGATGATTATAATGAGGATTATAGATATTAAAATAGGCAAATAAACACACTCGTTCATTTATATGATTTTGTTGAAAATGACCAAGGAGTATGATGTCTTACCAACTTTTTCATAGAGAAACTGCATCTTCATTTCTATGTGGATTGAGTTGTTGAACTTTGATTATTTTATATTTAATTTAATGAGTAAGATGTATACTTATCTTATCGCATATGGCTCAATACGTAACAGATGAAGACAAAAAAAAAATCTATAAAATGCCAACATGATGTAATACATGATTAAATGGTCAGAAGAAATTTATATAACCCTCGTTCAGTTTTGTTACGGGAAATTAAGTACAGAGGTGGGAAAACGGCAGCCGTCCCCTCTTTCTCTGGGTTGAGTAGTTCGTTTTGTAAATAAACGGATTAGATCAATTAGTTAATTTATTAATTAATATTTTTATTAGATAAATTGAATAATTATTATATTTATCTATTAAAATAATTAATAGTTAAAATTTAATAAATAAATTTTTATAATTTAAATTATAATATTATAATATATTTATATATTTTAATAATATAATAAAAAGATATAATATTTTTTATTATAATATTTTTATTTTTATTTTAATATATAATTTTTTTAAAATAATCAACCTGTCCTTATTTCCTAAATTAGTGAATTAAGCATGAGTCAAAACAAGTTAATAGACTAAAAATCATCAACTAATTAAATATATAATAATAATAATTGATTTCATAAATAATATATTTTTAACAAATATTTATAAATTTTTTATTTAATATGTATATTATTCAATAAAAAATAAATTTATTTAATTTTATATTTTTTTTCCTTTTTTACTAATTCTTTTTTTCTCTTATCAATAATTTCTTTTTTTTATCTCTTTCTCATTCTATCTTATTCTTTTAATTAAAAATATTATATTAAATTTTGATAAAATAAGTTTTTTATCATTTTAAAAAATAAAAGTATTTAAGTTATCTAAAAATATTATAATTTAATATATTATATTTTTAAAATATTACATAATAAATTTTAAAATGTTATAAATATTATTATATTATAATTATTAATATATATATATAATATTTATTTTAAAATAATATTTTTAATATAAATCTTAAAATTATTTAATTTGATTAATGATCATAATTTAAATAAGAATTATATAATTATACGACACTGGGATTATTTAACTTTATTTAATGAGATAATGTTGTTTTACGTTTTATATATATATATATATATATATATATATATATATTAAATTCTAAATTTATTTTATAGAATAATTTTTTATAATTAGTTTTTTTAATATGATATAAAAAATTAGATCTACAATTTTTATCCTGCACCTGTTTTAAATTTCATTATTTTCGAAGTTCCTAAATTCAAGGAATCCAGAATGTAAATCATGAAATTCATTATTCTCAGTTAAGATTTTCAGAATACAGTATTATTTTATTTTGGAAAACATAATCCAAAATAATGAATTTCATTATCTTATACAATATGTAAAATCACCATTTATATCTGGGTCAATACGAAACAGGATTAGTTTATGTGTTCTGGATTAATTATATACATTATCATTATAATCATAACGTCCTTTTTTTTAATAATATAATTATACTTAAATTATTTTGTTAGATTTAGATAATAAAATAAAGAATTTTATTAAAGATAAAATATATTGAATTATAAAAAAATTTAGAAAGTCTAAGTGTAAGATTGAATGATAATATTATTAAGATTAATTTTAATATTATGATTTTATTTTTAAAAAATGTTTTAATAAAAAGAAAAATGTATATAAATCATGATTAATCTTAATTTTTAAATTAGGTAACATTTATGATTGTATTAGAATATATAAAAATAAAATAAATATAAAATTAAAAAGATAAAAAAAAGTTAGATTTTATCTTCAGCAATCCGATCATCAACTATAAATAATTTTTCTTATTTTTCATTTTACACTTATTTACTTCATGATATTTGGTGGGAAAGGAGTGGTAGTGGTGAAAAAGTGTTTGCTTTTCATTTCTAAGGTAGGCGAGAAAGTCGAGAGGACCTCAAGTATAATTTACATTCTCCTTCGTTTTACATGTTTTTTTAAGAATATAATTGTAACAAAAATACCTAAATTTCAGGTCATAATTATAATTTTATCGATCATTTCTATTATTTATAAGATTTTGAATTTATTTACACAAATTAATAAATGCATTGCTTATTCTTAAACATATAAATGACAGAGTTTATAATTTGTAATGAATAAATTATGAATTAATATTGTTCTAAAAACAATATTAATGGCGTTTTTCAAGGATGTTTTAAAACTCTTATTTAATTCCTTAATACTCTCGTGTCATTTTTTATTTATTTCAGCTAGTTAAATCCGGTTTTTTGTTTGGTGAATTAGGTTTTGTACGCGTCTCAGAGGAAGGACTCAACTCTCGCTTATTTGTTAATGTTTAGAGTTGTCAGTTGAATTGGCACCGAACCTCTCACCTCTAAAGTTTCGCTACTTCCTGGTATTCACCCGATTACTTCTCTTATTTTCTGCATTCATGTTTTTGCGCATAGGAACCTTTCTAGGAGGTTCCGGTGGTAACGAATCAGATCGTTCGGAGCCGTAGAGCGCCAATAATTTTTTTCTGTGTCAATTCATATATTTTTCATAAGATGCATTCAATGCTGTTCCGATAGATAGGATAAGGTATAGAGATATCCAGGTTAAAAATCCTTATATCCAGTGTTAAAAACCTTCTTATGCCTAGTTTTTAAGAGACCGTTGTATGATGATAGGTGTATGATGATGGTTCATACAGTGTATATATATATATATATATATATATATATATATATATATATATTATGGCTTTTTTTAGCATGAAGTTACATATGCATTACAATGACACAGGAATATATAAGTTATTTTTGTTCTGATTTAGTCTTGGAATTAAAACTTGATTAACAAACTGTTTGATTTAGTGTACATTTGGATTAAAGTTGGGAGGGGTAAAAATACTTTTACCTTGTGTTTTGCTATGGTTTTGGCATTCTTTGTTTTAACCCGTTTATTCTGCCTCCTTGGGTTTTGCAGCAGTTCAATATTGACAGTGCAGCTTTGCTCTAGCTTCTTTTTGAGAAAGTGTTCACTGGTTCAAGTATTTTGGGTTCCCAAGGCGGGAAATAAAGGATTAGGATTTCAATGGAGATTAACAGACCTGACGGCCGGTCTCCTAATCAAATGAGACCCCTGGCGTGCTCATGTTCTGTCCTGCATCGTGCCCATGGCTCGTCCAGTTGGGCTCAAGGAGAAACCAAAGTGCTTGCTGCAGTTTATGGACCCAAAGCTGGAACCAAGAAGAATGAAAATCCTGAAAAAGCATCCATTGAAGTTATTTGGAAGCCGAAGACTGGGCAAATTGGTTGGAACAATACTAAAGTCAGCTCTTTCTTTTCATTTTAAAATACAAAATTAATAACCTTTTTCCATGGTGTAGGAAAAGTGGAGAAGGAGTATGAGATGATATTGAAGAAGACTTTGGAAAGCATATGCATTCGATCCGTATATCCAAACACCACCACTTCGGTTATTGTCCAGGCATGTTTTGTTCTTAGTATTAGAAATGTGGTTTGTTACATATTTTATAATTAGTTAAATTCAAAGAACTTGGGGCAATGCATTATGTTTCAGTAGTGTCATTGCTGATTGCTTTGTAAATATGTTATGACATGTTATTTGTAGTTAACTAATAACTTTCATTGTTTCTACTGCAGGTTGTCCATGACGATGGTGCTGTATCCTTGTTAAAAGTTCAGTTCAAATATGATTTATATGGTGATTGTTTCTTTGTGATATGTTTGATTGGAAGGGAAGGGTGGAATAGGTGTGATAATTTATTGAGTTTGTTTGGTATATGATAGAAATAGGAAGGGAATAATTAAAAGGTGAATGGGTCCCAACAATTCTTTTTACTCTATTTTTTACCTTATTCTATTCATCACTATCTCTCTCCTTATTTCTTCTCTATTTCTCTCCAACCAAATAACTCATTGTTGCTTTATTTCTCATTTTTATTTTTATTTACTTAATTTCTCCACCAAACAGACCTATGGTTGACATTGTGTACTTTTACTGCAACATCCCTTTTAATTCGGGCATTCTTCACTTTATGGTTTGATTCATTGTGACATGTATTCCCTTAGGATTTTAGTCTGATGCTGAAAGTACTAAACAACTTGTGTTTTAACTTAAACCCTGTTTTAAGTGGGTAATGTTATTGGCAGTCTTGAACTTGAACCATGTTACACTCTCTTCAAAATTGAAGGAAAAGACTAATGTTTTGTGATTCATGAGGTGCTGCGATAGTTCTTTAATTCTCTTTGAAAGATTTGTGCTATTTTTCTAATCCCATTTTATGGCAATTTCTGAAAGAACAAATTATATGGTTTATGGGTAGTGGACTGGTTTTCAGTTATTATGCTCAGGGAGGAATTATCACTTTCTTAGGACCATGACAGAACTGATTAGAAGATAGATCACCATAAATTGCATCAAATACATACATTTCTGTTTGATTTTATTGTTTATTACTACATGAGGAGTGGCGGACTAAAGCGATCAATGTTTAATATATATATGCTTCTGGATTTTTTGCTCCTTTTCCTTAACTTAATATGTAGCTTCTTCCATGTGCAATAAATGCAGCATGTGCTGCACTTGTCGATACTGGAATTCCTCTAAAGCATCTTGCTGGTAATCTAGACTAGATAGTTTGTCTCTTGATTTATTTCTATGTTTTTATTCTATTAATAATAATGAATATCATCCTTGTCTCTACAGTGGCAATATGTTGTTCAGTAACAGATAGTGGGTATATTATATTGGACCCAACCAAAGATGAAGAGGAGGTTAGTAGAATCGTTTTTGGTTAATTTCAAATGTTATTTTATTTTCATCTAATGTCTAGAGAGTTTAGTCAGCTCAGTAAAATTTGGTCTCCATTTACCTCATTTGTATTCTACTTGCTTTGTCGATAATAGTTGCAAAAATCAATCACAACCTTTGTTGTCTTCTCTTAGTTAAAGCTGTCATGACAAGCCTTTCATCGTTGATGTTATAAGATTAACTCTTCTTTTTTTACTTTTTTTTGTTTGAATAAATTACATTATCCTCATTTCCAATGTCAGTAACTTAACTGCTCTTGTTGGAAAACAAAAACAACCTCAACTTTATTTTGATGATATAGGATGTTAACCTTTTGCCTTTATGTGCTTCCGTTATATTATAAGACATGGTCCAGCACATAGTTCAGTAACCTAGTTCATTTGCAATGCAAGCTCAACAGATCTTTATTCTTCCATGTTTAAAATATAGGATGTCTTTAAATTCATGATTAATGGGAATTTGATTGGCCTTGTAACATCAGCAACCATTTTTGACTTGGGCAAGCCAATATTCCAGCTATGTATTAGATGCTAACTATGTACATTCTGGACTAGTAACTAATTGTGCATCCAATAGTCAATGTATGCTTTATGTTAGAAAAGTGCATGCATGTGTTTAGTCACTAATCGTGTTTTTAATCAAGACATGATATACTTTTTGCCGTTAGCCCTTAATCATGGTACAGTTAATAATTTTTTGTCCCTGTGGCATGAACAAATTTTTTTTTGCGTCCCAGGTCTCATGCTTCTTGTACATAACTCTAATTCAATGCTTTTTAATCTTATGGCAGAAAATGAAAGCCTTTGCCTATTTAGTTTTTCCAAATGCAATTGTTTCAGTCCTACCGGAGAGTTCACTGCAGGTGGGTAGTGAACCTATGGCCCATGGAATCATGACATCTGTTACACGAGGTGCTATGTCAGGTATTCTGCAACACTTTCTTAACTTTTTTTAATTAGTTCCTTCAATGGGAATTTTTGGTGCCATAATTTAAATATCTATTTTAACAAGATTGGCCAAGTAGTGTTTTACCATGTCCTTAAGCTTGTGTAGGTTATCTTTTCTAATGTGATTGTTGTGACCATGAAAATGAGTGGAACCGCTCACCAATTTTTATACACTTTGGGTAAACGTGGGAAAAACCAAAGAAACATTTTAATCATATTAAGTTTGAGAATTAATTGTATGCTATGTGGAAACTAAACTCTATACCACGCCCCTTACTCCCGTTGAGACAATTACCCTAAATTAATTATGCAAATAAAACCTTTACCCTTTTTTGACAAACATTTTTAAACCTATCAAAATAAAAATAAAGAACCTTTTACGATAAATCCTAATGACTGAAAATTAATGTAAGGAGTTTTTTTTTTATTAATTTGTTACTAATACTAAGGAATCAAATTGAAAGTAAACCACTGAAATCTTTTTTTTTTTTTTAACCATTTGTTGTTACCTAAAAAGTTTAATTTAAGATTAGAGGAATATTTTAATATTTTTGTTACTATAGGCTGGTGACCTATAATAAATAAATGAAATGAAAAAAATATTAAAATAGCAATAAAACATGATAAGGTTAAAACAGTGTTTACAATGATCTAATTAGTTTTCTGTTTAATTTTCTCTAGCGGGTGATTATCTTCATTGCCTAGAACGAGGGCGTGCTGCTAGTACAAGGTTGTCTGAATTTTTGAGGAAGAACGTTGGATTGAAATCTACAAGTGAGGCATCTAAAGCTGGGTGATTTCCAGTCATTTTGGATTGCAAGGGGGAGGATGGGATTTCTCTGCAGTTAGTGTTACATATTTGTCCCATTCATGAATTTGTCATTGAAATGATTTAAGCTTTTGTTCATGGTTGATTATAAAATTGCGAAAGCCCAACTGGCTTTCCTGGTCTCTTGGTTAGTTGTATATTAGCTATCATTAAGTAAATTCTGAGTGAATTTTTCATGAATCATTCTCTCTAAGTTTAAGAAAAGGGTTGTAATGTAGTGCTTTCAAAGAACAATGATTCAAATCATTTGTAGAAGTTATATAATCCATGATTATGATTTCTTTACTTCATAGTTCCTTTTACAGGCTTACAGCTTTTGTACAAGCTATGGAAGATTAGTGAACTTCCGTTTTTACCTATGCTATTATTACATCAGGCTCGATTTATGTTTTGATTTGTATTGTTTACTGTCCATGTGTAATGCTGGAGTCACGTTTTCGGGTTTTAATTACTCTATCAAATTTTGTAAGAAGGAAAGATTGCAGAATGAGGATTTGGAATTTTAGATTTACGTTTTAAATATAAACTACTTTAAGTAGAACGTGAACAATAAACTCACGATGGCCAATAAACGAAAAGAACCATTGTTTGCCGCGAAAGTCTTAACTTCCTGATATTTTGTTTGTTTTCTCATTGAGGGAGCAAATTTGTTTATATTCTGCAGTGTTACTAGGAAATAGAAAATAAAAAACCTCTCTTGGAGACTAATCTTGTCATGTTACGAATAATAAATTATATTGTCTTTAAATTTATTGAAAACGATATGATTTTATTTCATCACCCGGAATTTCAAATTACATCGTTTATTTCATATTTTTAAAAGTTAAAAGTGAATAATTTTAAGAAAAAACTACTAAATGAAAAACGAAATCATGATTTCAGAAATTAAAAACTATATTTAACTAGCAAAACACAAGTTAGCATTCAACAACCTACTCGGCAATTACCGTAAACGAATTGCAATTTCAGTTCTCAACGTTTAGACAACTTTTCACATGTCCTTTTCTTTGTCATTTTGGATACTCTTAATTGTCACTTTGTCAAGGCACAAAACAGAACATATAAACCCACCATTGTGTTCTAACATTTTTTAAAGCATCTAATTCCTGTAACATTCATCTACAGGATGCTGTTATTTGTCATGTACGCTAAACATACTCATTGTATAAACTTGGTCTTGTTGCATCAAAGCACCCAAAAGAACACAAAGTAGAACCAAACAAGTTGCATAGAAAATGAAGATTATTTTCCTCTCAAAACCAACCTTTCTTCTTTTGGTCTTTCTCTTCCTAACAAACTGTTTGAACACTGAAGCTGAAAAATGTCACCCTAGTGGCAGAGTTAAAGGTGAAAAGGTGTCTTCAGGGCATTGCCATGAAGAGGATGATTTATGTTGTGTGCCAGGAAAAATATATCCCACATACACATGTTCACCACCAGTGTATAGTCATACCAAAGCATATCTCACTCTTACCAGCTTTGAGAAGGGTGGAGATGGTAACGGTCCTTCAAAATGTGACAACCAATATCATTCTGATCACACACCTGTGGTGGCACTTTCCACTGGATGGTTCAAGCACAAGAGAATGTGCCTCCACAACATTACCATTAGTGGCAATGACAGAACTGTGGTGGCCATGGTGGTTGATGAATGTGACTCATCAAGGGGTTGTGACAGACACAATGGCTATCAACCTCCTTGTGCCAACAACATTGTTGATGCCTCAATGGCTGTGTGGAAAGCCTTAGGCATTCCCATGAGCCAATGGGGAGGGATGGATATTACATGGTCTCATGCTTAAATCTTAATTGCACTAGTGGATGCATTTTCTCTGTGTGGTTTATTATGTTCAGAGGGAGTTTATACACTGTAATTTTCTTCTTTTATAACTCATATTTTACACCGATCTCATGTAGAATTTATAACTCACATTTACCTTTACAACTTTGCATCGTTATACTATGTATCTAAGGCAGTCCATTTTCTGTTACACGATTTGTTCATCGTGTATTGTCTTAGATACTGTAAATTTTATCTTATCTTTCGAATTTTGGTTCAGATTTTATATTCTTTCTTTTTCGTCTTATAGCTTAACGAATTATGGCCAGTCAAATTTGATGGACACAAATTTTTTAACGTGTTCATAGTATATTACAGAAAAATCAAGTTTTATATATTATATAAGTGCATTGTTAGAGACACACAGAACAAAGATAAAACAAGGTAGAAAAAAAATGACGAAACTAGTATCTTGTATATTCTAATTTTGTATTCAAAATTTACATGCTTTTTAATTTTACATAAAAAATGTAAACATAAAAACAAATTAGAACACGTCCATACCAACAACTACTAGTTTATTAATTTTTTTTTTCTGAAGTAAACTTTGATCGTTCTTACAAATATAACAGAAACTACAAATACATTAAATATTTCAATATGATAATAGAAACCTGCCTTGTATCCATAAATTTGTGAGTTTGTTAGTTTTTCTATTTATTATTTTTCTCTTTCATATGTCTCTATAAATAAAAACCTGCCTTGTATCCATAAATGGACAAGAATTTCTTTCATAAAATTGTGTTTCTATCTTCTTTTAAGCTCTGGTAATATGGTATTAGATTTTCTCTCAAGCTTCTGCACAGTCTCCTGTTAATTTATGGTTACAAAATCCAATATTCACTAGTACTCGAATAGGTCAAAGTCATGTTCTCATATCCAAACATATGATCAAATTTTTAATCAATGTTTACAAATTAAAATCCCCTTAAGCATGCATCAAACACATGAAAGAATAAGAACAAGTGGTAGCAGAGAAGTTTATAGAGGAATAAGTTGACTACCTGTGGCGTGAATGGAAGATGAATTGTTGCATAGCAATTAATTGGGAGATAAAAGATATACACGATGCATATACATCACACATAAGTTCAGTTGTTTTGTCTTTTCTCAACTTGTCTTCACTCTTATGGGCATGCTCTAGTTATACACTGACATTTGTTACAATAGTGTATAAATAACACTGCTCTTTAAACAATGCTCCACTCAAGGTATGAATGGTTTGAGATTTGTTTTATTTCTGCATATTTAAGAAAAGGAAACAACCCTGTCAACTTTGCTATGTCAACTTTCAAATGCTTAAGGTACTTGAGATGCACAATCTCCATACCCCACAGGTACTTATCTTCATCATAATTCATACTTCTGAGTTCTCCGCCAACTATTTTTAGCTCTTGGCATCCCTTGGGCATCTTGCTAGGCTTCAGCCATTCTGGAATTTTCTGTCCTCGAAAGCCTTCAAGATGCAACTTTTTCAAACTTGAAGGAAAAATCATTTTAATATCACTGTACCTCGTGTCAGACACACCCCAGGATATTTTGAGATGCTCAAGTGCTGGCAACTCTCCCAAACTTTCAAACTCCCCATCTTTGATCACAACCTCAGATCCTAAATGTATGCTGAGTTGTCTCAGATTTTTCAAAGTTGCAAGATCTGATACTGTGTAAGGGGTCTTTCTAGGATTTCCTTTTAAAAACCCCTTGAGCACTTGGAGCTGAGTGAGCTTCTGAATTCCCTTTGGCATGCTTTCCAACAAATAACACTGGGATAAAATGAGATGCGTGAGACTTTTCATTGATGAAATATCATTAGGCAATGTTTCCAAATTGTGGCAAGCTTTGAGATCAAGAATTTGCAGGCTCTCAAGTTGAGCAATGGAGGGTGGAAGCTTTGATATTCTTGATATCCCACGAAGACTAATATAAGTCAAATCCTTTTGATTTAGCAACTTCTTTAGGAATTCTTCACTCCCCACTTCAATGTGATGTGAAGGAGAATCTTGCCAACGACCAAGTTGAAGCACCTTTAAATTGTACATATTTTTATCCAACCAATTAGATCCAAAATTTAGATAACTCGCACCAACATTAAAAATAGTATCTATCCAACGTCTAGTGTTCAAACTATCTCCATTGCCTACTATAACTTTTTGTTGTTCAAGTACTAACCATGTACCCCGCAAGGGGCTATAGTATGTTCTAACATCAACTGCATAACTCGAGTGGTATTTTTCTCTTAACCGTAACAGCAAACCAGGGCGAAAAACAGGATTGATTTGAAATTTATTGACAATGGGACACTTTCCATTACCATACGGTACAATCACATTCGATTGAAAAAGCTTATCCATCACATCCTCACCCTCTTCCTCTGCTGTTTTATCTTCTGAATATTTAAGAAGACCCTCTCCAATCCACCAATAAATTGTATGTTTTTTCTTTATAATAGCACCTTCAGGGAAAACTAAGAGAGAAAACAGACAATGTTGTTCATGAACCTCTAGGATGTGCAGATCCGTATGCAATTGCTTAGGCAGCAGCAACTGATTCTTGTGTTTCTCTGAAGAGGGCCGTGATGAGCGCTGTATTTCACTTCTCTTGTGACCCTCCTCCTCGGATGAGTCATCAACATCATCCTTTGGAAGTAACTTGTGAACACAATCACTTATTCTTTCGCAAATGGCATCCGTGTCTTGATACAAACTCTTTCTGTCTAACTTGCGGAGATGGCCATCCACCTCTGCTAATCTGTCAAGCAGTTCTTCTTCATTCTTCTTCACTCTCACAAACACCTTCTTTATCTGGCTCAGCTCCAATCTCAACTTTTCCAACTTCCCATCAAATGATTCATCTCTCCCCCTTTCATGGAACTTGCTCCTTGCTTTCATTAAGTGCTTCAGCAACACAGGCACTGCTTTCATTTTGTTTGTTCGAATAGACATTTCCAACTACTAATAAACAAATAATTACAGAGTTAATTAGCAGAACTTTTTTACCTACAACAATGATGCTTTGTGTTTGTATCTACCTTTAGAGACAGAGAGATATATGGGAGGAAAAGATAGAAAATTTGAAAACACAAATCTATTTGTATTACTCATCCTCTGCAATGCCATTGTAGAGGGAAGATCCTATTTACTTTACCAATATGGTTCTGATTTTCGTGACCTGATGAGCCTAGAAATAATTATTATATCAAATTCATCTATGCATAGCACGGGTTACCAAAGTGAACGTAAAAATAGGGTAAACTGAGACTGTAAAAATGTGATGTGAAAAAGAGACAGAGAGAAAATTTAATAAGAAGAGAGAAATGTGATAAATACAGAGTGTAAAAAAGGAACCTTGATAAAATGAGGCTCGGTATTTGCTCTATTGAGAAATCAATGAAAGAAAGTTGTACATGTAGACGGTTTAGCTAACAATGCATGTCGTGGATTTGAACTTTTAGAGTTTGCAAGGAAGGAAGGAATCAAACAACAGAAGTTTTCTTACAATTCTTTTCTTGGTAGTTTGAAAGAGAATCCGAATTAACCAGTTATCCTTAAGTTCTTCCAAAAAAGAATTCTTTTATTTTAAACATGCTTGATTTTCCTTAATCCGTTCTTAATATTCACAAGATGAAGATCCATCAAGAAGCACGTTTTGATTATAAACTTAATTATACGTAAGTGTTAGTGGGAAATCGTTAAAAAGATCGAAAAACGAAGGAAAGAAAAAATCGAAGATCATGCGATTGGTTAAAAATTGATAAAATTGGTAAAATACACCTGGTAACCACAAAGATAAAAACACGTCGAAAATCAAAATCGAAAATCGAAGAAACAAATTTCGATGTCTATTGTTGAAGAGAATCGAGAGATTAGAATAGTGCAAAGTTAAGAATTAAAGGGAATCAAAAGTAAAATTCAAAATACTTGATATCTGAAATCGAGATCAAGGGAGCGGCTAACACATACAGGGGACACGGGAAACGGTTTCAAAACCGTGGCTCAGATCGAAGATCAAGGGAGCAGTTCTCTTATGCGTGAGAACGTGGAATGCTGTAAGACTGAAGATACGTGCACGTAGGATCGTGGTGACAGTTTTATTAACCACTCTTAGGAGGTTACTTGAAAGATGCTTTATAAATAGAGCGAAGACTGGAAAAAGAGGGGAAATTGGCAGAGAGAACTGAAACACTAGTGAAAAATCTACCGGAGAACGACGAAATCATGAAGTTTCTGGCGATCCAGATTTCCATTTTCATTGATTGTCTTTACCGCTTTTTGTACTTTCCCTGATAATTTATGTTCACACAATTTAATTTGATGCAAGTTTACGTTTAGCAACTTTAAGTTCAATTCCTAGTTATTTTATTTCTATGTAAATTGAGGTTCTGCGTTTAATTTCTTTGTTATTTACATTTTTGCAATTTCGATTTCCTGTTATTTACATTTCTACAATTTCGACTTCTCGCTTATTTAGAATTCTGTAATTTTCGATTCTTTGTCATTTACACTTAATGCAAATTTGAGGTTTTCGCATTTTTTACATTCCTGTAATTTAATATTCTGCACCGCTTTTCGATTCAACAATTTTACTGTTTTCTTTACTTCGCGTTATTTAATAAAAAATACCAAAAATATTACTTTCGATTTGCACTTTAAGTAATTTTGTTAGCATTCATAAGATTCTCGATTCTCATGCACTTTTCGATTGAAAACTAGTTGTTAGCCTAAGTAAAAAGAACCTACATGATCAAGATTTAATTAGAGTTCAACTCCCCATAAATCAAAATCAATCAAATTTTCACCAGTAAGTAAATAATAGTTATTATAATTACCATTGGATACGTTTTCAATTCCAGTTTGTATGTGTTTACTGTTCAATGATCTTCTACTCTGTAGTATTCTTCTTCTATAATTCATATTTTACCTTTACAACTTTACATCGTCGTACAGTCCATCTTCTGCAAAATGTGAACCTTTCATTTGTTCATAGAGTGGGTGGTTGTAGATACTTCAAGGAGGAAATTACAATAACATTTCTTCAAATTTTCTCAAACTTACACTTTCATATTTTTTATTCACCACTATAATAGTCTCCTTTATCAGATATATAATGCAATGTTTTCAAGTGGGTATACATGTAATGAAAAAAAATGGATGAACACTTAAAGAAAGGTTATCTTAGTGCCCCGTGTTGTATATAATGAGATCTAATCCTTAAATATCACTTCCTTATCATAACCATATATATCAACGCATGCACAAAAAAACAAGTAAACAATTTTTTTTTGTTTTCTCATTGGGATTGCAACTTTGTCCTTATCATGTTTATCAATCTTCTTTCATCACGTTTTGTTCATTTTTATGTCATCCTTGCCTCATGTATATTTTTATCCAAATAATAAATTTTATAGGAGAAAACCAATATATAAAAAGTTAATTATTATATAAAAATAAAAATATTATATATTTAATATTATTATTTAAATTTAAATTTTAAAAAATATATTTTTTATTTTTTATTTTATTTCTAGATATCTTTAAAACTTAAATCAATTTTTTTTTCATATTTTAACGTAAAAATAGAATATCAGAACATATTAAATTAATTAACTAATTTATAAAATCTAAAAAATATTTTTATATTACACTATACTAATTTTTATAATAAAACAAATATAATAAAAAAATAAATTTGTTTATTTTTTTTACTTAAAAAATATTATAAAATATATCTTTTATTTGTTAATTTTTTGTCTTATGTCTTTTTAAACAAAAGATAAAAGAAACTAAACAATAAAAAAAATACAATTTTTATGTTATAATGATGAAATTATAAAAAAATGTTTTAATAAAAAAATTAGAGAATAAAAAATATGTTTATGTTGTAGAGATAAAAAATTTACCATCTTTATATTATACGCTGACGAGAAAACAAGAGAGTTAATAAGTGATAAAATAAAAGATAGGAATATGAAAAAATAAAATAAATGTTTAATAAAAAAAATTGGAATGGAAAAATGAAAAGATATGAGAAAAAAAGATAAAAAAAAGGAAAGAATGTAAATAAAAATTATATGAAAAAATAAATATAATATTTATTATAAATAAAAAATTAAAAGAAGAAGAAAATTATATTTTATTTATTTAAAAAATAATATATATATTTCGGCGACCGTGGCCCTGCAGGTCCCGTGAATCCGCCTTTGTGCATATTATTTATTTGATCATTAAATAGAATAAATTTTTGGGGGTATTCAAATTTTCTTAACTAGCAAGAATGTTTCACATGTTAGCATCCAAATAATAAGACAAGAAACAGAGACATAACCCTTGTTTCGTTTCAAGCATATTATTTAAACTTTCCACTGGTTGTGTTGCAGAGTAATGAAGACTGCAATTTCAAAATGTATGAGACTACGTAGATATGAGTTGTGGCTTAGTGTAACTAGGACAAAAATATGTGCATAATCCAATTCTAATGATTGTTTAAATGATTGGATATGGAATTTTGAGTAATTAAGAATTTTAAGAATATTGTCCTTATAGTTTTGACAAAACAAGACAGTTTAGAAATCAGAGGTTGACCCTAAACAGAAGCCTATATTTTGAAGCCAGATTATACACCTGATGAGAAGATCTCTATATATAGCGATGAAAATATCCGTATCCAAGCATTAAAACTTGAAAGAAGAAGCAAGAGTAGAAAGAGAGAAGTTCATACATAGAATGAAGAGGCTTTGCTCAAAGGCATCCTTCATTTTATTAGCCACTCTCATCTTAACAAGTTGCATTGACTCTGAGGCTCAAAAGTGTCGCCCAAGTGGAAGAATAAGAGGAAAGAAAGCCCCTCCAGGAGAATGCAACCAAGAGAATGATTCTGACTGTTGCGTAGATGGCAAAATGTACACAACATACGAATGTTCACCACCTATGTCCAGCCACACCAAGGCCCATCTCACTCTCAACAGTTTTGAGAAGGGTGGTGATGGTGGTGGCCCTTCAGAATGTGACAACCAGTACCATTCTGATGACACACCGGTCGTAGCACTGTCTACAGGGTGGTTCAACCACAAGAGCAGGTGCCTCCACAACATCACCATTAGTGGGAATGGTAGAAGTGTGGTGGCCATGGTGGTTGATGAGTGTGACTCAACACAGGGATGTGATGCAGACCATGACTATCAACCTCCATGTCCCAACAACATTGTAGACGCTTCAAGGGCTGTATGGAAAGCCTTAGGAGTGCCCCCAAATGAGTGGGGTGGCTTTGATATCACATGGTCTGATGCTTGACACTGTAAGTGTACTGTTTAAGTGAATGTTTAAGTTTCTGTATTGTGAGTTATTGGCCAAAAACTTTAGTTTTCATCCTCTATATATCATGTGTGGCTTCATCGTATATTCTGATAGTCTTTTGTCTTTAATTTGTATTAATGGAACGGTTGTATACATGAGCTATGCGCATTGTTCAATTAAAATGTGACCAATTGTAGTCTTCTACATTTCTTACAAGTGTCATGTGTATGAATATAAAATTTTGTATTAAAATATTCAACTGTTCATAGAATTTTGCAGATGAATTTTATCTTTTAATACGCTTTTAATTTATTAAAAATGGACTGCGAGATTATGAGTTGGCATGTCATAGTCTGAATGGACTACATCTCCTAATCGGTTTCATCAAAAGACGCACTTACGATTAAATTTGTCATTTTTTTTATATATAAATTTTTTATATGTATTTTTTCTAAAATATATTTTAAATTATGTAAATAATTTTTATGTTATTTATTTATTAATTAATATTTTTATTAAATAAATTAAAAAATTATTATATTTATATATTAAAATAATTAATTATAATCCATAATTTAAATTTAACCGATTAATATTTATAATTTAAATTATAATATTATAATATATTTATGTATTTTAATAATATTATATAAAAAATATAATATTTTAAATTATAATTTTTTTATTTTAATTTTAATATATAAATATCTTTTTAAAATAAATTAACATGTTAACCGTCTCTTTTTCTTCTTAGTATGTTAGGTTGACAAACTAGATGGAATGAGCAAAAATATATTAATAATATTTTAGTAGACTAAAACTATTAACCTTTTTCATTATTTTTTAGATAGACATTATCAGTTAAGTCTAACATGTTTTATTTTCCTAATCTTAATTTCTCATTTTGAACACTTATAAATGACGATAGGTGATGTGTGAAATTAAATATAACAACAAGAAGTATATGCACTCCTAAGATTATAGTTTACACGTCTGAATAAGTATTAAAGCAATTAACAAACTAAAGTTGCTGATAGAAAAAAAAAAAAAAAAACTTGTAAGTTATGAGAAATCACTAAATATTTACGAGTAGTTAGGATCGAATTATTGTACTTCTTCCTTTAAAATAATAGTAACTTATCGAAGGTTAAGAGACAAACATCTTAGGCATCAAGGAAACGGACTATAAGAGATCACTGTGAATTTTTTTCCTTTTTTTCTTATGATCAATGAAAATTGCAACTTAATCTTTATAGTATGTTTTGTCATACTGTAACTTCGTATTAATTATTATTAAGTAATCTGACATTTCAGATATATAAATTATATCTACAACTCTATTTAACATCTCACTCCACAAATATTTTTCGAACCGTGTAAGTTTATTGCATAATAATGATTAAGCATAATTATAAATTCTGATATTATATCGGATTTTAATTTAATATCCATTTACGTATAAAAAAAGTTATGGTTAATGAGATTAAGAACTGTACACCAATGTTTATTGGAACAACAAACTATATATGGAATCATATGTAAAGGTTTGCGCTTAATCTTTAACTATGTATACGCTTAATTGATTATTTCTAAGGTAATTTTATAACTATCTCCCTCTAATCAAGATATCATATATTAAACATCTAGTAATTCAAATAAAACTTATTAACACAATAATGAATACATACACCTTTTTTTAAAAAAATTTAACATAACTAAATTTTCAAACTCAATTTCAATACAAATAATTAATTTCCCCTCTTAAGGTTTTAAGTCAGAATGATTTAACCAAGCAAATAAAATCCTAAAACTAACAAACATAAAACGTTTTTTATATATTTTTCCGCTTCTCATATTTAAATTTTGTATAAATTATATTTCTCAACTTATTTTAAAGAAAAAAAACTAAGTTGAGCCAAACATTACGTCTAAGTCAACTTAATTATCAAGCATAACTAGAACAGTTATTTGTTATTAATAACTATATTATTTGCAAATTACAATAAACAACCATAAGACAAAAATTGAAGTGATATTGTCCAAAGTTTTTAAAACTTCAGGAAAATGAATATCGGATGCAGTAGAGTGAACTTCAAGAGTAGACGTGTTAATCTTAGTGAATCAGATTTATGTTGACAAACTCTTACACTGATTATTTTCCAAACCAAATATGTAATTCATTTAATCCTAAACACTTGAACAATTCGGCAGTCCAACAAACCAGTTTGGCCTAAGTTTCAAAAAAGGGCTATTATCATGTCCCAAAAGCCTAAAAAGGACACCATGATTACAATTTCCTTCTATTTTCCTTTCTTGCTTTTTACCCTTTTATTAGCACTAAATTTTATGTATGATTGGACTAAGGGTGCAGGGTGATCATGGAGTGTACAATGCATGTGTTCACCGGAACAAGGGCATCTTCAACCTCACCACCCCACACCATTACTACTCAACTTTACCATACCAAATAATTTCACACCATTGCCTTCTAGAAGACAATTCTATGACAAAAATCACATGATAGATATTGATTGTGTCACGATTGATGTCTCCTAAACCACATAAAACATCTACCCCAATGTCAATTATTTTTCAGAATAGGACATAAAAGTGTATCATTACCAATCAAGAACATACAACTTCAAATTAAAATTCCTCACAGCTACAAAAATATGAGTACAACCCCAAGTCAATAATCATGGGTGGAGGGATAGGTGACATTTATCAATTGCAAAAGTCAGCTGGCTCTACTCTGCTGTTGATACTTCCCATTCTGTCATTACTACTACAACAAAATTAGATGAGTGACCAAGAATCTGAAATATATATACACAACACTAGTGTGTATTGAATGACATGTCACCCACGCATCAAGTCAATGTCCACATGGGAATTACGCATATCCAATGGTCGTGATTGCGACCAAGGACTCAAGGATGGAGGGGTTGGAGAAAGGTTTTGATTTGGTGAGATGCTGTTCAGTGCCACTGGATTATGAACTCCCTGATGATCTGACTCCACGGCAACTTCTGCAACTTCTGAGCTTTCCTTCTTCTTGTTCTTTGTCTTTGATCCACCCCATTGAAAACTCCCAACTACCACCTATAGCCATTACTAATTCAGTCTAGCCATCCAAAATAAAACTAGGGTGATAGGAGCAGCTCTAAGATCATATATATGGGCTAGTTTGTTAAATGTTAAAACAAAATTATTCTGATGTAAATAATCTAGCTTGAAACAAACACACCAAAAACTTCTAAAAGTGGTTATTTTACAATAAAAAGAAGCTGTAAAAAATGGGTGGTCCATAACTTTCACATTGAGTAGCTGGAAAGTTTTTATCTTTTAACATCTGGGAATCAGAGGTGAATTTTCAAGATATTAAATCTATAAGAATGGTGTTACCTGAACAGGACTTGATGCAATAAGAACTCCACCTACTCCACCACCAATGACTCGACCATCAGGACTAGCAAGGGACACACTCAGTCCACCAGTTCGATTGCGTGAGCCACTACTATCAGTGACCAAGTAAGAGCCTGACAGGCACACTATCTCGAAGCGCCCCTATCAAATTCAAAAGTCCACACCAAGAATGAAATATATATTTTATATACCATATGGATATACACTTTATCATAATAGTGTTATGACTTGATAAAGGGTAAAAGTATAAACAAAATAAATATTAGATCATTCCAGAGGTAGGAATCTATGATTTTTACTAGGAAGGCTGACAATTACAGATATCTCAATCAAAAAATGTGAATAAAGGTAGTATAGTCGAAGATTTGCAGCCAGTGCCGGCCTTGGGGTAAGGTGAGTAAAGCCCTCACTTTAGGATCCTAAAAATATTTACTTACTAATAACATTTAAAAAAAAAAAATTAGTAATTACTTGACATTTCTTTTCCATAAAAGAGACACATATGTGTCCCTTCATTCTCTCCATTAGTGAAAGCCTTTTTCTCTTCCCTCTACACAAGGTTGTGTTTCCTTCTTTTTTTCCAATCTTTTCCTCTGCTGGGTAAAAATCTTGCAGCTTGGTGGTTAAGATTAAAAATGAAAAGTGAAATGAAATTGATTATGATAATTAGATATGAAAAATAGCATTTCAAAATGTTTGACAGATATAATAACGTTTTATCAAAAGCATGGTTACTCAAAAGGTCAAAACGTTGCAATGCAAAAGATTATTTTGTATCAATCATCCGAGAGATTGAAGTTTATTGGTACCACTTAACCATGTATCATGCACGAATGAGCATATCATGCTTCACGTTTACAATTCAGATTCGGTCAGTTTTTCTTTTAAGACATGCATGGAAAAGAATACTGAAAGCTTTCTTCTTACATAAAAGCAAATTCTTAATCAATCAAAAATACTATTTCCACAAAGGATTGCCAGTTAATTACATGCAGTGCTATGCATGGCCGCATGCATAAATGCACACACGTGTCTTTATGTAATTACAGTTCCATATGAATCTATAAGAGTGTGCCAAGGTCGGTTGCAAAAATATATTAGTTTAATAATCAATCGTATGTACAATCGATTGTAACAATAGTTTTAGTTGGTAAGTTTACTAAAAAATAGTTTTAAGACAACTAATTTCCTTTGAATACATTAAGAAAATCAGCTTTTTAGATAAGAAAATAATATATATGAAACTTTTATTCTCAAGCCACTTTTCACCAAAAAAATAAAAATTCTGAAGTTACAAATTTTCAGATTTATAAAAATGGCTTATTTTTTTCAGAAGAAAATAAATCGTTTTACTAAATTTCAGTTGAGGTCCCAAAATTCTAGATAATTTCTTATAAATCCCAAGCATGCCCTATGTTTATCTTCTTCAACAAATACATAACACTGAGAAAGTGGCAAACCTCGTATGTGACAGTGCCGCCTGAAGTTGATGGCTGCCGAAGTGTGACAGTTGAGACAGCACCATTGGCTGACAAAATACATACAGCTCTAGGTCCCTGCTGAGAAAATGCCATGATTTTTGTTGCAATGTCCTGCAGGGGAAAATGTTCAGAAGATTAATTTATTAATATTTACATATATACAAGAAGAAAAGGCACAAAGTCAACCAGTTCTTGATTTTACTAAGTCCACTTTTCCTTTTAAGAGAAAAATATTACAAACGTAGATGCCCGTTTAATGTTTAACATTTAACTTATCATTATTTCGAGAGACCAATAGTATAGAGTGCCACCTTTCTTGGGCCAAAGAAGCCAAAGCTTGGTTGAATATACATTCAAGCACATGTTTTACATATAGTCTCACATAAATAAGAGAACAAAAATGCTGACAGAAATCGCATAGAAATGTTTGTATAAATACAAATATATATATATATATATATATATATATATATATATATATATATATATATATATATATATATATATATATATATTAGGAATCATATAGTTCTATGAATCTTATCATATCAGTAATATTGGCTTTTACTAGATATTCTGAGCTAATACTTGACCAGGAACAATTAATATAAATAGGTTTATTAGGCCAGTGATTATCACATTAAGAGTGACATCTCTCCCTTCTCTCTTTTTTCATCTACTTTCCCTATATAGCATATACCACCAAAACAGAGACATTGATTTTGCTTCAAATTCATAGAAAAAAAATCACATACTTCTCCACTTGCGATGTTGATGATATGTGGAGTGAATCCCATCCCAGCTGATCCAGACATCAATTCACCTGGTAACAAGTAACCGCTCAAAACATAAAAAGCAAAAGTATATAAATCAATCTAGGGGTGAATCCGGATTTACACACCAATCTAAGTTGGAGGTTGCATTAGACACTCACAAGGCTAGAGGGTGCAAATAGAGAACAAACCAAACTTATGAACCATTATTCTAACTATATGTAAGTGTCACCAAATATTATTAAATTCTAACTAACTTCTGGTTAGAATTAGATGCTGTAATTTCAGAATCCATTAAGGGACCAACCAGTAGCCCATAAGTGGGAACTAGGCTGTACCGAAGAACAATTAGCTGTAATTTTCATCAAAAGAAATAAGAAGCATACAAAAAATTCAAGAATCCAACTTGTCATATTCATGATAACTGTAGGAGGAAATAGAAATCTAATGGCCCTTTTATTTTGAGAAAATATTTTTTGTTTTCACTTCTAATTACAAAAATGTCACATTGTTTTCATTTTATTTCCTGGTTTTAAATATTATCTAAAAAATGGTAAAAACAACTTTTTATTGTTTTCACTGTTTTGTCTGCAAACCTTTGAAAATAGCATATATAGTGAAAATAACGTGAAATTTTTAAAAATAAAAGGGAAAAAAAAATTAAAACAGAAGCATCTTTTTTTTCAAACCTAAAAATTCCTAAAAATCACATCTTTTTATTTAACTTGCATATTAGCCTCTTTAAACATTTATCGTTAAAAGCTACTATGAGCTTCTATTGTATCCCATGCTCACCCTCTTATACTGAAATTATCATCACATACTATTCAGATAATTTATCTCGCATGTAACCAAACATGTGTGTGTGCACTTGGCTAGAAACTTTTAATTTGTGAATAATATTGTAAATTTCTTCTTCAAATAATTTTGTTATCACAATCTGAGGCAGTAAGTACTGAATAAGGTAACACTGTATGATTTGAAAAGATTACTTCTGGGGAAATGATCTTTCTTTTTTAACTAAAAACCAATTGGAACCTGGAAAAATGATTAATTCTCTAACATAAGCAACACAAAACACAATAGTTTTCTGTCTATAGTTCTACAAAAAATAGTGAAAAGAAGAAATATGCATCTCCCTCTTGAGGATCAGAAAAAGTTTAATTCGAAGGAAATTAATTATATATAGCAAACTGTGTTGGGATTTAAAGCCATTCTGCCATTGTTCATTCATGTCATCTAGATGATAATAGCTTGTCGACATATAAAATCAATAAACAAATATTCTGCCAAAATCGACTTTCAACCAAACTCATCAACCATTCAGCTTCAAATAAGTATCAACAGTGATAAAAGAAAAAACTAAAAGTGTTGCAGTGCAAAAGAGATTTACCAAGAGAAGCCAGTTGCTGTTTTTTCCCAGTCCCAGGTGGGCGCCCTCTGCCCCGTTTCTGGCCCTGTGTCAAGGCTCCAGGATGACTAGATGATGTTGGAGTTGGAGTCAATGCCAATGACACAGTTCCATCAGTTCCATATTTCCTAGGCCTTCCTCTCTTCCTTTTAACAGGTTCCCCTGGAGGTGCCCCAGGAGGAGCTCCCACATTGACACCATGAGCCGAAATTGCTGAAGACTCTAATGGCAATGTGGATCCAATGGAACCACCACCAATGCTGGATTGAAATGGTAGATTCGGATTAGAGAGTGATCGAATATTAGGCGACATATGTAACTCAGGTTGTGCTCCAGATCCAGGTATCCCTCTTTGCTGCATATAGTAAGACCCGGATAACGCCATTTGGTCCCCGCGATCCATGCATTTACTTCAATTGTCTTCAGAATCTTTCACAAGAAATTTCCACCCCAATATTCAATACACCAAAATTATCACCTAGCTGTGTGTTCCCAAACGGAGTGTGGTGACAAATTTTGGAGGAAAAAAAGACCAACACATCAGAATACCATAAAAAGTATGAAATCCAATTAGCAATGACCAACAATACAGTAAAAAAAATTACTTAAATTACACTAGTTGTAAGTTACTGTAGGTTCAGAAGAACAAAAATAAGTCCTTAAAATCAAAATAGTGAAGCTTCTTCCAGCAGATAAAATTTCTCATCGATGGCACCATACTATAAAATACATACATGGATCCACACATGTACAAGACAAAGCATAAAGTAAAAGATAGATCAGAGGAAAAGATGGAAAGCTAAGAAGGTATCAACATAATCAAGAGAACTACTCTCTAACAGCAATATAGACATGTCTAAGAGAAGACAAAAATAAAATAAAAGAAGCTATTTACAGCTTACCAAACTATAAGAAACAAAAAAAAAGGCTTCATGTAGAAGATATAAAAGGATCAGAAGAACATGAAAAAAGGTCCACTCTTACCGACACCCATTATAAACCTTAAATACCAAGCAATTCAAGTGCCAACACCCAGAAAATCAGTCCCCACATAAAATACTAGTGAAACAAAAACAAATGAAAGAATTACTCTAGGCCAATGCAATAAAAAAGCTTCCAAACCCAGTTCCACAAGAGAGCAGAAAATGCAATATCACACCAAGAGACCGCAAAATCATAAAGACAAACAAGAAATTATCAGCCACAATGGTTTTGCCATGGAAAATTACAAACTCTGGAGAATGGATTCATAACAATAACAGATTCAACGCCGCACAGACACAAAAGAGAATGCAACATGGGTTTCACGGTGCGGATACAGAGAAAAGGGAAAAGAAATCATACTAACATTTTAGGATCAAAAAGCTGTGGTGCACATTCACAGTTCGGCATACGAAGAAATGGAAGCTAGTGTGATGGATTCAAAAGAAAAAAGTTTAACAGTTTTTCTCTTTCTGGGAAAATGAAGAGTGGTGGCAGAGTTACACAGAAAAAAGAGGTGAGAGAACCACTGTGTCAGTGCAGATAAGCAAATTACTCATCAACAATGAAAAAGAAAAGAGGGTAAAATAAATATAAAAAAAAATTAAAAAATCTTGAAAATTAAAAGGGAAAAAAAATTATTTCTCTCTCTCTCTCTCTCACTCTTCTGCAGTGTCTCAACTGCAAAAGTCCTTATCTGGTTGCATAGTTTTTTCTAGGGCTACCCTTTGTTTCTCTCTCTAAAAAAAAAGTTTATTTCTCACTTTCTCTCTCCTGTTATGATGACGATGGTGTGTGAATGATGGTTCTGGGATGTAAGAAAAGGGTTGGGAAGCAAACAAAGTTCAACAGAAAAAGCACTTCTTGTTTTGGATAACAATGAAATATTTTATTTTATTTATTCATTTATTTGACGAATAAAAATAAAATGAATAATGTTTTGAGATTTAAATAGGGACTGAGGTGGGGAAGTTTGGGTCCATAGGGATTGTGAAGAGAAAAGAGTGTTTATCTCTATCCACGCGCCCGGCCTATAATCTGCTGCATCACTCCCACTCAGATTCTGGTGTTGCCTAATAATGCCGTCGCCTCAATATCAGCAAAATATCTATCCAACTTTTCAGGGAATTATATTCTTTCTCTACATCATTCAACAAATCTTATACTCCATCTATTATTTAAAGTTCCATTTATTATTTTATTAATTATATATTTACATCTCTCATTTTTTAAATAATTTATATTTATTGAGTTAAATAAAAATTAAATAAAGTACTATACATCTACCTATGTTATTAAAATCAATAAAATTTATTATATTTTTTTAAGTTTTACATAATAATCATAAAAATAAGTAAAAAAGCATTTTATTAAATACATTGTATGTTATTAAGAAAGAAGTCATAAAATATGAGTTGTTTGAAACTGTAATACCAGCATTACATCACTTTTGTAAAAATTATGATGACAGAGTTAATTTGGAAGAAGAAATGAAAGTGAAGGAAGAAGTAAGTGGTCACAGTTCCAGCATAACCCTAAGAAAGAAGTGATGTTGAAAGAAGGGTAGATTAGGTGTTTGCTGTAAATGCAGGATGATGCATGGGATTGGTCCCAATAGAGTTAGCGCGTGAGAGGTGTGGGACAGTGAGTGACAGAGAAAGGTATGAAGTGAGAGGTAGAAGAGAGGAAGAAGGAAGGAAGGAAGGAAGATGGCTGACTTTGTGAGCTTGCATGTGACTCTCTCTCTCTCTCTCTCTCTCTCTCTCTCCTCTCTTTTCCCTTCCATATTATGGCAATGGCCCATGCACTCCAAAATATCTCTGAAAAGGAACCATAACTCTTCACCCACCTCTCCCAAACACTCCCTCCATCACACAATCTCTTCTCTCCTCTCTTCATTCCATCATTCAAGCCCCATACATATCATCAATCTACACATATTTCTGTCTCATCATATCTCCATTAAACCACATGCTATCACTTTCTCTCATTCAATTCAATCCATGTACACCATTTATAACACAAGCACCTTATATTCTTTACAAATATCAACTGAAATTATAATTTTATAACTTTGCTGGTTTGAGACACTACGATGTTACTGTATATATATACCCTTTGTTATGTTTAATTAAATGAAAATATAAATAATAAGAACTCAATCACTCCTATAAAGTGAAGAAGATATAATTTTTTAAAAATATTGATTTGACCCACGTGATCACATATTAGATTCCTGGCTCATCCAAATGTAGAATTACTGAATTCTCAGTTTATAAAATATATTAATTTCCAAACTTCGAAAGACATATCTTTTAATGTTTTTTTATTGCATTGGACGAACTTGTCCGTGACCAAATCTAATGTTGTCCTTATTAGTACTCACGAATTCCTTTTTTTAATCACTTTTGACAATGACAAGGTTTTCATTTTATAATTCTAAATTCCCTCAATGATACTATACAAATCCTTACAAAACTAATCATTTTTGTTAGTCCAACTAATTTACAACCAAGGAAGAAACAATTTCTTTAAAAGAGATTTTCAAATTTAAAATAATCGTTAATGTGTTTGTGGGATGATGAAAATTTTCCAATAAAAAGTTTTGTAATTGAAAATGTAATCCTCTAATCTTTTTTGTTAATAGCTCGATTAGATTTTTTATTCATTAAAAATGAGTATCTAAATTGAAATATATACAAGTATATTCAATTATAGCTATCAAGTAATTTTTATTTTTAAATTTTTAAATATATCTATATAAGCATTTGATGGAAAGTAGATGTGGTCCATATAAAACAATGGAATTATTGGAAGTTCCTACCATCAATTTCATTTCATTTTATTTTTATTGTAGGAGGAAAAAATAGATGTTGGTAGCATTAATTAGCCGGAAGAGTTAGAAAAATTTTGTTAAAAGTCAAAGAAGAGAAATAGACATAAATGTGATTTCCGTAAATGGTGCATAATAAATGTGAAGCCATTGTTTTTATGGCTCGACTTCAATATTTTTCATTGAATGGCGGAGAATGATTCGTTTTACTTCAAAATTGTATGTAAAAAATGTATTTGTTTTTCAAAAATAACTAATAAATAGATAACATTATCTTCTACCCAGCTTATTAATACTAAATCTACATAATTCAATACATCAACTTGCATTAATTGATTATGTAGAGAATGTAGAGAATTTATATTATTATTATTATTATTATTAAGAAAGAATGTGGAGAATAAAAGAAAGACATGGGAGGTGAATATGTTGGATGGTATTATATGTAGTAAAGAAAAAGGTTTCTCTACAAATATGAGTACTTGGTTGAAGAGGTGGTTGTTTTTTTGCTAATAACAACTAAACAAAAGTAATTCACTATTACCACTAATTAAACAATCACCCAATCTTTAAAAAGTAATTACAACAGTACTTACAAAATTACAGTAAAGTCGTGGATAAACCAAATAAACAATTCTCTAAAAATAGTAGTTTCTCTGATTAATATGGCCTATCAAATTATGATGTACTTATAGCTGCGCTTTAATAATTAAACCACGGAAAAGGTTCCCCTAATGTTTTTATGTAAAAATAATGTTTAGTTTTGCATTGAAGGTTTTATATTCATATTTTTTAGGTAAAAAAAAATGAAAATTATTCAAAGTCGTTATTCTTTATTTTAGATCTAATCAGGAGGAAGAGATAGACACAGTTAATTATATAATAAATAATTATTTATTTATTTTTACTTGTTTTCCATGAATTAAAATAATTTATTTATTTTATTTAATTCTTTACCTTTTGGATAATTGAAAGGCTAAGAAAGAGAAGAATGAAAGGTTTGTAGAGGAGCTACTTGGTAGTCTGCAAAGTGAGGCTAGGTTAGCTGGTGGCTACAGTATTTGTTGTACTATGTTGTCGTTTCTCTTTAAATCAGAACAAGAACAACCGCATATTGTACCACATAAATCAAAGATTCATTTAATTTACTAATTATCTGATTAATTTATTTTTAAATTTTAATTTAATAAATTGTAATCAAGTTTAATTTTGAACATCAAATTTAATTAATTAGGCTAATCATTTTTAATTATTTTTCGACTTTTTCTATTTTATTTTACTGTTATTTTCACAATCATTTTGTTTTAATTTTTAAAATTATTTATACTAATGTGATGATATATGTTAACGTAATGCTATTGCATCATGCTTGTGATATTGTTATTGTGGAATCGAGAAATATGATCGATTGGTAAATCGGTTAGATAGACAAAAGAAATCATTCGATGTCCAATTGGAAGCACGTAGTACATAACATTGAGAAGCACGATCGAAAATTGGGTGAAGGATAACCAAAATGCTTGTTGTCGAATAAAAAACTAAGAAACTAGAATCATATGATGTTAAGGTTAAACCCAAAGCAATGCAAA